TATCTCAAGTGAAATTTAGCATTGGGGTCGCTATGTCCATTATCTAACACTGTCCAAACAATGCTCAGTTCACACCTAAGCCGAAACAAGTGAAAATGCTTTACATAATCGTAATTAAAAAAACAAACCTTGTTCAGATGTTACCAGAGACAATAAACATGATCAAAATGCCATTTCACTGAAAATATATTCACTTTTTCACTATTTTGTTCACGTGTTGACGTTACGGATTGGAGAACAGTTACGGTTGGTTTGTGAAGAGAATGACCGGCTGAGAAAACGGTCAGCGAACGTGCGTCACCGGCGAGGCGTGCGCTCCGCACAACGAATCGACACGAATGGCCAATGCAGCTTGTGGAAGAAAGTTCGACGTCACGTAAAAGCGTTTACTGATTTAATTTGAAACTGATATATCATGTTGGACATGTAGTTAACTGTTACGGATTTATGTCAATAACGCGTCCTTGTTTAATTTTCGTATAGAAAGTGCTGTCACTAGTAATGACCGTTACGTTTTTTAAGTAAATGTCATCAGGCGGGATGTATAGATGTCTTTATGCTGTAATATTATACGAAACTTAATTTTTTACCACGTATTATGCGGTTCGAAACCTAATCAATTTGAGTGAAAATTTCGCTTGTCCCAAATACGCGCGGTGTGGAATGCGGCTCCGCGAGCGAACAGAGGTAATGGTTATGAAAATTTAGTCAGGCGTTCAAAAACGGTAACAAACATCGGTGATTTTTTGAGTAGACGGTAAAAGTTTAGACATAAGGCTGATGCTTACAGTTAAAGGAATTACATTTATAAAAAAATTGTCACTACACGATTTAGCAAAAATCTGTTAGGTATCTCAAAGTCAAAATCATTATATCTTATAGATAACAATGTTCACTTATGAACGTCAAAAAAAAAATATATATTAAATGCTTCTAATTTTACATTTACTGCCACTTCTCAAATCAAGGGCGTAGAACGGAAGAGAAGAACTGGCAATAAACTCTCCGCCACGCTTTTTAATCGCCAAGTATTTTTGTTTTTCACAACGTTTGTAAGGAGCTGCAACCATTACACCATGTTCCACGTGACATCTTAAGTAATAAATACATAATAAAATAAATTTAAACAAAGATTTGTCCTCTATCAGCTGGAGGCATGGTGAAATAGGAGCACGCACTTACATTCTCGTGGGACTTGTCTCAGAAAACCGGAATTTAATAGAAAGAGATAGCCGCTTTTAAGGAGGTACTTCTTAAATCCGTGTAAATCTTTATAAAATAGTGACTAATTAATATTTGTTTGTTTCATAGTCAATATGTAGTTAAATATTAGAAATCAAAGATCAGTAAATTTAAACATATTTTATTAATAGCACAACAACTCTAGAACTAAATGCATATTTATCACATCATTTCTAAATAATTCTTTGCCCATTCCATCCTTTCATATAATGTTATCAAAGATATGCTGACCATCTAAAATATCACCCAAAAATACAGCCATCTATAAACACTCAGAACTTTCTTGGCTTCATCAAAATTATATACTATATTTACAATAAACATCTATATAACATCGATTAATTGAATAATTCTCTAAAATACATCGAGTTAACAACAATTTCTAATATTAGGCATATAAATTTGTGGGAAAATGTACGTATGTCAACGGTCATTTTATTTACGGTCTATGTCTTTAACGGTCATTTTTCTGTGTAAAAAGTTCATTTGGCGCCTAAACTCTACATTAAAAAGAAAATTGGAGGATTTTTTGATTGTTGACTTTAAAATATTCATATATTAAACAAAGATATTTTTAACCACGTTTGACGTCGGTCTTTTAACCAGTAAAATATTTTTTTCCGTGACAATTGACAACATTTCAAAATTCCAAAACAAAAACTGTGTTTCGTAATTCTTTATCATGATCGTTATCATAGCAACTAGGGATGCATCGATACGCCTTTTTGCCGATACGATACCGATACCGATACTCTTATAGAAATATCGCCGATTCCGATACCGATACCGATACTAATGCTTAATGAATTCAAATTAAATTAAGGTAAAATATATCAAGTTTGGTTAAAGTTTTTAATTTTTATTATAAAATATAAACAGTCACAAACTTTGAATAAGATTAAAGATTTAGTAAATAAAATTAAGAATTAAGAGTAATAGTTAAATTAAAATAAAATAAATAACTGACATTTCATTGCCAAATGGTTGCCAGTGTCATTTTGCGTTTAGACATAAAATACAAAATCGTGAATAAATATTTTGAGTTTACGTCACCAAAAAATGAAATGTTGTCAATGAAATTAACATCAATAAAAACCATTTCACAAAATAGGTTCATCAAAAATGTAGAAAGGTATTTGATATTTTTATAAAACAACTATTCCTAACAAATAATTGTAAACATTGATATAAAACGTAACGGGGTAAAACCATTTTATCAAAATAAATACTTCTAAATAAAATTGAATACTTACAATGTCTGCATAACTACGGACTAAAAATTTGTTATAACATCTAAACACGTCTAGATTCTAACTCGACTTAACATTACTGGAAATTGGATATGGTACAACACATCTACCTATTTAGATGTTATTAGGTACTCGTTTACTTAATTAATAAATAGCTTCATGATTCAGTCATTGTTTTGAAGCTATTCGGAAACTCCATAGTCACGCCAAATCAATCTGAAGCACGCACAATGGGTGCTGTTTTGTTTTGCGCGGGAATATTGAAAAATGGACAACTTCTTTTTTTTTATTTGCCGTCCGGCCAGGTTTTACGATCAATCTAACGTATTGTTTCTTTTTAAAATTCCACAATCTCGTGAAACAGAAATAATTGTAATACTTGCAAACTACAATGTAGTAGACAATAGACAGTCCGCCATTTTGGAACTTTTGACAACTGACAAATCGAATTTTATTAATACAATTGATTTGTGCAAAACTATGGATTTCTTGCGTACGTGGTTACGCACGACTTTCTTAATATCTAATCATTCATAAATAACACCCAATCGAACAGTTAATACACCAATAATTTGTATATGAACATTTTATAGTGAAAGATATAAGCTCAACTATTAAAATAAGAGTTTTCCTAGAAATCTGGCGTCTACTGCCATGAGTTAGGCTATTCGAAATTTGAAAATTCTATTCTGAAGACTAATTTTCACATTCTAAACTAAATTTTAACAGGACTACACACATTAGTATTTAAGGTTCATTTATTTTCATTTCATATATGTATTTGTGCCTTTGTTTTTCGAAAATCGATACCACAAGTTACATTTTTTATAATTAAAGTAACTTTCTTAAAATTAAACGCATAGGAACATAAAATATTAATAATATTGTCTTCGCATTTAAGTTTATGTATTGATATATTAAATCTGAATAATTATAAAGGCTGAAATTGTTTAAAACTCTTTGAAAAAAATATCAAATCTCGCGTGTATTATATTAGTATAGAATTGTATTTATTGACCTTTTCGCAGTCAAGGAACTTTTTAAATTATAAAACGAATATTGGATTATGTCTAGTAACATTTTTATTAAAAAATAATCACAGATTAAAAATATAGTTATGAGCAAAGAGTCTCTTAATATTTTTATTCAAAGTACTTTAGAGTGAAAATTTATTGAGCGAGCCACGTTCATAACTTTTTAACACTGTTAAAGAAACCGGCTTTTTAATGAGCAGTTAACCGGCCTTATTAAAACGTTATTTTACATTTCATATAAGCCATATAACATTTTAAATAAAAGATGTAGAATATTATTGTATAAAATATAAAAATGTTAATGATTTTATAAAGTAAATTTTTATGTTTCTGTTAAAATTTCAAAATATCACATACAAAAGTATATTAAATTAACACATTAAAAATCTTAATCATTTCGTATTATCTGTATCTACCCTGCCATTTTCATTATTCTCTCATTTTCATACGTGACATTTGACATTTCATAATTGTGTTAAATTATCAAAATTGACAGTGTTCGAGACGAAACTCATCGCCTTCAAATTGATGATAGCAATTAAATATTGTCTATGAAAATATTTAGCACCGCTAACTTCAAGATGGCTATTTACTTTTAAAGTATTACCAAATACCAGCAACTTAGTTACCCTTACATTAATAATTATTATATAATAATTTACACTCAATTCCTTTATGATTACCTAAGTGAGCAAATTATATACGGTGGACTTTATTTTAATATATTTTACAATTAAAGAACATATGGAAAAAATACAAGCAAATATTATCAGATATTGGGGCTTATTGTAATGTACCTACTACAAATTTTTATTTATGTTCCAGGGGTAAACCGGCAGGAGGCCCATCTGATATTAAGTGCGGCGGTATCCCATGAACACATTGCCAGAAGGTTGTGCGTTGCCGGCCTTTTAAGAATTGGTACGCTCGAAAAAGGGTAGTCATGGACACCCATTTTTAGTGGGTGTGAAGCCGGCGTTTGAGGGAGGAGTACAATCTAACTTTGCATAGATATAATACACCTACATTGAATGTACTTTCAATGTTCCTTTTGACAAAGTCTGAGGAATGATAACTTTCGAGGTTTTTGGTACCTTCTAGTTATGTCGACAACACTGTTACGTCATTATACGTATAATTCGACAACCTTGATATTTAATATAAAAAAGGTAAAAGTTCTATAATTTGGATATATAAATATACGCGTAGCAATTTATAAAAGAGACTTACTCAGGCATACTTAATGTCAATTATTAGAAAATAATCGAATTTAATTAAAATATTTATAAAAAAATTAAGTTTAACAAAATAGCTTAGCGTTCTGTTGTCTGTGAAAAAATAATAGTCTATGTAATCAGATATTTAGACATGTTAGTACATTACAATTAGCACCAATATTTAAAGAAAAATATGCAGCAGCTAATAAAACAATCTTGTAGACTCAAATCGACAAGGTTTTTACCTAAGACAAAATTTATGATTTTGGTGGATTCTTTGTATCTGACTTACCGTCTTTTGAATCTGCTTTACTCACTGAAGTAGTTGATGCACTGGAGTCTTCTGGTTTATTTGGAGCACCTATTTTGGTTTTCGACGTTGCTACAATGTATGAAGGTACTTTAGTCTTTGCATTACCTGAAACTTCACTACCTGCTTTTGGTTTATTCGCTCCTGGTACTTGAGTCTGAGATGGCATTTGAGTTGGGGATTTTAGTTTGTCAGATTTTGTTGAAGGTTTGGGTGTTTTTATTGATATTGGCAATTCCTTTCCTTTGGTTGGTACTTTTTGAGTTGGTTTCACGATTTCATGTTTTGATATTGGCGATTTAGTTGCTTCCGTCACTGTGTTTAGTGGTGCTTTTTGCATGGACATGGCTCCAGGTTTTGTTGCGGCAGACGTCGTGGTATCAATTTTTGAAGACATAGCAAGAGATTTAGTCGTTTCTTTATCATGTGTGCCAGTGTTACCAGGAGTTGTTTTCAGAGCCATCGTAGGTTTATATACAGACGCAAAAACCTCTGGTTTTGATGGTATTTTAGTCAAGGCTACTTTTGGTTCTGTTGTGGTCTGTAATGTTTTTTGATTTGGTTTTATAACTTCTGGTTTTGCAGTAGGGATTGCCGATTTAGCTTCTGTACTGCTGGCCATTTTTTGCGTAGATGTGGGTTTAGCAGATGTCTTCGGCTCCTGTTTTAAAATGGTGTTGGTATTTGCCCTTTCAGATGCCGTGATTCCAGTTTTTACTGTAGTCACTTCATGTTTTGAACTGACAGGTATTTTTGTAGCATCTTTTACTTCTGTTTTCATTGTATTGACAGTCTGTGACGCAGTTGCAGGTTTTACGATAGATGTTGCATCAATTTTAGGAGACAAAACAATTTTATCTTTCGGTTCTGAAGCCGTAGGAGTTATTTTTTGTGATGAGATACCAGGTTTTGTTGTAATAGTTGTTGCCTCAACTTTTGGAGATACAAACGATTTAGGATCTTTGCCTTTTGAGCCAGAGTCAATTGGAGTAATTGCTTTTTGGGTTATCGTAGCGCCAGGTTGTGTTGCGATCGACGACGCCTCCACTTTGGAAGACACTTTTGGTTCTGTAGTTATTGAATTTTGGGTTGATGTATTTCCATACGTTGCAATTGACGTCACGGCTTCAGCTTTTGAAGACATAGCAAGAGATTTAGTCGCTTCCTTACTTTCAGGGCTTGAAGTAATTGTTTTTTGCGCCAATGTAGGTTTTACTATGGATGACTTATGTGTTGAACTGACAACGTGAGATTTAGCTATTTCCTTTGCATCTGTAGTGGTTATTTTTTGCGTTGAAGATTTTTCTGTAGATGTTGTGATATCTTGTTTCGAAGCGATAGGCGACTTAACCATTTCTTTTACTTCTGTAATTGACTTAGCCGTCGGAATGGACTTATTTGGGTCTGACGGGCTTTTGACAGCATGAAGGCCAGAAAATCTGTTTACATCGCTTTGTGTTGTTCCATTCGTTTTTATATCTATTTTAACTACATCAGAGTCATTTTTAATAACGAAATTATTTTGTGGTATATTTATTTCCTCTGTATGTTTTTGGCGTTGTAATTTCTTCATACTGCTTGTGCTATCAGGTTTTGATTTAGACAAGACTGTGCTATTTACATTTGTGTTTTGTGTAATATCTGTCATATTTGTAGTGACAGTACTAGCTTTTGTGGCATCAGATTTAGTTGCTATATTTGATTGAGATGGTTGCGTGACTGACGTCTTACATTGATCCGCAAATTTATTTGAGCATGATTTAGATTGATTTGTTCCATTTGCGTCATCATTATTGATAATTTGAGATTGGACATCTTTGCCCTTCTCAAATACTTTGCCTGTGGGCTCGATTTTCTCAGGCAATATATTAGTTTTATCGTATGTAACTTCCGATTTTACTCGATTCCCTTCGATCGTAGACAGAATCGGTACTGGCGTAACGTGCAACGGGTCTCCCGTCTTCGTTTTACTATCTGTGTGTATCTTTGCCGTGGTAAAAATTAACGGTGTACCGAAACCCGTCGATTTCTTCTCGCTAATTTCAATAAGGACCGAGGTCTTTGGCACTTCTGACATAATCATATCCCCAAACACGTTTGTATTCATATGATTCTGAACCACTGCAGGATTACAAACAACAATCGCATTATCATATAAAGGTTTCGACACTGTCCCTTTTTCTACATCAACACTTTGAATATCCTTTTCACTTAATGAATCAGTCTTTGTTTTTGGCAATGTGAACTTGGCACTTGGGGCATTACGTTCAGGTTTATCTTTGTTCGTTTGGAGTAATGGGACGAGGGCCGCGTCATCGTGTTCGCTGCTAAAGTTTTGAACTTTTTTCTTCATTGAATTTCTTTTTTTAGGGACATCTGCCTTTCTGAAATCATTCTCCACTCCGCTGTTGTCTGACATCGTGTCGCCGGTATCCTTAGACGTCTGAAGATTAAACAGAACAAATTATAAACTAAATTTAGTTATAAGCTATTATTATAAAAAAGGTATAAAGGAAAAATGTAGACTAACCTTCCGTATAACAGCCAGCGGATAGCTCTGCGGGGGTCAAGCGCCGCGCTCCCGCAGCACGTGTCTGCCGTGCAGCAGCAGCACGGGCGGAGCAAGCTCAGTCTCCTCGAGCGGAGCCGCGCGCTGTGCCGGGCCCCACTCCTCCGTGGGTTGCGACAGGAAGCGGGCTTTCTATGAGGACATTCGTACAGATACTATATATTGTAGTATATTATTCGGTTTTTTAGCATTACAGGCGTGGCGATTGCCTAAATTGACGGAGTTACGCCCGGAGAGAGTAGCCAGACGTAGGCCCTCTCTAAAGTATTATTATTAACAAGCATAAATGAAGCATTTCTTTCCAACGCATTCATAACATTCAATAAAAATAAATTATATCCTCAATTATTTATAGTATTAACCCAGGAATCATTTTGGTCCTTCGAGCCGTACTTTATTCAAATTTTAGCAAAACAATTAATTTCTTACAATTACAAATTAAAAAAGTAGTCATTGTTTCTGATTTATACAAGAATTTAATTGAATTATTTATTTTACAATTTGTAAATAAAAATACTTTCCTTAGGTAATATATAATAATTAATAAGTACCTAAGTACGTTATTTTTTATATTAAAATAATTGTAGGCCTTACAACTATTAAATACCTGCATAATTGTCAGATCATCAGGACCAGTGCAAATCTTGTCTATGGCCATCAATACGACAACCAATATAGGCAGCATTCCGATAATCCAGCCGACTGCATCTGCCCACATCGGGTATACGTAGTGGCCATAGGTAGCCGGCTTATACTCGATCCAGTTAAAGACCAGGATGAACTGAAATATTTGAAATTTGCACAGAATATGAGTGAAGCTACGAACTGTACTCTACCAGCAGTCTCTGCCGCTTATGATCTCCCCGCTAAACCGTCTCCTCAGTTCTACACCTGGATAAATTTAATATATAAATATATTTGGAGTAAATTTCTATTTGCCTATTATTAACATAATAATAGGAGGAGTTTTGACCTAGTAACTTCACCGTCCGACATCCCTGAGATCGTAATTTCGATTCCCGGCTGTGCACCAATGGAATTTCTATGTGCGCAATTAACATTCGCTCGAACGGTGAAGGAAAATATAGTCAGGAAACCGGCTTGCCTTTAACCCAAAAAGTTGACGGCGTGTGTCAGACACTGGAGGCTCACCTACTTGCCTATTCGATTGAAAATTTATGTAACAGATACAGATCTGAGGCTTTGTAGCGCCACTGATTTATATATATATATATATATATATATATATGATAAATATATATTTTTATTATAGTTACAAAATAATTATTATAGAGTAAATTTATTAATTCCCTATTAAACATTTGATAATACTTACAATAAGGGCCGCGGGAGTGATGCCTCTCCACATAGTACTCCAAAAGACCAGCCAGGCCTTCGACTGGCGTCCGATCATACGTTCGATGTCGTGGCAGAACTTCTCGGCCCCATAGATCCAGGCGATTAAGATGCATTCCCCAATCGCAATTATTAGAACTGACCAGTTTGCCGCGTATTTATCCATTAATTGTAACCAATACATGCCACTCTGGAATTATAAAAATTATTTTCTTCTTTTACGTTTACTTATTCTACGTTTGTAGAAAAAACGACACTAACAATAGAAAAAATTTACTCTTATCATTTTTCCCTAACGCGCCAAAAGAAGTATAGCTTCAAAAATATAGAAGAATCCTTTTGTCATGGAATATTCTAGAACGAATGAAGTTTTCAAGCAGCCCACAGAACTGTTATGTTTAAGATTGGATACCTGAGCGGGTAAAATGGGTACACACCTTACACTCAACAATACAGGTGCCTGATGAATTGGTACGCTCTTTTCTTGAAGGACCCTAAGTCAAATTGGTTCGGAAATAAGTTAGTGGGCAGCTGGCTCCACAAAGTGGTGGTGCGCGGCAAAAACTGCCTTAAGAAACGGCGGTATTGATACGGATGGTATTTTGTATTCTGCCTCGACGTCCGATATATCTCTCTCTCTCTTACATAGTTGTTTTCTGGGCTATTATATAAAATTTCTCATTAAAATCCTTAAATACTTACGTTAGTCGTGAAAATCAGTCCCCCGAGATATCCAAACACGGCAACAGTCAGAACAACCCAGATTTTCTTCTCTCTGAAGTTCGGGAATCTGTCCAATATTGCCGTCGTCACAGTTTCCATTAAAGCAAACTGAAATTATTCATTTAATTTTAAAAAATTAAATATTTATTATTATTCTCTTACATTAAGTGTAACATAAATTATATTATTATTCGAATGTTGTTTTTAAATTATGTCCAATGCCGTAGCGTCTTCCGTGGGCAACTTCATTCTGTTAATTTTGTGTCACGGTGCGCGCGCATCGTAAAATTTCACTCTCATACATTTTTCATAACGCGCCTAAAGAAGTATAACTTCAAAAATTTACAATGTGGCATTTTAACATTATTCGTCACTAAAAAGATTTATTGTACAATAAAAAGTTTATTTTTGTTAATTTAATTATGCATTTTTGCTACTTTTTTTTATGTAATAGGAGGCAAAGCGGGCAGGAGGCTCATCTGATTTTAAGAAGATACCGCCTCCCATGGACATTCTCCATGCCAGAGTGCTAGCGAGTGTGTTGCCGCCCTTTTAAGAATCTGAATCTTAGAAGTTACTTTTTTTTTAATGGAACCGGGAGCAAACGGGCAGGAGGCTCTTATCCCTGAGGTCATAGATTCAATCCTTATGGACCAATGGACTTTCTATATGCGCATTTAACATTCGCTGGAACGGTGAAGGAAAACATCTGGTAGAAAAATACGTTTTTAAAAAGAAACAAGGCTGAAAGAAATATTCACCTGTGAGTCAAGTCCAAGTGTCAAAAGCATGAAGAAGAAGAGAATGGACCAGAGCGGAGAAAGCGGCAGTCTCGTGACAACTTCAGGGTAAACGATGAAGGCCAATCCGGCGCCTTGGTCCACCACTCGGTCGACGCTGACTTCAAGCTCGTGCGCGAGGAATCCAATCACTGAAAAGATGACCAGACCCGCGAAGAACGACGTTGCTATGTTCGATACGGCGACTATTAGGGAGTCTCTGCAAAATATATATTTAACTTTGATTCACAGATGGCTAGCGAGTGCGTTGCCGCCCTTTTAAGAATCTGAATCATAGAAGTTTTTTTTTTTTAGAGAACAGAGGGCAGACGGGCAGGCTCATGTGATGTTAAGTGATACCAACACCCATGGACACTTACACTGGCAGAAGTCGCAAATGCGTTGCCAGAATTTTAAGGATGTCTTTTTTTAACAGATTTCGAGAGTATTTCAACGAATTATACTCATCCCTGAGGTCGTAGGTTCGAAGACCGTACACCAATGGATTTTCTGTCCTTGTTTAACACTTCCTCGAAAGAAAACATCGTGAGGAAACCAGCCTTAGACACACATTTTACATTTTCTTTTGCGAACTAGCTAACTGTGGCATCGACTCCCGGTTGGGGTCTTCTCTGGAAGATACGGCCACCAACTGTTAAAAAAAAAGCATATTCCTACCGCAAACGCGTGCAACGCCGGATGCGTCGCTAAAATTGGTGCCCATGGGCTGCAGCAACTGCCCTTTTTGGGCGTTTCATAGGCACGTTGGCTATGCTATAAAAAAAAAGTCGAAGCGTGTCAGGCACAGACGACTGATCACATACCTGCCTATTAGAAAACACAAAAAAAGCATACTGAGGCCTAGACCTGAGAATGTGTTGTAACGCCATTGATTTTCTATACTTACAAATAGCAGTTATTTGTGAATTTGTTATACGATGATAGTGTGATTAAGCCTCCCCAAGCGGGGCTCAAGGCAAAGAATATCTGAACTGCTGCATCGCCCCACACCTGGAAGACATTTAAACTTATTCATAAAAAGTATACTTGAGTCAAAGTCAAAAGTCAAAAATCATTTATTCATACAGGTAATACACTTATGAACGTCAAAAAAGAAATATACATTAAATGCTTCTAATTTTACATTTACTGCCAGTTCACAAAACAAGGGCGTAGAACGGAAGAGAACTGGCAATAAACTCTCTGCCACTCTTTTTAATCGCCAAGTTTTTGTTTTACACAACGTTTGTAAGCTGCAACCATTACACCATGTTCCACATGACATCTTAAGTAATAAATAATAATAATAAAATAATTTAAAAGTTCTTCTAACTTTCGTCTCTTTCTGTGCTGTGTTTACACTGTGATGGAAAGAGACAAATGAGTTTTGTTGACGCGGTGTTATTGGGATTTTATTGTGGTGATGGTACAGCTTAGTAAAAATGGCATACTTATATATTTTATAAAACTTATAATATAATAAACGGCTCAAATATAAGAGTCTTGCCTCCAACTTCGATTTTGTTCCCTTTGGAGTAGAGACTCTTGGGCCGTGAGATTCAAGTGCACAGACGCTAATTAAAGATTTAAGTTGGCGCCTGGTAGATAGTACCGGTGACCCCAGAGCTGGTGTTTTCCTCGCTCAATGAATAAGTCTCTCTAAGTCTGAATAAGTTAAAGGTAGACTGCCACAGGGACCAAACTTTTTAAATTTGTTTAAATTTTCTTTTTATTAATTTTAATTATTTTAATTAGTACTATGTACTAAACTTCAGAAAAATGGTTGATAGCTCTCGAGACTATAGCTCATTTTGACTCCTGAACTTCTTAAAATAATGGTCTTAATGTTATTATTTATTAAAATGTTTGTCTTTGTAATATAATATTTGTCAAATAAATTCATTTATTAAATAAGGATAAAGGAATATATTAAATATCATCTAGTAGTTTAATAAATCAAAACTTACTTGCGCATTAGCGAGTTGACTGAAGTCTGGAGTCAGATAAAATATAATACCAGTCGAAGCGCCGGGCAATGTAACACCTCGGAAGAACAAAATAACCAACACGACGTATGGGAAAAGGGCTGTGAAATACACCACCTGAAAATAAAGATAATCGTACTGATGAATTACTAGCAGACCGGCCAAGCGTTGCTGTGGCTAAGGTTTTTGTTATATTACATAGTAGCAAACTTCAAGGGAAACGGTAGGAGAAAACTAGTCATGGGGACCAACAGGCTTTTTTGGTGGTAATGCCATTAAATTGTAGCTTATGTCAAACGTAGGTACTTTCAACACAGTGCCATCTGTTAGAATTGTGACTATCAAATAATAAACAAATATTTTGCAATAAAATAATATTGCGGGTATAAATTGAGATGTAAGCTATCCTATCTTTTAAGTTGGATCAAACTACACACGGTGTGCAAATTTGATTGATATCGGTTCGGTAATTTAGGAGTCCATAGCGGACAAACAACGTGACACGTAATTTATATATATTAAGATTACAAAAAAATAGGCGTATTTACTAAATAAAATCAAAAGATCAAAGCATAGTTTAGCAGTTTTTTTTCGCCCATCACGCAGGCCATAGTCTTTCGACCATATCGCCTAGTCTTTCGGTAGTTTAGCAGTGATTTGAACTAAGTTACGCGTTTTTCAAAAAGACAGGACGGCGTGGTCAAGGCGTTTTCGCCCTACAGTACAAAATTGAGCGTGTTTCGCCTCGGTAAGCCGATGATATCGTTCATAGCGTTCGAAGTGTTGACTGCGGATTCTACTGAAATTGGAGCGAGATTTTGACTGCCGTATTAGAGAAATGGCAGTATTAGTGGCGATTATATTGAAAAATAAAACTGATTCAAATTTTGTTTCGAATTTCATAGTTAATTGGGACCATCTACGTATTTGGGCGGCTATTTTATTTTTTAATATAAGCGTGAAGAGTACTGCCCCATTTAAAAAAAATCTCGAGAAATCGTACCCTCTAAGTATAAAGTTGTAAATATGGACAAGATCTAGCGTTCATGTCAAGGAGGAGGGGGAACACAAAGAGACATATACGTATTAATGATTTTCTTTTTTAAACATTGATTAAAGAACCTAGAATGACGAAACGAACTTTTTAAAGGAAATAAAAGGAAGCTGGAAAAGCTGTTCAGGACCTAGAGAGTCATTCGTGGAAACGCCATAGTAAATGGATCTAAACAGTAGTCATAGAAAAAGTGCTCTTGGAACACCTGCAACGCCAGGAAGCTTACGTCGCCGGCCTATGAGCTTTCTGTTGTTGTTTAGAACAAAAAGCAAACGAGCAGGACAATCATCAGATGTTAAGTGATACAGACGCTCTTTCACTGCTAAAGGGCGCGCAGGCATATTTCAAAGATTGAGGATGTGATAGTGCGAATGATAAACACATAATTATGAAACTTAAAAATTAAATTACCTTCCCTGAAGACTGGACACCTTTGCATAAACACAAGAAGACAATCACCCACGCGGCAAACAAACAAGCGGCCAAACTCCATCGAATCCCACCAATTTCTTGTATTCCAGAGGATAGTCCCAATACATGGTTCCTGAAAAGCGTAGCTTTTTACATTAAAGTTTAAACCTTATGAGGATGGTGTACTGTTCCAGCCTAAAGGGAGGGCTCGTCAGGGCTCGGAGGGTCGTTCCTCGACCAATCTTACCACTGACTTGCCAGTAGGCCCCAGTGGCAATTGAGGGGTATAAAAGCAAAGGCACAAAACACTAAAACTGAGTTATGCGTAATATTCAACTGTAGTGTAAGGAATTGTTATTTTGGCCATATTCTGTTATTGGTAGATACTTTAATTAGAACTGAGGATTTAAATGACAGTACCGAAAATAATAAAATTCACGTTATATTAATCATAATTTAGAAATATATTTAGGACTTCGGTGCATATGCATTTAAACATTGGACTGAAGTATGTTTGCTCTTCATTGCTTGGGATCGAAGCGAATTTGCATCTCACTTTTTAATTCGAAATTTTTTTTTTTTGGATGGAATCTCGCTGTTGGGCAACACGCTTGTGACAGCAGTGTGTTGGTGTATCCCTTGTAGTATACATACAGCGAACATAAATTATTTACAACAAAAAAATACTAAAAATATAGCCAAAGATATATACAGATCTGAGGTCTCTCTGCATCTTCTACCGCATTTACCATGGACAGTATTCAGAGGAGTTGTTCGGTCTAATACCTGCAGCTGAGTTTCGTTATCGGACGTCAAGGCAGAATGAAAAATACCATCCGTATCACCTCGACGTCCGTCGTTCCACAACTGAGCGTTTTCTAAGGCAGTTTTTGCCGCGCACCACTGCTATGTGAAACCAATTCGAATTCTTAAAAAGCCGGCAACGCACTTGCGAGCCTTCTGGCATTGAGAGTGTCCATGGGCGGCGGTATCACTGAACATTAGGTGAGCCTCTTGCTACGTTTGTACTACAAAAAAAATACATACAAGTAGGTTCAAATATTTACAAAAGAAAAAAAACTATAAAAATATTTCATACGTAATACATTCGGTTATACTTTTTTTTTTTTTATTCCTTTATTTTACAAAATAATATAATACAATCATAATATGTTATATTAGAAAACCGCTGTGGTTTGTATAAATGTAACCATAGCAGTCTTGTTTAGGAGCGCGACAAATGCATATAAAAGTAGTTTTTTAATTTACTTTTTATGTTGGTGCTTAATACACCTATTAAGCATATTCATTTTCAGTCATTGTATATAACAGTTTAACTCGTTACACATACATATATGTATGTGTAAAAGCTCAGTTAAAACTCAAGAAACAAAACATCACTTACGAAAAGTACTCTTCAGCGGGAGGCCGCCTCAAAGTGACGTTTGCGAGGGCGGTTATATTATGTAGCGCAGTTTGAGTTTGATTAAAGCATTTCCGTAAGTAATATGTTCCGTTGTTAGCTTCGCACTCGTCGGCCGCCTCGTACGAGTAGCAAACTGGAAACAATTTTGTTTTTAATGACTTAAAATCCACTACAAACCTTGTTTTTGGCTTCAAATTTCTGTAGGCTTTTGAAGTGAAACTTCTTTAGGCGCATGAGGGTAATTTTTTACGGATGAAACGCAATAATAATAATATTAGCGTCACGAAGATGTGCACGCTGCACATTTTGTCGAAGAAAAGGAAGATACCGATTGAGACCGATTGACAGAGTTAGAAAGGGCGAACGTAGCAATACTATACGTAATTCTATTTTTAAAATTAAAATTTCGTAAAGAGAATTTATGGAAAATAAGTATTTTATATTTATATATATATTTTTTATATTTTATTTGTCATTTGAGATATCAATAAATTATTTTGCATGAAATATAAAATAAAGTCAAACATTGTAAGGAAGCCGGCCATACACCCAAAGAGTCGACTGAGTGCGTCAGGCACAGGATGCTACTTGCCTATTACATTAACAAATGATCAAGAAACAAATACAGAAATCTGAGGCCCAGACCTAAAAAGGTAGTAGCGCCACTGATTTTTTTTATTATCCATACGAAGAACACTAACCATAAGCGAAAGTTTGAAATGCATGTTTGAAAATAGGTTTCATTAATACAATTTTACAAGTTGATACAGTTACGCTTGATTTTTAAGTACATGTTCTTCATAAAGAATAAGTAAATAATAATTGTCATGGTACTTGTTGATTCAGGCCATAGACACAAAATAAGGTCGTTCTTTGTTTCGCCTTAATATGATTTTTTACTTAGCCTACCCTCTTAATAGCTACATACCAACATATGTAATTTGCTATGCTATCGTGAAAATCTTTCGCTTATCCAGAATAAAAGTATATTTTCAAATTTTCTCCCATCAAAACCTCGGAATTTAAGGAATTATTATTTTTTTGAAATTACTCACATTTTTCTATCCGTCTTTGAGTTTTACGCGTTTTAAAAAAATATTTATAAGAAGGAATAAAGAAATTTACTACTTACATTCCGTACTCCAATCTGCATCGCAATTCTGCCACGGCAATTGGTAGAAGATGCTCACAAACGAAACATATATGTAATAGAAAGTCCAAGCAATTATGAGATTGTAGTAGAGCATCACTATGGACGAAACAATCACCATTCCGTAGCCAAGGCCGCGGAACAAAGGGCAGAATCTATTGTAGACGGCGACTGGGCCAAGGGCTGCATACTGGCCGAAAGATAGCTCCATAAACATCAGTGGAAGACCTGCTATTATTAGCATTACCGTGAAGGGGATGAGGAACGCACCTGAAAGTAAATACAGGGATCATGAAAAATAAAGTGTTATTTCTTTCAATACAAATAATCTGTATAAAACATGATTTGAAAAAGTCTAAAGTTAAAAATCATTTATTCATATAGGTAACACAATGAACACTTATAGTACGAGTTCGGGCTGCAGGCTTAGTGCGCTCATTGGATATTTGCTTATGTTTACTTTAATTGTCATACATTTTAGATGGAAGATTTTGTAAAATAATCAGTAGATTTAATACTATGTATGATGTCGTAAACTGAATAACTAAATAAAACCAAATTTTTATGTATATTTATAATTAGGAGAATATATATCTACCAAGGTGCCTATCAAAATTTTTAATGAAATTATTTTGAATTGATTTTTGGGAAAACGTTTCGTTCACTTGTTATTTAAATAAAATAGCGTCTACATCACGGCAATTTACATAAAGATTTAAAAAAATCACGGGTGCCGTTGATCACCTGGCCGCACTTCTTTGTAGCCGTAGGTGTAAACAGGTATGATTTCGATACATTTTTTTTTTTAAGACAATTCACACCAATTGAACTAGTCCCATGCTAAGCTGGTGAAGCTTGTGTTATGGGTACTAGGCAACGGATATACATACATATTATAGACATATAAATACATATTTAAACACCCAAGACCTAAGCACAACACCAAATGCTCATCACATTGATGTTCGTCTCAGCCGGGGATCGAACCCGGGACCCATGGATTTGCAGTAAGGGGTACTAACCACTAGACCAATGAGTCGTCAATAATACGTTCATAACGTACATTTATTAATTATATATCAAATTGACGCTAATTTTGTTGGGATGGGTGCTTAGATAAAATCCGGCAGTTATGTTCTATATTTTTAATATTATTTTTTAACATGTTCTGTGTAATTAAATAAAAGAAAATTTGATAATTTATTCTGCCTGACAGTCAGGCGTTCGGCTTTCTTAACCTAAAAAAACGCATTATTGATTTGAACAGGGGCTTAGACAATCACTTTTCGACACGCGTCACCCACTAACGCTAAACATTAGCTCACGCTTAGCAACATGACCGGTTTCCTGCAAATTCGTATGTCTACGAAAATATTACGTCTCAAGCTCTAAGACAGGAGTTTGTACCTACCTAGTTACGGACATCATAATAAAATATAGAATAAATTTATTCAGATACTAAAATATTTAGTATATTAAGTCTTAGATATAATATCTAACACAGCTTGTGTTGCCTTATTTATTTATTAACACTTCGTTGCAGAAACATAATACAATTGACATAATTAAATGATGCATGGGCAACATATCCGCTTGCCATGTAGCAAAAGCCTTCTCCAGTCGCTTTCATTGCCAGCCACGCCCATTAATTTCCGGGACAATGTCTGGGACATTATGTGGTAGTCTTCTACCACGCTCTGGTAAGGTTAAAAACGTTCTGTCATATTACTGTACCATTACGTCTTTTTTTATGTAAAGCAGACGAGCTTGTGGGACGCCCAAAAAGGGCAGTCATCGCTGCCCATAGACACCCATTTTTAGTGGGTACGTTGCCGGCCTTTGCGTACACTTGAATTTTGAATAGTTGGAGGTGGTCTCTCAGGGAAGACCTACCGGGAGTCGATTCCACGGTTCTCTTATGACCTCTTATAGCTCAGTCCAAATTCTTCTTTTTCTTCTCTGGTCGTTACAATTTCGCGTATTCTTGTATAGACTCTATGATGCTTGTGCTTGTGTGAATCAGCTTTTCCTATTCCCACCAAGGGATTTTCCATTTTAATGTTTCATATTATACAACAAAACATAACAACAACAATAGGCTTGATATTTAATATGCCTATTCTTGTTGTTGTGAAATAATTATAACACTTATATAAAGTTAATTAACAAGTTGTCATGCAGATGACAATCTAGTTAGACCTTCAAAGGAATTTGTTAATTAAATAAATATACGTTACGAAAATACTCATTTCACTTTATTCATTTTACAATCAAATCCTCCTGTGCCTGACACACGCCGTCTACTTTAGATCTAAGGCAAGCCTGTTTACTCACGATGATTTCCTTCACCGTTCGAGCGAATGTTGAACGCGCACATAGAAAGAAAGTCCATTGGTGCACAGCCGGGGTGCGAACCTACGACCTCAGGGATGAGAGTCGCACGCTGAAGCCACTAGACCAACACTGCTCCAATATTAATAATAGCGTGGAAAATTGTATGTTAGTTGTAGTTTCTTAGAATTTCCGTGTAAAAACAATAAACGATAAAAAGAGTGGCAGAGCCTTGCCAGTTCTCGCCTGCTTCTTCTTTTCCCTCTCCATTACTAAAGGTTGGCCATCAGTCGCGTAAAGCATATCCTGTGCTACATTCAGCAACTGTTCCGCAGTCGCAATACCCATCCGCTCACTAACGTTGCGAAGCCCTGATTTTTTCCTTCTACCAACACGCCATTTTAGATTTTACCCATTATAATTAATTGAAGGAGGTGGTAGCGGCCATGTCGCAACACGTGGCCCAGGTACGAAACTTTCCGTGGTTTAATGTCTGCATAATTTTTTTCGACACTTCAACCCGATTACGAACTTTATCGGTGTCTTCTTTTATCGTCCAGGCTTCACAGCCGTACAGAACAATTGGACATATGTCAGAAAGGTCAAGTGACGACAGCCCAAGACTTTTAGGGAAGTTATTTATTTGTTTATCAGTACAGGTACTTAGAATACAATATCTAAACAATTACATTATACGCAAAATCCAAAACCGGATACACATTCAAACCTACACAGGTACCATCTTTTCTTGATGGCCTTTTTTGGCAAAGTAACAAAAGATGGATGGTTAGAAATATATAAGACAAATTTAATATCCGATCATTTTTAGTGCTCGCTATACGAAAACAGATTCTCTAGGAAAACAAAGTACCCATTGTAAATATTAAAATGACTGTTCAAACGCACAAAAGAAACTTTGGCCTGAATACAACGATTAAGTTAAACGCTTTCCACTTGTATGCATAACCTTCAAAGCCCTCTTAATATTAAAAAATACTATAAATAGTTAAAATAGCATATATAATGGATATAATGGATAGAAGATATAGAAGCGTTAGCAGGTAGCGAATGGAGAAAGAACGCCGTGGATAAAGATTAAAGAAGGAAAAAGCTGGAGGACGTGTGAAGGTGTTCCGATCAATAATACTGAAGGACGTTAGGATAACAAGGAAATGTATATAACAAATTAACATAAAATTTAAAGCTATTAAAAGGTCGCCAACGCACTTTCGAGTCTTCTGGCAATGTCAGTGTCTATGGGAGGCGGTATCACTTAACATCAGACGAGCCCCCTGCCCGTTTGCATATGTTATATAAAAAAAACATTTGTAAAGACTTGATGTTATTATTATTGTTTTGACGAAAGTGACATAAATAAAAATTCCAATCCTTCTCTTTATTACAACTTCCTAGGTTTCTGGGTGTCCTCTATATTCTTCCAACTGGACTTTTTTGACCAATTAATTTGAATGTATGTTATGCTTCGTATTACACTGTTTTAAACTTTGTCTTTAATTTTCAACCGAAGAAGTACATGATACTGACATATAGGTCATTCAAAACGGAGACAGCCTTAAGTCCATCTTCCGTACAACAAAAATGTAATTTTGAGTTATGGAAGTAATAGCTCGCGCTAAGTATCGTTTCTAAAGTTACCATCAGACCCTAAGTCGTGACAGGCATTGACCCATTACCAAAGAAACCATAAAAGAACCAACGTATGTTCCCTGGGGTATTTACTTAAGTAACCTAACTTCCAATCAATCAATCAATAAAGTACCATCGACAAGGAAACAAAGAATATGTAAAGATCTGTGGTTTATAGTTTATCAAAATGGCGCCATTTCTATTCATAATTATTTTTATAAAAATTTACCTCCTCCGTTATTATAGCAAAGGTACGGAAATCGCCAAACATTCCCCAAACCAACGCTGTATCCGAGTAATGATAGGAGAAAATCAAATCGACCAGTCCAGTTCCCTCTTTCTGGTTGTGTCTCTTCTGGGATCTGCTCTCGCAGCATCACCTCACGGCACTGAAAATTATTTATACGTAAAAATATTTTGCATACATAATTGTAAAGGTAGCCCACGTTTTCCAATTCTATTGAAGCGTAATTTAGACTTCCTTAAGAGTACACAGGATATCCCAGGTTACACTGGAATATACCAGGAGAACTGGAACAGTTTACAGAATTTTGTCTTTGAGAATAAAATTTTCTCCTTCAACCCAATTTATTAAAATAATGATTTTACAATATTTAAGGGCATACATAATAACTACAAAATTTGTATGTATTAATAAATCTTATTTACATTATCTGTAAATAAGATTTATTAATATAATATATTAAGATTTTTACAGATTTATGCGAGAAAAATTCTACGTGTTCAGACACGATGCTATTACTTCATATACTGTTCACGTGAACAATTTAAGCTTTACTTAAACTTATTTTGTTAAAAAAAAATACCTCACATAATAATTATACTTATTTAATGAATTTAAAATACAACAAATATAATTGTATAAATTTCTAACGTACACAACACTTTACCGCCGCAAAAATTAATTCTGATTTTAAAGATATATTGCCAATTAATCAAATATATACGTCGTATTGTCTCCATTTAATTTACATAATATTTTATTAATAAACAATCGTCCATGTCTTCTATTTGCACATAATTAATTCTTGTAAATTTAAATAGTAAATATCCTAAATTACATAACATGTACTTACATCGTTCGAATCCATTTCGATATCTTTCATCACAGACGAAATTGACGTCCTAGACCGACTCCGTGTTTCCATAATCGCTATACCATTTCACCCATTTATTTCCAATTAATCACATCATTTCACATTATTTTAAAGCGTATTAACATTAAATTGAAAAATACGAAACGCGCAGATGTCATTCCCATCGACCGAACTTTGAATGAACATCTAGGTCAATATCAACTCCCCCCGCACCTCTCCTGGACCGACAGCCTCTCAAGTCTACGCCGTTAACCATGTGAGATGCCTAACAATCCCAACGTGCTTTCTTCGGCCATTTTTAATATCACACCGGTAGATTAATACTCGAATTTCCTATTGTTTTTTTTTTAGTTTTCTACTCTAGTTAATTAACATTTGTTATCTGTGAAACAATTTAAGGGATTAATATGCTCGTATATTTTTAGGTATTTGTGATTTCTCGTTTGTTTCCTTCATATATAAAATAAATAAATTTATCAATAGATTCTCGAAGTGTAATGCCCGACTTAAGAAAGTATAGAGCTTATTATCCTCTTGAATCTATGGTAAATATGTATTACATTTAACTTAACCGTTGGGTCTTCGTATACTTATTCAAATTTCTATCTAAACAGACATTTACATAAATTAGTTTATTATTACCATCGATTTATTTTCCAATTACAAACATTTAATAAGTAAAGAGGCTTTTTACAGCATTCATGCGATTACGTATTTTTGTTTATGGACGTTTAGTAACTAATCTGTTTAATACTTGAATATTTTAAATACGTATGCATTATTTAAATATGTCAAGGGCATTTTATTGCATAAATTAAGCTTTCAAGATGCATGGTGAGGACACAAGGTACGGTAGGTCGGCGAAGTAGAACATTATTGATTAGGTCGACGTGCGCGATTTCTTATATCGAGTGGCCTATTCTACGGGTGCGAATCTTAGTGCGGGTTTGATGAGCAAAATACTAAACAACTATAATTTCCTTACTTTTGTCATCTGATTTTGTATCCTATGTACAATAATTATTACAACAAGTTCTATAGGTTTTATTACGTTTGTAATTCATTGGATTACCAAAACCTAAGTCCCGTTAATAGCTGTAATAAACACACTGGTATTTTATAACCTTAGACACGAGATCAACAATGTTTTAATTTATTGTACGACCATTAATTATAATCACAATTACCAATAATTTTGCTGTTAATTGGGAATTGATGCTACTAAGTGATACATAATGTTTTATATATTGTTTTTAACTTTTATTTAAATTTATCACAATATTAGGCCTGGTTACTCATATATTTATTAAAGTAAATTTGTTTTCATATTTATTATGAGCAAGAGTTATACACGAAATTCATACAAAACTTACGTTTCGCGCCGAAAACTCTAATAACCACCGCGCACGCGCCAAAACAGCAGTGCCACAGATAAGTAAATTGCGAATGTGCCATAGATATCATATATTATGCGAACATTATAAAATTAGTACATATAAATATTAAGATTAAATCTTTTTGGTGAAATTATGTTTTTTTGTAATTTATGGTGCTTTACCTAAATTAGAAATCTGTTTTGCTTGAAAATTAGATTAAACATTCTAATACATATGTAGGTAGAAACGTTTTTGATATTTTGTTAGATGAGAAATAGAAAGAAATTATATTTTCAATTGTTTATTAACATTACGAAATATATATAAAACAACAGGAATGTAAATAATTGGCCCTCCATTTTTACCTATACCTAATCACATATGTAAAACGTACAAAAATCTAAAAATTATTTTTTAGTAAGCATTCCTTTGATGAGTGATTCCAGTTTTCTTGTATCGGCAGCGAATTTTCGAATTCCATCAGACAATTTGTCAGTTGCCATTTGGTCTTCATTGAGATGCCAACGAAACTGTGCTTCGGATAAAGATATTTTTTCTAAATCACTTTCCGCGGCCACTTTTTGATCTAGCACCTATGAAAAAGGGTTTTGTCAATGTCACACTAAACATACTTTTTACCATAAACACACAATATTAAATTTGTTTTTGTATGAGAATGACATTAGCTCACGCTTTGTCACGTGACCTTTTTAAACAAATTCGTTTGTCCACTAATTGTGACGACTGTCCATAAGTGATTTTGTCTCTGTGTGTCTCTTTAACTTTGAAGTGATACAGTTTACATACAATCAGTAAAGTGAAAGAAGTGAATTACAGCGAATTAAGTAATTAATGCATTGTTTAATTTGCTACCCTTGATCTAAAGTCGACGCATTTTAAACTGAGTCGGGCAATTTCATGACAGCGGGAATATCCATCGGTGGCTAGAATTCTAGAATAATAAATAATATACCAAGAAAAGAACGTGTTGTAGAAGTTCGGCTACAAGTTTTAAAAAAAAAATGTCGATGGCTGAAAGTATTTAATTGAAAGAGCGGATATAGTCTGCGCCAGAGTATATTAATACTTAACATAATTCAGTATATCGATTGTACCTATCCCGTTATCGATATGCACCTCTACAATTCTTACGCACATCACTACTCCTCTCCATAAGACCTTCAAGGGCGAGTGAGATGGACAGATAAATATGATTTATGACCCAACGCCTCAGTTCATAATGGGTCGACTGTAGTTCTTATATCTTATCTTAATTGACTACATCTAAGGGTTAATTAAATAAAAATGTTATTAAGGAAATGTGACTAAACAAGTCACAAGAACTATAATTAGTATTTACCTTTTTAATAGGCTGTTCACTGTTAGCCAGTTCCTGCAGCAATTTCGGACTGATAGTAAGAAGATCACAACCAGATAGCTCAGTTATCTCCCCAGTATTACGGAAAGAAGCCCCCATAACTTGAGTTTTGTATCCAAACTTCTTATAATAGTTGTAGACACGGGTCACAGATAGTACTCCGGGGTCTTCTGTTGCTATATAGGTCTTCTTTGTATGCTCAACATACCTTCAATAAAATAATAACTAAATTTATAATATACTTAACTAACTTGTTAAATATATGTTCGTCCTTAACACACTTTATACAAAATAATTACATTATTTTTAAGTTATACTTCTTTAGGCGCGTTATGAAAAATTTATGAGAATGAAATTTTACGATGCGCGCGCACCGAGACACAAAATGATCAGTATGGGCGCCGAGCGTGCGCGAGCGAGATGGGAATAAGACAATCTACAAGTAAAAAGAAATAGAATATGCGTGACGTTAGCAGCTATGCCAAGAATTTAGAATGACCAAAATGACATTTGTAGTACCTTTTAAACCAATAAAGGAGTTTTAATTATTTTTTTAAAAGAAATTTAGCAATGCTTTTTCACAAAGACCTATTGCTACTCAAGGTTATGAAATATACCTAGTTATTAAATTGAATTAATAAAAGAATAAATAATTATTATTATTAATCTTAATTAATAATTGAATAATATACTAAATATTAAATATTGTTAAATTATTCACGCTAAATATTTATTATTAATTATTTAATATTTAAAAAAAATAAAGAAAGCCAAAGAAGTATAACTTCTTACGCGCGTACATACGTACACGCACCATTTTTTTTTTGTATTACATATCATTTATACAACATGTTATGTCCAAATCTATGGCTTGATGATTTTCATCTCTTATTTAAAAACAAAATAAAAATCTCCTTTAAAATAATTTTAAATATTGTGTTGTTTTTAATTGTTTAAAACTTGTGTTAAAATTTGTATTAACACATACTTCCCATAAAAAAAGATTTAAATAGCTTTAACTTACCAGTCCAGAATTCTCCCAACAAATGGGGAGATCAAAGTAACATTAGCTTCTGCGCAAGCAATAGCTTGGTACATCGAAAATAGGAGTGTCAAGTTGCAATGAATGCCATGTTTTTTTTCCAGCTCCCTAAAAAATAAAATATTTATTAGCCTTATAAGCCTTAGAAGATGGTGTATAAGTTTTAATTAACTGTATTGACTATGATTACCATATGCAAATGTTGCCGTGTCAACAAAGTGGAGTGCGACCCTGTGGGTAACATTCTAATCACAGTTGTGACACTAATGTATTTTTTGTTTGATGTGCATAAAAAAATTCATGCTCATACAACATAAACATTGTAAACCAGTGTGTCATAATTAAATTCAACATTTCAAAAATTTACAAAAACTGCCACACAAGGCTGATCACCTACTTGTCACTAAACTATAATTGACAAAGGATGTAATCCAAAGGCAAAACCCACAGAGGGATGTAGTGTCACCAGATTATCTTTATTATACTATATCCACATACTTAGCAGCTTGAATTCCTTCCCAGGTAGATGCTAGTTTAATGAGAATTCTTTCCTTTTTAATACCATGCTCGGCAAACATGGAAATAAACTTTATAGCCTTAGCCATACTTGCATCCTTATCAAAAGATAATCTGAAACAATGATAACAATCTAAAGAACTCTATATCAATTACAAGATCGGTAGATTAAAATCAACACAACACTAATTATTCTATAATTGCATGTGATAACAAATTTTACCTTGCATCTACTTCAACAGAAACTCGCCCCGGAATTATTTTAAGTATTTCACAGCCAAACAAAACACTAAGCATATCCAATGTTTCAGCCAACTGCTCATCAATTGTACTGGAACATAAAGATTCATAACACTTTTTTGTATAAAAACATTTTAACCTCTAAATGGGCATGTTGAAGGTTGTTAATGGCGGGCTGTCAACTTCCTGGTATTTACAGAGTATTTGTGAGATGAAAAAACAATGTTTCTGATGCAATTCCTGTGACACCATAATTATGGTATTATGTGAACAAAACATTGATTTATAAGTTTATTAATAAAACTAAACTATTATATTAATAACTTTGACTCTAAAGTCTTTGAGAATTAATTAATGAATGAACATTTATAATCTACAAGTAGTAGTCACATATTAATACATAGTACAAACTTAAATATTAATCTGTAAACAAATCCAAAATTATTGAATTCAAAGTAATTTGTTTAGCAGGATTTTATCACATGACATATCTTTTCCTTTTATATGAATGACTAGCATATGAGTAATAATAATTTACATACATTCAACATACATTTTCCTCTCAAATTCAAAATTCACTTCAAATTCAAAGTCTTTGTAATTATTGGAATTGATAAATTTAAGTTACTTTGTCCTTAATAACTACACAACTAATTTTTTTAACTATTATACAAGTAATTTCAATTCTATTTATTTATTAGTAATAACTTCATAAAATACACACCCCCCACAGTCCTTGCCATATTTGATTGCTTTATCTAGTAAATGCTGATATTGGTCCATTCCAGCAGCAGACAAAATTAAACTTGGGTTTGTAGTAGCATCAGTAGGTTTGTATGCTTTCATAGCTAAAATCCAGAATTCAATATAACAATCAAATAATAAAGACATACTTAAAAACTATAACACATAATATGACGTAATAATACATCCTATTATGTTATTTAATTTTTTCTCTTCACTTCATTAAATACATAATACATAAAATTATATGACAAGCCTAAAGATTGTCTAAAGGTCAAAGATTATCGTGAAGTAAAGAAAGTATAAATTTAATATTATTATACTGTAAAAATTTATGGTAAAAACTATTTTAATATGAAATAACGAAACAACTGGCTAACCTTCAAAATCACCGGTATCTGCTACTACTGTAGAATATTGCTTTAACTGATCCAAAGAACTCATTTTCGTTCGCTTTGCTTGAGGTTCACCACTCATACTGAAAAGTTAACAAAACTTGCACGATTTATTAGCTAAAGTAAATTTATTAGAGCGCGAATAGTGTATTCAGTGTATAGGTTCTTGATTGGCTAACGGTTACTGCGTGAAGGTGACCCCGACAACTTGCAATAAGGACTAAGGTAAATGATATTATTTCCACTACATAGAACTACAAAAACTGATTCGTATCTTCCAATCGCTGCTCGAAGCGTTTTGTCGTGCGTAAGTCGTGAGTCGTCAGAACTCAGACGATAACCTTTTTATTCATGACAACTTACGTTTATTAAATAAAATTTCAATACTGTAAACAAAACATATCAACAAGAGCTACATTTCGTACATACCTTAAAAACTCTTAAATGTTCAAACAGTAACAAAATATAATACAAAATGTTAAAAAATATTATTAAGAATAAACTATTAAGCAACTTTTAGGTTTAGTAACAACCACAGATTAGGAAGTGGTATCAACTTTGAAGTGTGATAAAAAAATCCACAGTCTAAGAAAGGGTATGTTTGAAATACAGAGTCCTCATTTAGAATACTATACAGATAATAGATATTATATATTTTCATGCTGATGATGAAGTATTTGTTATAAAACAAAATCAACAAAAAATTTTAAAGTTTTAATAAACTTATTCCTAAGGCTACGTCCGCATAGGCAGGAGGTTTGCTTAGCGCCTAGCGCCTAGAGGCTTGCCGCCTGGCTACTTGCTAGGTGACTACGGTGGCCGGACTAAAGGTGTCTTGCGTAGTGGCTCGCTAGGTGCGTTGGTCATTTGTTTGTCGGCACGTTAGCGACATGTCACTTTCAAAAATAGCTCTGAAACTGCTACTTACAGAAAAATATTCTTTAAAATATACAACTTCACGACCTTCTCTACCATGTTGGGTCCAAGACATAAATAAGTTACGGTCAAGTCATGGGGAGTTTAATGTTCTGTATAAACAATTGCGTAATTATGACGAAAAGTTTTACGAATATTTGCGTATGCCCAGAGAAACATTTGATCTACTTTTCAGTAAAGTTAAAGTAAAATTAATTCATTTGGATACTCATCTAAGAAAAAGCATAACAGTATTTTTCTACTTCGATTGCTACCTCTTTCCGTAGCTTCTTTAAGACGACTGCATTTTCATGGAATTGATTAAAGGGATTCCACAGAGGTTCCCCTTTAAAAACTATTGAAATTAATATTTCATCCACCACGAATGCTTCGCGCCTAGCGACAAAAAACCAACACGTTTGTTTACTTCGATACACGCTAAGCGACTAGCTAGGCGCCAAGCGCGCAATGCGGCCGTTCGCGAAGACTCTAGAACGTTCGTTTTACTAAGCTACTCGCTTGGTGACTCGCTAGGCGCTAGGCGCTAAGCAAACCTCCTGCCTGTGCGGACGTAGCCTAAGTCCTTATTTTTATAATAACATTATTGACTACAGATACCTTCCTTTTTTAACATTGGTATAAAACACCAAATCGGTGTTTTATTTTAATTAAAATTTAGTTTGTTCCAGATTATTCAATTAAATCCGATAGCCACCAATTCTAAAGTTCACACATCTGTGAAAATAATATAGAGGAAATATCACAGGCAGTCCTTTAAAGCTGAAAAGTTGTTCATCATTTGTTATTTATAATCTGTAGTTCTAGAAAATTCGGGTTTCCGATAGAACCAGTAACAACTGTCAAAAGCAAATAGCGAGAGCCGAAGAATCACAATTTTGGTCAGTTTTCTCAAGTGAAGTGAAGTGTTCTCTGTGAAACCGGCGTTTCTTTTGCGAACTAATTGTCAGCCTATAACAACGTGTTTTTTAAAACTCTAAATAAAAAGATTTCAGTGACTCAATTTCCCCTAATCGAATTGTTATTTATATAAAATGGCTGCAATGTCAGTTATAGGTATTGATTTCGGTAATGAATCTTGTTACATTGCTGTAGCAAAAGCAGGTGGCATTGAGACAATAGCTAATGATTACAGTCTACGAGGTACTCCGTAAGTAAAATTTTCCATTTTCAAGAAAATGCTATTATTCGCTGTCATTAGAGAAGACACTCTCACAATTAGTATAAATTTATAATCTAAGAAGTAGCGTGTAGTTAAGTAATTAAAGAAGATAGCGAACGATTTTGCATGACATGACACATTTATTGGTTCTAAATATTTGGTTCAGGGGTAATTATGACAAATATATTTTAATAATCTTACTAGATTTTAAGTATTTTTTTGTCATATTTCAGATCATGTGTGGCCTTTTCACCAAAGAACCGTATATTAGGTGTAGCTGCCAAAAATCAAATGGTTACAAACATGAAAAGTACTGTGTTTGGATTCAAGAGACTGTTAGGTAGAAAGTTTTCTGACCCTTATGTTCAGAAAGAGTTGAAACACTTCCCATATAAGGTTGAACCAAGGCCGGATGGTGGAATTGGCATAAGGATTAATTATTTAGGAGAAGATAATGTGTTCAGTCCTGAACAGGTATGTCTTTAATTCTTATCTGAGATATAACCTCATTCTAAATGTATCACACACAAATCCATTGGAATAAGTTCAATAGGTTACTTATGACCTAGATTAGAACCAATGTAATCCTCTACATACCTAATATATCTAAACACATTTTATGAAACTTAAGGATTCTCCAAGCACAGAGGTTATACCCCTCAATGATTTTTATGATGAGCCTATAGCTAATTTTTGAATTGAAAAAAAAACCAGTTTAAGTTTGTAACATCATTTTATTTACAGATAACTGCTATGCTGTTCACAAAATTGAAAGAGTCTGCTGCTATTGCCTTACAAACACCGATCAATGACTGTGTTATATCTGTTCCTAGTTATTTCACAAATGCTGAGAGGAATGCGCTGTTTGATGCCGCTGCTATTGCAGGTATGTCCTGGATTCTCTGGAGTTTATTAATTAATGTAAAGAAATAAGTCAATGTCAAAAAGAAGACTATATATTTTTAAGAAAATTAATGAGCTTTAGGTAAAAACTAGCTGTCAGCCTTGAAGAAAACATTATCTAAATTTGACATTGAAACTATATGGTTTATATTATAGATAAATCTCAACTTTTAGGAAGATAACATTTAGAAATTTAGTTATAAAAACAATATTTTGAAATTATCTATTCTAAATGCAAAACATTAATAATGATGTCATATTCTGTAACAGACCATATATGACTTAAAACCATATGATTTCTGTAAATGGTAACAATCAAAATAAGTTGATGCCCTTGTAGTTCTGTACTTACAATGGATTAACCTTGACCTTAGTGAACAATTATAGTTTGTAACTGAATTTTATATTCCAATCAATAAAGTTGACAATAATTGTAACATATTTTTTCTATTTAACAAATGTGGTTTTAATAGTAAAGTTTTGATTCTTAACTTATGCCTACTGCAATAATATACTTTAGTATCACAATTGTACAATTTAAGATAAATTTACAAAATATGTGACCTCTTTTCATTACTTTCTTCTAGTTAATTGTTTTAAATTATAATTATTAAACATTCTATATCCAGTAACTGTAATTATGTATTAACTCCATACACACATCTGCACCTACATAACCAGAAGTTTATACTATTATAACTATTGTATAAAGCACAAATTTCAGGTAAGATATCAGCCATGTATGGTCTAACTTGAATGAGCTTGGAAAACAAAAATTACATCCACCATCAATCTATGTACCAGCTTTAAACAATACTAAATCTATAAAGCATCCTCTGTTGAAAATGAGTTCAGAAAATTATAGAATTTACTTTTTATTTACAGGACTCAATGTTTTGCGTCTTATGAACGAAACCACTGCCACAGCCTTAGCATATGGTATCTATAAACAAGATTTACCAGCTCCCGAAGAAAAGTCAAGAAATGTTGTTTTTGTTGACTTTGGACATGCTTCCCTTCAGGTAAGCATAGGTTTACATATAGTGGTGAAATGGCTGTATGTATGTCTTTATAAATTTAATTGATATAGAAAAATTTATGTTTGGATAAAATGGTAGCATAACAATATTAAAAAAAACCTTACATCTGCTCAAACTAAATCTCTATGTATATAAAATTCTTGTGTCACAATGTTCGTTCCCATTCTTCTCCTAAACGGCGCGACCGATTCTTATGAAAATTTTTATGCATATTCAGTAAGTTTGAGAATTGGCTACTATCTATCTATTAAACCCCTAAGTGATAAGGGGGTCCACCCCAAAACAATTTTTGTTATTTTTACGACAATTTTTTTTGTTTTTATTTTTTTCTGATTTTTTATACAAAAATACATACAACCCTTAATTTTCACCCATCTACGATCAACTCCTATTTTTTATTATTGATAGTGATTTTTATTGAATCATACATGGCAAAACAAACGTTTGCCGTTTTAGCTAGTAATGTTATAATATTTACTATTCTACAGATGTTTTATTAAATTACTAGCTGACCTGGTTAACTTCGTACCGCCGAACAGTCAATTAATGTCGTGTTATAGATTAGCTGAACTTTATTTATGATTTTATTAAAGAAATACAATTAATTTAAAAAAAAGACAAAAGACACAAAAAGAAATAAAAGTTTGCCGATAAATATTTGACATCAATAATATTAATGTCATTAGTGACATTCTCTACATTTATAAAATCTAAAATACGCCATATCCTAATATTGTGCGTATCTTGTCAATTTGAAACCTTAATTTAAATACTTTCTTGAGAGAGTTTACCGTATCAACGGGTTGAACATTGAATGCTTGAGTTACGAAATTCATGATCATTTAGTATTATTATTTCTTTCGTCAATTTTCCAATATTTTTATGGAACGGAGACAAATACAACAAATCAATTACAATGAAAATTTAGTCCAGCCGTAATAATTGTCGAACAAACCCGACTTCGTTTTATATATTAAGATGAGTTCTATATAAACAATATGCACCTTAGAACATTTAGTGAACAATGTTAAAGCAAATTGACTAAAAATTTTCTTTTTTAACTTAATAATATATAAATGTAAAGATAAGATAACCACAGAACCACAAACACTGGTTGAAGTTTGATTGAATTGTGTTCCTATTTAATGTATAGTTTTAACTTTGATATACAATAGACACATGTCAATGAATGTGTGAACTACTATTACCAGCATGCTAATATAGATTTTGGTTTTGGTTTCCACATATTTATGAAGCTTTCTAACTAATAATTTTATTTGTAACATATGTGGGTTTGACTTCAAGTAAAGCAATTGATACAGTAGATGGTCAAACTGTTGCTAGGTGGATCATACCTTAAAAAAACTAATGTAACAGACTCCACCATCTATCCACACACCATCCACTCCACCACCATAAAACACATGCTTTATATTTAAATGTGTTTAACACATAAGTATTGTTTTAATATAAATTATGATTGCTAAGTTACATATAATGATGATATATACAGGATATAATTATTTATAAAGAATTATAATAATTTTTTTTTGTAAAAATATGGTGGTATCTAAGTATATGCCACATAATGGTGTGCAAATTTGTTTTACATAATTAAAAGTAGAATTTTATATCAATTACATTATCAATCATATCATAGTAAAATATTATTTTATCACTTACGTCATAACATTATTACTATGCTTCACTCAAATAATCATAAATAAAATACTTTATTTCCTAACATAGTATATTATGTAGATTTTTAATAGTTCTAGTAGAAAAATCTTTCAATGTTTGTGGTAAATTATTTGAATCTCGATTTATTTTTTCTCTCACTTTTAAAATGACATTCAGATACTTATGAAAATATGTTATAAAAATGATATCATAATCGTGTCGCCCGCAACATTGCGATAAAAATGTTTTTCTTATACCATTCCAGATTAATTTCTGGCACAACTAATAAATCAGTTTAATTGTACCAATTTAATTAATATATACTTATCTGTCTCTTTTCATCAAAGTGTAAACACACTTTGAACGATAGAGAAGAGAAGTTTAATTGCACTAATTTAATGAATGTACTTATGTCTGTTTACACACACATCTTGACAGAAAAGACAAACGAGTTAATGAATTAAAAGATAATTGCACATTAAGAGACTAATTTGGTTTCATATAAAGGAGGTTAATATTTTTTAAACCGAGATTATTTTTAGGTGATGTACCTTTCTGAACAACAAATATAAATACATACTTTATTAATATAGATTTTCAGTAAAAATCTTTTGTTAAAAAGGCTTTTTTATGTTACAGGTAGCTGCTTGTGCATTTAATAAGGGCAAACTGCGTATACTAGCTACCTCATGCGATGCATCCTGTGGTGGTCGGGATATTGACAGTGCCCTGGCTGAGTATTTCTGCCAAGATTTTATTACCAGATACAAATTGGATCCCAAGAAAAACCAGAGGTATAAAGCATTTTACTTAAATTGTAAAATTTACTTTTGATACCGAAGAATAAGTCTTAAAACAATAATAGATTATAAAATTGGTTTTCTTTTGTTTTTATGTTTTGTCATATATTGTAAGTTGAACTGATAAGGACAATTGTTAAGTTATTCAGGGCTCACAGTTCATAAGGTTAATTATTTTATTTTCTTGTCAACAAAACAAGTTTTTGGTAAATATAAGATTTAGGATACAATAAGGGTCCATATTCTTATTCATATCTTAAATCACAATCTTTGACAGTGACAGTTCTTGGAACTAGATTAATGTTTGATTGATGTTCTGTGAGCCTATGAGACTTTTTCTCATATTTCTAAATTCTTATTCTAATGGATACATATTATATTATAGGGCATACCTTCGTCTATTACAAGAAGTTGAAAAAATAAAAAAGCAAATGTCAGCGAACAGCACCAAACTGCCTCTGAACATTGAGTGCTTCATGGAAGAGCGGGATGTGACCGGAGACATGCAAAGGACTCAGATGGAGCAAATCTGTGCCGAAACATTCAGCCGGATTGAACGGACATTGAAGAATATACTTCATAATGCCAGTAAGTTTAGTTTTTTTTTTAAATGATGCTAGCCAAACTGGATTTTGTTTCTGCAGAGGCTTAAATACATTATTTTGTATGACTCTGAGGTTCTAACTAACAAAGACACAGCGCACACTCATAACAACTGTCAAATACAGAGTGTATTATATGCTCAAACACCAGTGCCCACACATGCTGAAACATTTTATGCAGACTTATGACTTGTGTTTGAATAGATACTAAGACTTCTTTTGCTTCAAAAATTGTTTTACCCAGCAGCAACATGTACCACAGAATAATTGTAATCTCACAACACAGGGGACTAGCGTTGCATTAATTTTGTCATAACCGTAGTTCTGTCAGGAATAAAGTTTTATTATTATAGTATTCTAGAATTAACCCAGCATTTTCAACCCTATTTGCCTTAACAGGCTATGCTTAGTTTTGTATTAGTAAAGTCATTTTTGCACTGGAATTTGAACAATCTTTTAGGTTATGTAGCTTAGTAGTGACAATCAATTCATAATATTATTTGTTAATTGTAATCTTATTGTATATACACTATTGGTTTTGAGTTTTTCTATGTGGTTTTTTCAAATTAGAATAATCTTTCTAACCTAACTAATTATTATAAACACCAGCTATTTATTAAAACCACCAGTTTAATATGTTCCATTATTGCACTCTATTAACGTTTTTGTCTCTTTTCCTCCAATTGTATTTGCGCTATAATGAAAGGTACAAAAATTCAAAATTCAAAAGGCACAAACATGAAAGTATATATTTTTAATATTCAGAGAACAGATCTTACTAGATAGATAATTAGGAATAATAATAAAAATAAATTTTTCAGAACGCATCTGTTTCATGAGTTTACTTCTTTTGTTAATATCTGATGTAGTCAGTTAGAATTTAACTATTAGTCACTTGGTACTAGGAATTTACACGCCTAAGCAAGTATCTACTTTGTAAAATGAATTATTTTATATTCAAACTAATAAATAATTTTAATTACAGAATTGCGGCCTGAAGATATCAGCTCTGTGGAGATAGTCGGTGGCTCAACCAGAATTCCTGCCGTCAAAGCACTCATGGAACAAGTGTTTGGTAAAGTCCCATCAACTACGCTTAATCAGGTACTTATTGTCTAATAATCTAGTAACTCTAGAACCCCATAATGGGTCTTTACTTTTTAGTTTCACTTATAAGGCAGAACCACTTATATTACAGAATATTTTTATTCAACTTGATAGACATTAACACTTGTTATATGTCTTGAATAAGTGAATGCATTATAGATATATTATTATTATAAAAGCCATTAACGAAATTCAAGTTATACATGTTATCATTCTGTTATTACGAAATTAAATTCCAATAAAAGACAATATTAGGAGTAGACATTTACAAGCATGCTACAACGTTAATCCAGTCACGTGACTGAGGTATACAAATCAATATTGTTAATTATGGAAGTCGTGTTTCATACAGACTATCAATAATTTTTATTTTTCATGCTGTCAAGTCTAATGCGCGTATTACGAAAAATCTCAAAAGTCTATAGAACTTTATTCTATCCACTAATCTAATAGCACCGTTTTAACTATTCATCCGTCTCCTTTCATCACAGAGGGAACGCAAATTGACAGAGAGAGATGGTAGAGTTAGTTCGGAGGATATTGAAACTGATTTTCTTTTTTTTATTAAAAAGGGGGGATATGTACCTAAAGCTAGTTTTATGAAAACTTTTAATGTTTTAATTACCTTAATAAGTAATAATATGATGAGTGATAATGTTATAATTTATTAATTGAAGTTCAATACTTCAAAAAAACTTGCTACATATAGTACCAGCTATGCCTATACACAATTGTTTAGGACGAAGCGGTCGCCCGTGGTTGCGCCCTGCAGTGCGCGATGTTAAGCCCCGCAGTGCGTGTACGCGAATTCAACGTCACGGACGTTCAGCCGTACGCTGTTCGACTCGCGTGGGACGCTGATCGCGGCGAAGATGGCGATATGGAGGTAATTATTATATGTGAATTTTTATTTCATTTTAATTTACTATTATTCATTTACTATAATATTTTTTATTATATATTTTAAAGTGATATATCAGTGAATTGTATTATTATTATTTTTTAATTTTTCAACCGAACATTTTAAAAATATTAGCATCGGTACGCATTTCCGTTTCCTTCTATTTTCTTTGTGCGCATTTAACACTCGCTCGTACGGTGAAGGAACACATCGTGAGGAAACCACCATACCTTGGACCCAAAAAGTCAAGGTGTAAGGCATGTTTGGTCACCTACTTGCCTATTTATAAATTATCATGCACCTTACAGAAATCTGAGGCTCAGGCCTAAAAGGTGATATATTATAAATAAATGATATTTGATTGTTTGCCAGGTGTTCCCTGCTTTCCATGCAGCGCCATTTTCAAAAATGCTGACCTTCTACAGAAGAGAACCGTTCTCTGTCAGTGCTTATTACTCTGATGAAGTTCCGTACCCTGACACCTTTATTGGTAAGTATTGATACTTGTTCTAAGAGGTAATCAGTTTGACCTGTATGAGATTTTTTTTGTTTGTTCATGAATTTCTCGGGAACTAAGGGGGCGTCCATAAATTACGTGAGGTGTTTTTTTATTTTCTGTGACTCCCTCCCCCCTGGTGAGATGTCGTGAGATTTTATTCAACCCCCTCCCCCATCCCCCAATCTCACGTGAGATTTTTCAAAATGTGGGTTTCTTACGTAAACGCGTTGGATTGTTATTGTAAAAGAAGAAAAAAATGCTTCGTGCTTTTATTTACGACTAAAACAAAATAAGTGAAATGCTGAGCGTTTAGGTATGGAGTTAGCGGGAAGTTGCAGAGATGGCCTTTTGGGTCAACCGTTTTCCTATTTTTTTTCAATCAGAAAAAAATTACGTGATATTTGCCGTAACCCCCTCTCTCCAACGTAAGATTAAATGAGATTTGACTCGACCCCTCCCCCTTAAACATCTCACGTAATTTATGGACGCCCCCTAACTTATAACTATCGATCTTAAGAACGGATGTTTCATCAAAATCGTATTAGTAATGTTCCATCTATTAACATGAAAATAATTATGTCGTCCATATTTACCTTCTCATTTGAACCGATTTTTTTTTTAATTAATTTTTTATATGTAGTCTTTGATTAGATTTGTTGTGTACTATCAGTACTAGTAAAGGTTTAAAGTTGGCCTCAATTAACCAGTTTTAATTAACATTAACATTATTTTGCTGATTACCTCTTCATTTAATCCAATAGGGTTTCCAGTTAGAGTCTTTGGTATGGTTTGTGGACTCAGTTTCCGCAATTAGACTCTTAGTAGGTCCGTTGGGCGTAACCAGATAGTCTTATTACATGTAATAAATCCAGGGCAATGGTATTTAATTTCTTGGCTCTTACGATATCGCTTTTGTAAAGCGAATAGCGCCATCGAGTTTAAATTCCTTGTATTTGATTTTTATCAAAATTAATTTTAAATATCTTTCTTTGATTAGATTTGTCGTGCACTAGAATAAGGTTTAAAGTTATTTGACCCAAATTAACCAAAGTTTTAGTTAGATTAAACTTTTTTGATTTACTTATGAGCTCGTTACTTCTCAATTGGATTAACTTGAACTTCCGTAAATTTTGTCTTAAATATAGATCTTGTATATTTGTCTATAATATATATCGTTGTAAAAACATAATATATCCAAGGCAATGATATTGGCATTCCTTGACTCTAACGTTATCGCGTTTTTAAAGCGAATAGCGCCATCTAGTTAAAACTGATAAAACTAACAGGTCAATGGCACATCAAAGATGTCCAACCGACCCCGGAGGGTGAATCCCAAAAGGTGAAACTCAAAGTTCGAGTTAACATTCACGGGATCATAACGGTCGCCTCTGCGTCTCTCGTCGAAAAGAAACCAGACGCCCAAGAGAACGTGGAAATGGAAAACTCCAATGAGAATGTCCAGGCGAGCGGACAGGAGCTCCCGATGGACACGAACCAGGAGAAACAGGAAAATGGACAAGAAGAGGTGAGAGAAGAGCAGAAACAATCGTGGACACAGAGAGTAGGACAATGGTTGATTGGGGTATGTGTCAGTCTTTGTGGACTCGTGGTGGCTGTTGCAGCTCCCTCGCCTTCTTCACTTCTGTTTGATGCAGTTATCCCTTTCCCTGTTGCCATAGTGTCATCCACGAATACGATTTTTCTCATAATGTTACAAGATTTAAAATTTAAAAAAAACAGTAATGTAAATACGTTTTCGTGGACGGCATCAGACCATCTTCCCATGATTATCAATATTGTTTTTCGAATTCTCAGTCTTTATAATATTTGGTATTCTGGTAGTCATGGCAACCCAATTTTCTCCTATCAAAGGATTTATGCAACAGTCACCACATATTTACCTTCCCCACCATTGGAGGCCCCATTTGCACAGAATACCCGAAGATTTTGGTTATTTGGTATTTAATAAGGTTTGTCTCTGTGTCCACGCATGTTTTTGTTGTTTTTTTATTTTTTTTAACAGCTTTTTGAAGGTGATGGTGCAAATGGGTGATGCCGATGCCGGGCCAATGGTGGGGATTGCGTTTTTGTGGTATGAATCGGTTGTACTTATTTCAGGAGGGCAATGACGATAAAAAGGATAAGAAGGATAAATCCAAGAAGGTTATCGTGAAGACTATCGAACTGCCCATTGAGGCGCGTACGCACGGCTTCACTCAGACTGAGCTGAACAGCTATTTGGAACAAGAGGTAAGTTGTACCATAATATTTTCTTATATTACATCTAATCAACATATAATAAACAGAGCAGTGTTGGCCTAGTGGCTTCGTAGATTCGATCCCCGGCTGTGCACCAATGGACTTTCTTTCTATGTGCGCATTTAACATTTGCTTGAACGGTGAAGGAAAACTTGGTGAAAAAACCGACATGTATTAGACCCGAAAAGTCGACGGCGTATGTCAGGCACTGGAGGCTGATCACCTACTTGCCTATTAGATTTAAAAATGATCATGAAATATATTCAGAAATCTGAGCTTAAAACCTAAAGAGGTTGTAGCGTTGATTTATTTTATTTATTACATCTAATCTCAATTAACCCCTTACGGCTTTTGGTGCTCTTGTGCTCTTACTTTATTTATAATATTCAAGCAATAATAATAAAAAAAGCAATACATATATCGCAGAAATATCGTCACTCCATCGATATTGACTTTTTAGTGGGCGTCGTGTGGGTAAAATGCGAGCAAAAGACACGAATAATTATCGTACAGTATTTAATTTAGATTAATTTCATCTACCACTACACTAGCTAATATTCGGGTTCAGGGCACCAATCTCACTTTAATTCACAGTTCACTAGACCCAACCTCATTATCATAATGCTCCACTAAATATTCAATCAGAACTACACTGCGGTCTCTGTACGCACTATTAAATGTCAAGATGGCGCCTCGAGTTATTTGCTCTGCTCTGATTGGTCTTAACAATATTCGTACTTTTATTCGTTAAGTGATTACAAACTATGAAACAATTAATAACAAAAAAAATCGAATAAAAATAAATATGATTCTTAAAAGTAATAGAAGGAATCTCAATGAGCCAAAGTAACCGAAAAATAGCGGCAATTTGACTAGATCACAACATTTACTGATAATCCGAGTATTCCCTGACATATATTTTTTTATTATAAATGTGAAAATTATTCTCTATTGCTGCGGTCCTTGCTATACCATATCTGAAACTTTGTCTTGTATGCAAGAATTTCTTGAAGCTTTCCTCCAAAAAGGCACCGAAGGAAAAATTGGTTTTCCCTGCAGCTTGGGTTCAAACTTGGCTAGCAGTCAATTTTATTTTAACTTTTATTTAATAATTAATACGTACGATAATTATCTATTTAATTCACATATTTTATATGAATTGTTTCTATGTTAGTTACACATATATATTACTTTATTTGTAAGGCTTGCCTGAGTGTCCACAGCGTGCGTATTGACTGAGGCCAACTGACACTACGCACTGGTTTTTTGTAATAATAAATGTTTCTTAAATCTTTTATTGTAGGGCAAAATGCAGGCCCAAGATCGCCAAGAGAAGGAACGTGCGGACGCCCGTAACGCGCTCGAAGAGTACGTATACGAACTAAGAGGGAAAGTGTCCGAAGGGGATACATTACACGACTTCATCGCTGAAGATTTGCGGTCGCGTTTGGTCGAAAAGTTGGATGGGCTTGAACAGTGGTTGTACGACGAAGGCGAGGATGAGAAGAGACAGGTATGTTGTGTGAATTGTGTGTAAATGTGTGTCAGCCATGTAAAAAATTAAAAACTTAAAGGTATTTTTTATTGATTTCCTGTTTCCACACGTAGGGAGTTGTAACTAAAATACAATAAAAGATAATTTAACGATAATCGGCTGCAAAGACGCTAGTTCCCAAACTGTTTTTAGTGATGTTCGTGATCAAATACTCTCCGTGGTAAATGTTTAACGTTGCTGAATGATTTCAATTCTCGGAACACATTAAAATTGACTGTACATTTTGTTCAGGCTTTCTTAGTTTTATAAGCGTGGCGATTTCCTAAATAGTCGGAGTTACGCCCCGAGAGTATAGCCAGACGTGGGCACTCTTTGACTGTTACATTGCATTCATTCGTTACATAGCATAACATTTCATTATTTCGCTTATATTCTATTGTTGTACGCGATAATATATATTAAAACCTCTATTATTTAAAGCACCCCGATGACCCAGGAACTGTACCGAATAAACATAAAACGGACTTCTCAACTTATGTCTGATATTGTCAAGTATCTGGTCACCTCATTATATTATTATTAGAACTCAAATTGGTCACAATTTCTGCGTCCAACAAACGCCGATTTTCATTCCAATATATAGCTTGACAAAATTAAAGGCCTTGACAGAATCACGGCTCCACCTTAAAACAGCTTCAACTTTTTTCATTCTTTACCACTTGTATTTAGTACCCCTTAAAAATTAAAAAAAAAACTGATAATATTACATGCATGATGTAAATGATATTGTCTCAGTTCCCAATACCCATTAGGTTAGGTTAATGCCAAAAATTTTCATTACACAAATCATGACGATTTAAATAATGTCTATGGGGTTAAACAGCATGCGCCACCACATTATCGCATGGTGGTGGCGCAATCGCGATGAAAATATGTAAAATAAAATTTGAAGCTGTTTTAAGGTGGAGCTCAAATTAACCAAATTAACTACTTGAATTAATTAGTCTTTAACTAAAATAATTAATTAGATAATTGGTTTAAAATTTAAAAGTGTTAGGTACAGAGTGCGACAGTAGGAAGCTGTTATTAATACGACATATATATATTTTTTTTAATGATTGGACAATTCACAATTGACCTAGTCCCATGCTAAGCTGGTGAAGCTTGTGTTATGGGTACTAGGCAACGGATTAACATACATATTATAGATAGATAGACATATAAATACATATTTAACACCCAAGACCTAAGCACAACACAAAATGCTCATCACATCGATGTTTGTCTCAGCCGGGGATCGAACCCGGGATCCATGGATTCGCAGTCAGGGGTACTAACCACTAGACCAATGAGACATATTGCGTACATCTTTGACGTAAATAAATACGCGTAAATATTTGTTAATTGGTGACGTGCTGCGCGTATTATTGTGGTCTTTCGGTTCGATTTCGGGCATTTGTATTAGTTTGATATAATTTTATATATTCTACAGGTGTACAGTGACAAGTTAACGGAACTCCGAACGGAGGGCGAGCCAATCAAACAGAGGCGTCTGGAGTTCGAGCTTCGCCCCGGTGCCTTGGACGACTTTGCCCTTTCCATTCAGCTTACGAACAAGGCTGTGGACCAATACAGGTAATTGTTTAGTTATGGAAATTTGAAACGGCATTCGTATATTTAAATAACGTCATAAATAAGTTAACTAACTCATTGATGACTAGTTTAAATTGTTAGTGATGTAGTCTGTATACAGTAATTCCTCCTATAACGCGGTACCACTATAAACTTCGACTATGTATTTGCGTGTTGTTCCCACGAGAATGTAAGTGCGTGCTCCTATTTCACCATGCCTCCTGCTGATAGAGGACAAGTCTTTGTTTTTAATTTATTTTATTATTATTAATTACTTAAGATGTCATGTGGAACATGTTGTAATGGATGCAGCTCCTTACAAACGTTGTGTAAAACAAAAAACGAGGCGATTAAAAATAATGGCGGAGAGTTTATTGCCAGTTCTTCTCTTCCGTTCTACGCCCTTGATTTAAGAACTGGCAGTTAATGTAAAATTAGAAGCATTTAATATATCTTTTTGACGTTCATAAGTGTCCATTGTACTTAGCGGGAAATACTTCGGTAGCGCGTTTGGCACAAATTGTAGGTATCCCTAAAATTCAATATAAACAAGTGTCGTGAGTAGTATCAGTAATATCCGTTTAGATTATCCTGTTAAGTTGCTTCCCACAGGAAATCACGGGCCATGTCAATCAAAATAATGGGTTCATACACAGTTAAAAGGGAAGGGAATTGAACTTTGATTTCTGTCATTCTATGTAGAATTCCTTCCTTCCTGTATGAGCTAATAATATAATATGTTATAAGATTCAAGCAATCAGGACCGTTCTATAATTAAAACTATGTCATTGTAATAATGCAAGGAATAAAATAGATACATTTTAGTTGGATTTTTATTAGATGTTGGTAGATAGTAAAATTGTGTACTGTACAAACTGAAAAATTGTTCAGCCGCCAAGAAAAGTATGTGTAGCGTAGACTTCTATCAGTATTTTTACCAATTCTTGAAAGGCCGGCAACGCACTTGCGAGCCTTCTGGCAGTGTGAGTGTCCATAGGCGACGGTATCACTTAACATCAGATGAGCCTCCTGCCCGTTTGCCTCCTATTACATAAAATTAAAAAAAAGTACGAAAATGGTTTCTGACAGCTGACAGATTTTCCAGACTGACTAGAATTTGATTTTGTTTTGTTTTAGTTCTCTTAAATGGTCACAAAAAAATGTTTTTTAATAATTCTCACTCGTAATGTTAAAATAACTGTTGCACATAGTATTGTCTTTGATTAACATAACCTTTACACATTTAAAGAAAAAACTTTTTACCGGATTAAAGTTATGTATTATTATAAATGTAAAAAGTTTTTTCTTTATTCGTTAAAATAACTGCTTCTCAGGTTTAAGTGTTTCCAATTCTGTCACGGCGCTTATCTTTAAAAAAAAAACAAATAATTATTCGCCATCCGGCTGGTGACCACTTGAAGACCACACCAAACGCCTTCCCCTTATCTAAATCTTAGAATCTCATGGGTTACTGAAAAAGTTTTCAAAGGACAAACGACGTTTTAATACTATGAATTTTGAAACAATTCCAATGTTTTTTCCATTTCCATTCCATTCCATTACAGTAATTGTTCATATATAATGTATCATCATATATTTCCTTAGATCGGGTGAAGCCAGATACGCTCACCTAACAGAAGCGGAGATCGCCAAGGTGTGCGAGGCGAGCAAGAACGCCCTCAACTGGCTGGAAACCGCCAGACAGGCGCTGGCCCGCGCGCCTCTTCATCAGGCACCGCCCTACACCACTCATCAGATTAGACAGGAGAGACAGGTATTATGTTCATAAATAGCTTGGATTTGGAGGATAAAACTTGCTGAGTTTCTTGCCCCTTCTTCTCAGAACAAGGCCTCCTGGTAGTTTTGCGAACGAATGGCGTAGTTTTGCTCTTTCGAGAATTTTGTAAACGTTTTTGAACATTTACTACGGACGACTCTCGGTAATAGTGTTGTTCCCACGAGCATGTAAGTGAGTGCTCTTATTTCACCATGCCTACTGCTTATGGCATGGTAGAGGACAAATCTTTGTTTTTTTTATTATTAATTACTTAAGATGTCATGTGGAACATAGTTTATTGCCAGTTCTTCTCTTCCATTCTACGCCCTTGATTTGAGAACTGGCAGTTTCATTTAGTATTTAATATGTATTTTTTTATTGACGTTCATAAGTGTACCTACATTTTGTTACTTAAATGAATAAATGATTTTGAAATTAAAATTCATGGGACCAGAGATGAATTTCAAATTACAAAAAGTTGAACATAAAAACCGGTTTACATAACCACGAGGGGAAGGGGGATCCCCCCCCTCACGTTACTTAGATTTTGATCAATAAATCACCAATCAATTATTCACATATTATTTTTATTTTGTAAAGTCCGTAATTTTTTTTTGAGTTACTTCAGTCAGTCCAAAGAATTTACACAAAACCAACAACCGTATGACAAACATGTTGGCAAGCAAGATTTCTAGGCCATTTCTTCATCCTCAACCGAAGGGACCAATTAACATTCATTTAATTCAATTTATTTTTAATTGTGTTCAGTTGTTTCCACCGCATTATTGTAAATAAAAGAATCTGATAATATTTTCAAGGGACCGGAAATATAATCAAATTATCTAGAGCCACTGTACTTAAAATATAAGAATGTAGCAAATGAAAGGTCGACAACGCACTCAGATGAGACACAAAAGATCTAGAGAAAAACAAAATGATTGCGATCCAATGAAACAGGCCAATTTAATTGCCAGCAATTCTTCGATAGATTCTGTTTGATAATAATTATTATTAATAATGTAAAGGGCTTATTGATTGAACTATCTCTTCCAGGTAACTAAGAAAATTTTAAATTAAACCGAAAAAATCTTTGTTTAGAAGAAAAAACTTCATTTCTTCTATAGGACTTTCGACTTCATGAAATTCTAAAATTTTCAACTTGAACTACCCATTTCCTGAAATTAAAATTAACGAAAAATTACACTGGAATATCTCAACTTTAAATTGAATTTGCAGAGTTTGGAGAACATCGTGAACCCGATCCTCAGCAAGCCGAAGCCCAAGGAGAAGACGCCGCCCCCGGCGAGCAACACGGCGGGCGATGGCCAGGCCCCAGCCCCCGAACAGACCACGCAAGAGCAGATGGACGTGGATTGAGGACCATCAGCGAGGTACAATTAACACTTAGTCTTCAAATTTTAAGTTGCAATAAAATAATTTTAACTCCTAATTTGTATAATTTTAACGATATAAATTGTTCTTAAATTATCTAATACAATATTATTGTGTAACTAATATTTGTTTTTATTCAACACTTAGAAAAAATAACTATGTATTTGTATTATCAAACTTTATTTTCAAAGTGCAATTATATCACTAGATGGCGCTGTGTTTAATTTTTAATTTAAAACTTAATAAACAATTTTTCAAAACAACTAATTGTATTGTTTACGAGTGGTTAGATTATAGAAACCGGGTATACAGTTTTTATTTGCAGTCAATTTTCTCACCTTGAGAATTCATACTATTTAGCGCTGGACGCTTCGATAAATGTCTTAATTCGGTAATAACTTTTTTTTATTCACGTATGTTAGTTACACAGTAAACCTTATGTGAAACAACAGAAATATATCTGTAATTGTACCTCAAGGCTTAAATTCCTAAACCTGTTTCAAAACGTATATAGATTTTGAAGCGGTTCATGGAATATGGGCTTAGTGTTGGGTTTAGGCCTTATTTAGTATAATCACCCATAGGTAGGTCTAAATTAATATCAAATGCTTCGTAACTTACTTTTTGTTAAACACATTGAAAATCTTTGTTCAATTTGCAGCACGCTTGCGGTGCCTACATAATCTGTCATGGAAAGGTACTTAGCCACTCCTATGGGTGGATTTCATATAGTTTGCGTTCGTTAAAAAACACTAGTAATAGCTACGAGTTGTAAATAATAAGACACTCGTTTTCTAAAAATGATCAGTGCAAAAGTTTATTAATTAAAAACTCCTTTAAAAGAGTGCTTGTCAAACGCCTTTCTAAATCTACATCATTTTTTAATCTGGGGCTTGACAATGACTTTGACGTTGTGAATGACAGCTCACACAATGTCACGTGACCATTTCCATACAACATCCTTTGGCGAAGTGTATTTGTCTCAACCCCTGAATGGTCAATTTAACAAGAAATGTCAGTTGAACGAAATGTCAATGTGACAGTTGCATAACTGAGTGAGGGGTTTTGAAAAGCGGCAATTTTGAGATTTAATTTTTTTACCGAACGCAAACTTAGGTAATATTTTGGCTCACACGTATTATATATGCATTTTCATAGCAACATAGTATTATTAAAATTTGTACATTACATGTACGGTTCAGTTTGTGATAATTCATTGTATTGTGTAATGAATTTTATAATTAGCAAAATTGAGTGTGCCTATAGGTAATTTAAGTGTTCATCCGTTTCATGGGCTCGTTGCATACTTCGCAGATTGCAGGAAAAATTACATATTGCAAAATAAACCTTAATTACAGTGCAACCTCCATATAACAAATCGGAAGGGAAAAGTAAATATTCGTTTGTAAGGGCTAGTTGATCAAGTTCTTAGGGTAGAAAATTCAACACTCCAATGATGACTTGATTCACTATTATATATCCACTTCACTGATTTTACGTAAAATCTATATCTTCAAACTTGAACAAAGGAATTGCCAGTGTGCATGTGTTACAACCTCTTCTATAATCTATTCCCTACTCCGACTCGAGCATCCCACTTCGGGCAATTGTTCGAGTCAATTCGTTGCGCACTTGCAGCAAGATTTATAAGAATATGTTTCGTAAAAAATGTTTAGAATTTAATAAATTAAATATTAAAAGCTAACACGTTATATCAAGTATTAAGTAATTCGTAGAACTAATTTTGAGGTTAGTCTTAAACGCGTTTTAAAAAAAATACATCAAACAACAATGATTGTTTTACGAACAAACGCGTGTCGATACCTGTCGACATGTATCACATACTATGAGATCAAGAGTCATACTTTATATAAAGGTTTTGACTTGTCATAGTTGAAAAATTCGTTATAAAGATGAAAAAAATGTTCGTAATGTAAAGGGATATTTTACATTGGCTCTTATGGACAATTCAAGGGGATTAAGAATTTGTTAAATGTAGGAAGGCGTTATATTAAGGTTGCACTGTATATAGAATTAAGGCCCCAAAGAGCTCATGGTATGGGACTAACAAAACAATTCATAATAACATTCCACCTTTGAAATTTTCATATTGCTTGCTCGGATTCATTTCACCTCCCCCCGGCCTATGTATAAGGGATTCAATTCAATGTTACAACACCTGTGCATTCTTAAAGCTTAGTAAAGAAATTTAACAATATTTGGTCTTTTATTTTAAACTAAGGTAAGCCCCTTTTCACTTAAAAATGATTCATCAGTGTACTGAAGTATTTCCGAACCAATTCGACTTAGGGTCCTTCAAGAATAGAGCGTACCAATTCTTGAAAGGCAACGCAATTGTGAGCCTTCTGGCAATGTGAGTCCATGGGCGGCGGTATCTCTTAACATCAGGTGAGCCTCTTGCCCGTTTGCTCATATTACATTTTTTTTAATGTGTGCGTGTACTAGGTGTACACACGTAAGAAGGTAAACTACTTTATGACCTTATTTTTCGAAAAATTATCTACTATATGCAACTTTACAGAAATTGGTTAAATAAAGTTTAACAAAAGGCTTTTATTATCATAGACATGGATACAAATACAATTATTTCTTTTTACCTTATTACTACTAACATTATTACAGCATTAATTGTAATATAATTATTACTATCATTGTTATCGTTATTATATATTTTTGTTATTAATGGCTTTGAATCTTCGGATCAACCGTGGTAGGGACAAGAAAAAGATGGCGCGTAACCGAAAAATGTGACGGTAATTTTTTTTCCAACGCCGATAAAGAAGTTTGACTTCAAAAAGCAACATGGCGCGTAACCGAAAAACGTGAAGATTTGCTACAAAATTTCTCCCATACGTCGATAAAGAAGTTTTACTTCAAAAGTGTGTCCTACAGGATATTGTTGGAATTGAATAATCTGTTTATATAGGTATGTCAAAATACTCGGGAACTTGAGATGATCTGATTGGAATCATTTATTTATTTCGTATACCTGCGATTCTCATCGCTGGAGTCGTAATTTGGATCCCACACTGTCTGTGCGCATAAAACACGCGCTCGCACGGTGTATAAAAATATAGTGAGGAAACCGGAATGCCTTAGACCCCAAAAGTCGACGGGGTGTTTCAGGCACAGAAGGTCAATTACCTGAACACAGAAACCTGAGGTCCACACCTATAAGGTTGTAGCGCTATTGTAAGTATTTATTTTTCGCGAAGCGTTGGACGGGTGGAACTAGGTGGACAGATGATCTGGTGGGGGTGAAGGGAAGGTGTTAAATGCTTAGTGAAGGGAATCTGGAAATATAGGGGAGTGGCCAATGTCCAGCAGTGGACGTCAACAGACTGAAACGCATTATTATGATAAAATTCACAGATTTGTCACGCCCCGGCTTTGCATGGGTTAACCCGTAACTGTAAACCCTTGCTTTAACTTTTCTCAAGGATGACTAACTATGGACGCAAAACCGTAAATCCATGCATTGAATTTTGACAGATTCGGCGTAATTTTAAGTGTGATAATGAAAGAACGGTAATTCAATAGCTTTTTATGGTTTATTTACTTATAAGAAGTGATAGCACAGAATGGAAACGACCTTCAAGATAAGCCTTCAAAATAATGTATATTTCTATAGTACGCACATTAGGGAAGTCTCATTTGGTCATTTAGGACAATGGTAGCGTAAAAACCTATTCAAAATAATTCAAGTGGAAGAAAAACCTTGGAAAAGTAAACAAAACCACAAATGTCGTTTTTACGTTGAAGCAATGTCGTTCAAACAATGCTCCATTGAATTGTAATACTTATTTTTCAAGGCCGAACCAAAAGAACTATTATTTACTAACTTGTAAAAAAGTAAATAAATAACCAACTTCAAATACTTTAATTCAAATCGGTCCGGAATTAATCAGATATTTTGCATGAATTATATAAAAGGTCCTAGGTTGATTTTTAAATGTACCCAATCCAGGATAACCAATTCTTAAAAGGCACGCAACGCACTTGCGACCCTTCCAGCAATGTGTTTATGGGCGGCGGTATTACTTAACATCAGGTGAGCCCGTTTACTTCCTGTTACAAAAAAAAGGAAAGGCAAAATTAAGCTATATTAAAATAACGGGTCATCTGACGAGTGTTACGAAGTAGGAAGGGTAAGAGAGGCAGGAAGATGGGGGGACGATATAAATGGCAGCGGGTTGTATGTGAATTCGAACTTTAGATTGGAAAAAGTTAGAGGCCTTTGTCGAAGGATTATCTGTTAATAAATAACCGTTTGCCGGTACATAATAGGTATAATAAATATTATACATATTACTTAAGGCGTTACCTTAATTTATCACGTAAGTTAAACACCGTTACAGGCTTTTTATTTTTTAAATAAATAATAATGCGAAAAAACAACAACGCTCGTCCAAGCACGTTTCCACTCATTGTATTAATTAAATATGAGCACTGCTACACGCGAAAAACGTTGAACTAATGTTCATCACCGCTATGACGGCCGTCATGCAAATGACAGCACCGCTATTTGACGTTACGGTGACACAACGTTCTCTAGAAAACCTACTCCGATGTTATTTATAGACAACGTATGGGTGACGTCACCCAACGTTACATTACGGCACCGCTTTTCTAGGAAACCTAAGCTTTATGGTAGGGGAGCCCACGATGCTAAATGGGGATTTACTCGAGCGTCGTAGAGACCTATTGGGATACAAAGCTTAGATAAAAAGAAGAAAAAAATGTTATATGATAAATTCCTTTTCATCGGTGGGGGAAGCGGCTATAGATAGTTAAATATGTAAAAAAAACTGTTGCATGGACATCCTCGAGCGCGTCAGATATTGATAGCATCTATGCCCTACGTATTTTTAATAATGTACGTATGTTAATCTGATCGTTTGCATGATGCGGGTGGTTGTATTTAAGGGTTGAAAATTAAAAAAAAAAAAATTTATCGAGCGCGTCAGATTTTCTAAGGGAGTGTTAAGTGCACCAAAAAAAAGCTCTCATTCACTAATCTGACGATTTCGATGGGACGCAAACCCACAGCCATTTTCTTAATTTGCAAAAAAAAATCGCAATTTTGAAATACTCAAGCGCGTCAGATTAAGATATATGTGGTTCATCTTTATGTTCTAAACGTACTGTCTCATAATCTGACGATTATCTAGAGGGATTCGCCTGATCTGACAAAAAAAAATAGAAAAACGGTTCACCTAAAGGGCCATCCCTGCAACTTCCCGCTAATTCCATTCCTGGGCGCTTAAAATTGATATTTTGAGCTCGCTGAGTTCAAAGAAATAACATTTCTATGCATTTGAGCTCTCCCAGCTCGAAAGTCTGATAGAAGTTTCATAGAACACTATTTTTGGAATTTTCAAACCGCAATAACTTTTGAATGGATCAAGCAATTTTCACGCGGTTGGCGGCATTCGACGCAGTTTTATCATTCTCATAAGTAATTTTGCAATTTTAATTGATCGAACCACAAATTTCGGAGTAATCCCGAAAAAACACTTTTTCGGGTTTCTTTCATGTACGATATCTCTCGAACGAATCAACCGCTTTTGACCAGCTTGGTGGCGATCGACGTGGTTTTTCAAGCTCAAAGGCGGATTAGTTTTTGAAGTTGATCGATAAAGAAACCACTTTAAAAAAAATATTTCTTATTTTTTTAAGATTTTTCAAAATTTCTCAAAATCTATCGGTCCGAATCGGTTCAAATTCACAGGAAATGTAATTTTGAGGGAAATATTTTGAACGCCGTTTAGTAGATTCCGATCGGTTTAAGGAAATGTAGGCATCACGCAGCTGCACGCATTTAACTTTATCGACGAATTTTTGTTATTTCGGCTTGCGGAAATCGTCAGATTATATATTTTTCATTATTCTGGAATTATTTCCTTCAAAATAAAAGAAAAATTAGCTACGCTCGAGAATGTCGAGATGACGTTTTTTTTTACAACTTTGTTGCCCTCCCCTTTTTTTCCGTCACTCTCAAATTGTCAGATTAGTGGAATATACACTTTTTAGGATGTAATTAACTCACCCTACCTTAATCTGACGCGCTCGGGAATTTCTGATGGTCAATTTTTTTTACTAATCTGATCCTGTCTCCTTCACGCGCGGCCTTATATATGGGCCTCATATTTTGTGGAGGTACTTAACCGGGTACAAGGTATCCCCCTATATAGTAATCTGCCGCGCTTTAGTAAATCCCGAAATCCCCTCTTGGGCTCCCCTACCATTAGCGTGCTTATTACGCAAAACTAAATGTCGTTTACATGGATGATTAATTTTAATATCTCTTTATTGCAATATTATACTTACAATTTCGCTATAGTTATTTTAATAACTAACGATAACGTGCTTTGGTCGTGTTAATCATGTTAAGGTCAAAATCGCGATTAGTAGTAACAGTACTTCTGAGAGTTTTCAGTACAAAAAATTAAGGATGTTGTATTTTTCCCTCCAACCTATCCTCGACCTCGTACTTATCGCCGATCCTCATCCGTTCTGACACTGACTGTCCCGAAGACCCTGGCTGAGGTCACGAATACATATCCTTAGCAATCAGTATAACTGAGTCGTCACATATAATTATTTAACTAATGTATACAAAATATTGTAAACCTATTTTAAAAGAGTAAGTGTGGAGTTTCTTGTCCATTCTTCTCCACACGAAACTACCTTTTGGAAGGGGCAACTAGAATCTTCTTTATATTTTATTTGACGTTCAAAAGTGCCATTTTAGGTGGTCTAATTGAAATTAAATGACTTTGACTGTATAAGCGATTATCCACATACTCCTATATTATTTTGAATCGTTATCTATAGCGAACCCATAAACCATTTAAATTTCAAATAATACATCACATTCAGGATATGAAGTCCACTACCCCTTAATATTGCATTCATAGGAGATCAGTCTTTCAACTCAAAACAATAATTGTTTCAGCATGGAACCCAGAACGTTACATTAAATTAACCTATAAGATAATGAGGTCTATTAGGACAATCATTCAGCATCAACAGTAATAATAATTAAAAACAGCCTTTCTCCAAGGTCCTCAATAGCAAGGATCCAAATTGAGAAAGCGTACAAAACACTTTCATTCGCGTAAGTAACAACTATTACATAAGATACGCTTTCGCTTAATGTTTGAACATTGATATATAGTCCTTGAGCTGAACATTCGTATGTGAAGAAACATAGCGAGAATACCGAACAGAAGATAATATTGACGTCAAGGACCTGGTAATATAAAACAGATGAAGAAAGCCGAGACCAAAACAAGTTACAGCGCTCTTGGATATTGTAATAAACTTATTGCTATAACAAACATAACTTTTCCTTTTTATAAATCCATCAAGCCGTTTAGTCTAAATAGCGAGCTAAACATTTAAATTTGGCGCCAAAAATCCGCTATTTTGTTTTTAAAATTATGATATACCCAGTGTCACTATCACAGTATATACGAATCTAACGACACCTCTCAAGCGAAAATCCATCAAGCCGTTCAGGCTGCAGAGCATGCCAAAGAATTATACATACATACACTCGAAAAACATAACCCTCCTTCTGGCGCAGTCGGGTAAAAAGCTATCCTTGGGTACTTACATATATTAAGTCGATGATCTTATTTACAAAGCTAACTCAAATTCTAAACTACCGTTTTTAATATTCGTACTTATAAAAAAAATGTTTTTAACCACTGGCAGTAGGCCCAAAGGTCATTGTACGAAATTCTTCGTGCTCCGCGTCCGTACTATAACAGATAATAATTTGTGTGAAAATAAACAAACAATTTAACACGATACAGCTTTTATTTAACGCCCATTTTTTCACCATTAAGCATTTGGATCAACTTCGTTGATGTAATCATTAGGGTTTTTCTTTTGTCGTTCCTTGTGCGCCGCCTCAACGCAGCTAAATATCCCAAAACCCGTCAGAAACACTACAAACAAAATAATTAAATAGGAGAATCTACTAAGGGAAATCGTCAAATAAGAAGCCGTTTAAGTATAGCTTCAATTTAAACCCCCAAATGTCAGCAAAAGTAATAGTAAACGTATTATGTTTTGTAGGAATCTTCGAAAATGCATTTCGTTTTCAAGCATAGACAATGAGTGGGTAATATGTGTAAAAAAGTAAATAATTACTGTTGACGTAATCACCACACATTCAAAGACCTAAAGCTATTTTTAGAAATGTATTTATTACACTTCAAATCATATATGACCCCTTAAAACAGTTGTAGGAATATTTAAAAAACGCAAGAAACGCGACAACTCGCAATTTTTTCGAGACATCGCGAAGAACTGATTTCCGTACTTTTATTTTATAATATTTTTTGGCCACGACTCTAGAATTTTTCAAATAATCCTTTACGGCTTAATGTTTCCCAACCTTTTTTGTGCCATGCCTGTCTAAAATTCTTATGACCCTATGTAACATACATAATATTTAATATCAAAAGGTTTGAGGTAGCAATGTCTAGGAAATTGTTAACACAGTAAATACATTTTCAAATACATAAAGAAAAAGTGAAATTCAAACTACTATTATTATTATTTTCTATACACTTTTATACAAGACTTCATTACTTACACTGCTAACTTTTACTAGTATTATTTTAAATAACTTTTACTAGTATTATTTTAAATAACTTTTACTAGTATTATTACTTTATTTTTCTTTTTTTGCGACTGAGGTGCAAACTAGCTGCTGTGCTCTCTGGCAAATGACCAGCGCTGTGAAACAGTCTGCTGCTCAGCATAATGTTGAGCCAGGGCCAATAACTACCGCAGCACACACGCATTACACACTTAAAACGAGACTTGTTCTTTAAAAGAAAAAAATATATTTTCTCTTATTATTTTTTCTTTGATTATGGTTAGTCTGTTTCTGTGTGTGGTTTTGTTAGTAATAAATGTTGTCTATGTCTAAATTACAAGTAATTTTAATAAATTTACGAATAGCCCCCCTTAGCAATCAAATTGGCCCCCTGTGGGCGTGGGAACTACTGCTCTACGCCATTATAATAGGCCTTACTATATATTATATTCTAATACAAGTTGGAATATAAATAAAGTACGCTATGTTAAGTAGGATATAATTATGATATGCTGTCGTCGACGTAGTAAGAGAAAATTATGAATTATAAAAAGCAAGTGAAAACTTCAACGTTATCTTTGCTTGCTGATTGAATTAAGCAATAAAAATAATTTTAAAAAAACATCGATAGTCTATGTAAATGGTAGACTTTTAAAAAAAATTACCACAAAATATGTGAATTACGCATCTGCCCCATGAGAATCTATTTCATTAACTTACCAGGCAACCAAGTCCATCCGGTTTGTCTAAATCTTGCAAACATGTTAGGTATCCCATCTTTAAATGCCCCAGCAAATGGTTTTTGTTCGTGAGGTGATAACGAATAATATATAATACCCCGAACAAATGCTAACTCTCCAAAATGTTTACCCATGTTTCGACAAATTAAATAGATAGAATAATAGATTGTCAAAAATAATTTTGCTTGAAAGCTTGTTTTCTTTTTTCTAGAATTTATGGTTTTTCTAAAATTGATTTGACCTTCGTGCAGTTTCGTTATTTCTTATATTATAGTTATTATTAATAGAAACGTTATTTCTACGATGCCGTGGCATTCACATTTACCAACTTAACCGAACAAACTAATGAGAGAAACGTTTATTCCTGATTTTACCCTTTTATTTCCAAAAACATTTCTACAATTCACTACTACTTACTGAATTATTTTTATTTTATACACAAGTATTGGATCAGTCTTCTGTGCCTGACACATGTCAATTTTCGGGACTTAACATGCCGATTTCGTCACGTCACTTCACGTTCACCGTCGAAGCAAGTTTTAATAGCGCAAATACAAAAATCCATTAGTTCACAGTCATGATGACGCATGGACCCCAGGGTTGAGTGGTTTAACTGGGACAACACTAATCTTATTAAAAGCTTATCAGCAATACCATTATCACTAGTAGGAAGATTTTTTCTTTAACTTGAGAATTTTAGTCAATTGTAAAGGCTTTATTGCTTTGAGTTATGTATAATATACAATATAATTATTTATTTACAAAAAATTTACTATCCTTATAGTACTAAGCCAATACGATAATGTCGTAAAAAATATATAATATGAAAATATATGATATACACAATATCGCTACTGTGAACTCACTCAGCAAACATATAAAGATGTCTATAGAGTCGGAGATAGTAGCGAACCGTCCGCCGTTCCGAAAGCGGGCTTTGTATTTTTACCTGTATTTCTGAATAAAACAATATTTAAAACAATAAATTTCTTTTATTAAATAATATGAACATAATTACAATACACATTACAATCAAAATTCATCTTGTACTTGCAGTGGTATCTGGGCCATTTATTTAGATCAAACGCATTGTGTCTTTAAGTTCAAAGTATCTGCTTAGACGAATGTCAGCATATCTGTAAACAAATATGGAATTTATATTTTCCTTCACAAATATTTTTGACGTGACAACGTCTTATAATTCGATGGAGCCGGCTGCACGCACGAAAAAACATGACTCATGCGGCGTTACCTCGCTCTGAGGCGTTACCTCGCTCTGAGGCGTTACCTCTCTCTGAGGCGTTACCTCGCTCTGAGGCGTTACATTTAAAATTGACATAATTGTATTTATGCGTACAAATAAATGTAACTTGATCAATTCAATTGTGATTTCCATTTACCTCCTTCTCTATATCCATACAAAATACCTATCAAACAAATAAAATTTAATTTTTTTTTTTGAAAAATGCAACCATCCCATCAATATTTTTTTATGACGTTGTCACGTTCAACTATCGTCAGTAAACCGACTTTACAGACAACCGATTTTTTGACGTGACAACGTCTTATAATTCGATGGAGCCGGCTGCACGCACGAAAAAACATGACTCATGCGGCGTTACCTCGCTCTGAGGCGTTACCTGGCTCTGAGGCGTTACCTCGCTCTGAGGCGTTACCTGGCTCTGAGGCGTTACCTCGCTCTGAGGCGTCACATTTAAAATTAACATGATTGTATTTATGCGTTTAAATAAATGTAACTTAATCAATTCAATTGTGATTTCCATTTACCTCCTTCTGTATCCATACAAAATATCTATCAAACAAATAAAATTAAAATTTTCTTTTGAAAAATGCAACCATTCCATCAGTATTTTCTTATGACTAGGAATGTGAAAAAATAATCGATTATTAATTAAAATTAATTAAGGAAAAATTCGATTTTTTACGCGATTTTTATATTTAAAATAATCGATTAATAATCGATTATTTTTATAATTGAAAATCAATCATAGTCGATTTTTTATCTGCCAACTACCGGACCTCGAACTATTAGGGATATTCGATATACAACGATGTTTACAATGCGATACATTGAATCCGAAGTCGATCGAGTATACATCTATGAAGATGTATACTCGATGCATTGATGTTTTTTTGTAAAACATCGAAAGGATGATAAAACCTGTTAATTTTACAAGAACTCAAGTTTGAATGGAACACTATAATTTAAAAGTAAAATCAATTTATTCAGCAGCACAAGACTACATACAATTAAAAAGACAACAAAAATACTGCAATGTGCTACTGAAAAGGCACTCAGCATTTATCAAATTTCACGTACAATCTATCAAAACGAGACTTAGAGAAAAGTTACGAGAGATTTAATTTCGATTTTGATTATTCTTAAACGTTAATTTGTGTTCATAAATTCTATTTTTTATTTTTAATTAAAAAAACCATGAAAAATAAAATATTTAGGGTGTTTATTTTGAAATTACTTCAAAAATTATGAAAAAATCGATTAATTAAAAAAGTCGATTATTTTTTTAGCATGAAAAATCGATTAATAAAAATGCATTCTTCATGCAGAACACATGTCACATCCCTACTTATGACGTTGTCACGTTCGACTATCGTCTGTAAACCGACTTTACAGACAACCGATTTTTTTTACTAAAGTACGGTCATGTATGAGATCACCTTTGTCTTTCGAAATATTTTTATCGAAATTCTTGTGAAATTAAAAGACAGATCATGTCGCGTAGTGATGCGATATATGATATCATATCATAAGATAGTGATGCCAACTTCTATAAAATAGTCCCCATAGGACCACTTCAAATATATCTAAATATCGACCAAAAACCTCTAACATTTTATTATACAACTTTAGAGGTAGTTTCAAATTTGAATTAAAAACACATTGAAGTATAAAATAGCTGTTTTAGTAAGCACATTTTACACATTTACATGTATTAATTAATGCCCTAATAATATGTATTAATGATTATACTTCTTTATTTAGTTTTTCCTTACTTTTCTTGGCATATATTTTTGTTGGGTTTTCTTTTTATACGTTATTTTTAGAGCGTTCTGTCTTTTCTAGCCGTTGGGATATTATTTAGATCTTCGGGGTTTAGTTAAAATTTGTTGGTTAGGTTCGAGGATTACTAACCCCCTTAATTTCATCTAAATTTAGAATTAAAACCCCCAAGTTGGCGACACTGCGCGTAACTGTCATTGGACAAGAAACACTATTGACTTACAACAATAAAATAAAAACGCGCCATGATTTTGACTTTTGTTGTATACAGACGAGAAACGACTTTATTACCAAGTTCTTGTGTGAATATTATTCTGCGATAGTGGAGCAGATAATACACAAGTGTTCCATAAATCAACGCCAAGCCAAAATTGAGTGATAAAGCAGGTATTGGTAAACCCCAGAAAATTAATAAAAAAAAAATCTATGGCACAGATTTAAAATTATTGATCTTCAAAAGGAAATGAATCTGTGATATGTAGAAATACATTTTATTAGCGCTTACCTGCCAAAATCAAAATCAATACTGGAATGCTCAAATTGGACAAGCGACCATATGCCCCACATAAAATGCGACGCCAGCGATAGCTTTTGAACTTCTATATATATTTCTTCGGCTTTTGATTTGATTACATCTTCATCTCTTGTATCTAAATATTCGTTTAAATACGTCTCGATCCAAAACATTTGAAACTCTCTATTCGGGTATCTATTATTGTCAATGTCGTCCAAAGACAATCCTGCAAATTGATAATTTTTTTAATCTATGGTATAAAACTTCTTAAAGGTGCGGTGTTTTATAAGTTTTCTATGGACAAATGGTTGCCATGGCAACGAACGCTTTTTTAATTAACAATGCCTATGTTACAGTCCGTTGAACCTAGCCTAGTTAAAACTAAAAATATTGCAGATTGTATCAAAAGGGTACAATTAGACGTTCCTAAATTTCAATGATTTAAAAACTTTCACTATACATTCAGCAAGATTAAAAGGTCTTATTCAGGCGATTCTTGAGGTAATAAATTATAAGAGAGGTTAATCAAATTAATTTAAGAAACTTGGAATACACTTTCATATGCTTCAGTGATACCATTACTTTTAGTTGTTCGACACATAAATACAAACAGACAGTGATGCCAACTTGGGGGTTTTCTCCCCAAATTTAGGGGAAATCAATACGTCTTGGGGGTTTTTTTAGGAGGTTCGTTTATTTTAGTCGATTTTTAGCGTTTACTTCATACAATTAAAAAAATCGCACGATTCTATACTATTATATTAAGCCTTGAGCCCAAGCAACTAAACCAAATATAAACTCCAAGATCTAAATTGTATTTATCCTACTTGAAGGGTTTGTAATCGATATTTGAGCTTGCTCCTTGGGGAAACATTCCGTACGAGTTGGCATCACTGTACTGTCATAAAGTATAGATAAACGACACTAGGCAAACATATATACGTACCAACAAACTCGTTGAAATGATTTGCTATATCAAAAGCTTGATAATTATAGGCCGCATATTCATAGTCTATAAATGATACAGTCCCATTAGATTCATTGTGGATCACGTTTCCTAGAAGCAAATCATTGTGAGCAAACACTATCGGGCTCTCTGTCTTTATTAAGTGCGATTTTAGCCTTTCAAACTCTATCCGCAGTCTCGCTATTGTTCCGAATCTATTCGCAAATCTACAACACGGATAAAGTGTTACTATGACTTATGAATTTTGAGATGAAAACATTTTTGTGTGTGTAATTTTAACACCAGCTTGGCATTCCATTATCTCTAACAGCATACAACTAGAATACACGTCAAACGTAGACATTATTTGAGTTAATGTATGGGGTTCACAGATTTAAAAAAAACAGTGGCGCTACAACCTCTTTAGGTATTGGCCTCCGATTTTTGAATCTGTTTCATGATCATTTTTAAATCGAATAGGCAAGTAGATGATCAGCCTTCAGTGCCTGACACACGCCGTCGACTTTTTGGGTCTAAGACATGTCGGTTTCCTCACGTTGTTTTCCTTCACCGTTCGAGCAAACGTTAAATGCGCACATAGAAAGAAAGTCCATTGGTGCACAGCCAGGGATCGACCTACCTACGACGGACCTACGACCTCAGGTATGAGAGTCGCACGCTGAAGCCACTAGGCCAACACAGATCACAGATAACTAGGGCCTGATTTAGGGGAGAGCAACCGGGGCTACAGACCCGGGGCAACTATAGAGACTTCCTACTAGAGAGAAAAATTTAAATTCCAACTAGTAAACAAGTTTTCCTTTGATATATTTTATATGTTTCTACTAATACTAAAGAATCTACTTGCTTTCACAATAAATTATTGAATAAAAACTTTTTTAATGTTATTTGGAAAATAATTTGGGGCACTCCTTTGTTGATTAATAGATCCCGTATCTATTGATTAAATATCGCAGGTTGTAAATATACGCATTTCAGCGATTCACGTGTGAATTTTCAAAAATAATCGTTTGCCAGTAGAGTACATGTTGGTGGTGTTAAAATTGCCACACAAAAGAAATAATGTTGATTAGTTTTATCAAAATGCAATTTTGTAAATATTGTGTCAAAAGGCGATTTCTTCTAACGATGCAAATAACGTCGGGTTTAAAGTGCAAATGTAATTTTAATATAAGCTGACACCAAAACCTGTTACCGCCCTAGAATTTATATGAACAAAAGTTTTTAAATAAAATGATTAGCAGAAATTATTTTTTGCAAGCATTCGTTTTATCAAAATAAGTTTAATAATGAATCAGTGGCGCTACAACTTTTTTATGTTTCATGATATTTTGTCAATTTAATAGGCAAGTAGGTGATCAGCCTCCTGTGCCTGACACACGCTGTCGACATTTTGGGTCTAAGGCAAGTGTCATGATGTTTTCCTTCACCGTTCGAGCGAATGAAATACACAGATACAAAAGCCATTGGTGCAAGCCGGGGATCGAACTTACGACCTCAAAATAAGTTTAGCTATATCTTTAAGCCACATATTATTTAGATGTTTTAGTTAGTATTTAGTTATTTGGAGATAACGACGAAAAATATAAAACCAATTAGCCACTTTAAAATATATATTTTTTTTAAAGTTAAGTATATACATTTTATTAAATAATTAGAAGCGCAAACCAAAAGCAATCATGGCACACTTGAAGCCAAAATGAGCCCATTAGTTTTTCCCACACTTATTAATCTAATATATAAAATTCTCGTGTCGCGGTGTTTGTAGTTAAACTCTTCCGAAACGGCTTGACCGATTCTCATGAAATTTTGTGTGCATATTAGGTATTTCTGAGGATCGGACAACATCTATTTTTCATCCTCCTACATGTTAAGGGTAGACCCCTAAAAATTTTTTAATTTTTAGATAAAAAAAATTTTGAATTTTTTTATGATACAGCATTAAAAATACATACAACCCCTAATTTTCAACCCTCTACGATCAACCCCTATTTTTTATTATAAATGATATACATGGCAAAACAAACGTTTGCCGGATCAGCTAGTTTTATTATAATATTCTTGTTTTCTATAATGTCCAATACATCGACTTATATTTAAGAACCCTTAAATAAGCCAAGTTAGTTTTATATTAGCCTCGCAACCCTAAATTTCTAAATGATATTTTATTGTATTTTTTTAAGCATGTGTGAACTAATAAATAAATTATATGAAATTTATCGTATTTTATTTTATATATTTAAATGGGTGGGGCACATGACAAAAAGAAACAGAAAACTGGAACAATAAAGTACTAAACTGATGCCCAAGGTAAAATAAACGAAAATGAGGAAGGCAATTAGGAAGGTGGATAGACCAGATTAAGGAAACAGCAGGTGGTACATGGCAAAGAGTGGCACAATGCAGACAGAGATAGCGAGATTTGGAGGAGGCCTTAGCCAAAAAAGGACACGCATATCTAGAATGAATGAGATAGAAATGTAAATGTTAAAAGTATCCGAAATTTTAAAACGTGAAGAAACTATTTATTATATTATCATCGTGTCTTATCAGTCAATACTCCGCAGTGGTGAGATGACATTGTTGTCAGTTCTAGTATGTGTGTAGATAAAGAACACTTAAACAAATGAAGGTATAATTGTTTTCTATTAATTATATCTATGTTAAATATCTCTTATCAAATCACCTATTCATTAGCCTATCTATGGTGACAGTGTACGTATGTTTAGATATATATTTCTTATATACGTAACTTTTGATTTTTACACCTCTGTTTTTACTGTAATCGCTAAATTTATCGCAATTATTATTGATTTCTTGTGAAGAATTGTATTAATAAACTTATTAAACGTCTGTAATTTATGATTTAACTTGCTGACGCGTGGTACCGTAGTCAATGAAGGTCGTGTTACAGAATTTATTAACAAAGTAACACAAAAATATTTTTGTATACATATTTTCCTTGTTTCAGAAGTAAATTTCTGAATGCCAATGTCAATTTTATTATCTAAAATACGCGATTTTCCTAATATTCTGGATATATCTTGTCGATTCGAAGCTTTTCTTCCTTAATTTGAAGTCAGAGTTTACCATGAAAATTTGTAATGGAATTTTTATCATTTTGTTTACGTCAATTTCCAATGTTATTAATACAGCAAATAGTAGTAGTAATTGTAGAGGGGTGAAAATTAGGGGTTGTATGTATTTTTGTATACTGTAAAAAATAAAAAAATAAAAACATTTTTTTTTATTCAAATTTTTTTTTGGGTGGACACCCCTTATCACTTAGGGGTTTGAAAGATATACAGTAGCCGATTCTCAGTCTTACTGAATAGCATAAAACATTTCATAAGAATCGGTCGAGCCGTTTCGGAGGAGTATGGGAACGAACATTGTGACCCGAGAATTTTACATAATATATATATAGAGATTAAAATGTAGAGAAATACATAGTTATTTTGATTACCTTGGTACGGACTTCGTTTACATTACAATAAACACCGTATATGTGGTATTTTAGGCATAGTAACATTATATCATGGATTACTGTTAACTGTTAAAAGTCACGAGTGAATTTACGATAAAACAATCTAAAAATATTGAAATTATCTTTTTAATATTACATGTTATTAAAAAAACCGTTGAATCAGTTACTTGATCTTTTTTATGGGCAAGTAGGTTATCAGCCTATATATAATCTATAGGTCTAAAGTTAAGTGTCAAGACATAACGAACTATGACTTATGACATACGTTTTTGTCATTCAGGAGTCATCATACCCTGTTCAATCTATATTTTTATTATATTTAATTTTATTAATCATTATTTTGGTGTTGTAGTTCAAAAAATAAATCAGTGGCGCTACAACCTCTTTAGGTCTGGGCCTCGGATTTCTGAATCCGTTTCATGATCATTTTTGAATCTAATAGGCAAGTAGGTGATCAGCCTTCCGTGCCTGACACACGCCGCCGACTTTTGAGTCTAAGACATGTTGGTTTCCTCACGATGATTTGCTTCACCGTTCGAGCAAATGTTAAATGCGCACATAGAAAGTAACTCCATTGGTGCACAGCCGGGGATCGAACCTGAAGCCATTAGGCCAACGCTGCTCCTGTGTGTGTTCTGGTTCAGTCACGGTTAAACCTCTTAGGGCATTAGTTACCCATTAGTTAATATTGTTTAAACAATTTAAGTCTAGGTTTTGATTAGGAAACATCCAAACATTGTTAGGAACGGGTTAATACCAGTTTTCTAACGATGTTTTCCTTCACCGTACAAACAATTAATTTAAGTAATGAATTGCGCAGATAGATAAATTTAGTTATACACAGCCATTTCGCTAAATTTTTACAGAAATATTTTTGAAAATTATTCAAACAAATGTAACATAAACAGTTAATAAAAATATTATGTATGAAAATAACTTATCGTCCTTATCGAAAATGGTTTAATATCCCCTAATTTACATAAGATAAGTTTGTTACAGAACTTAAGTTGGAAAAACCGACAGTATTAAAGAAAATTATAAAAATGAAAATATTTTCACTATTAAACTCAAACAAAATACTTTATTCATATAGCTAACCAACCAACACTTGTCAACAGAAAATATGTTAAATTGATTCTAAATTTACATTTACTACCAGTTGATAAGTCAAGGGCGTAGAGCGGGCAAGAAGATCTGGAAAGAAACTCTCCGCCACTCTTTTTAATCGCCAAGTTTTGAGTCACACAAATTGTTTGAACTGGAGCAAATCAATCTCAAGGATTAGAATAAAATGAATAAAAAGCTTTATTGATTAATGTACGTTTAACGAGAGTTTTGAATTTATTTAGTGATCATTTTTTAATTTCGTTGGGCTTTTGTTGGAACCGAAAATTTAGGGTGATATTCATAGCTCGATAGATAGTTTTCCCTTTCTGGATTTTAACCTTTTGAGTCGATACTTAGCGCGTACTATCTGTACCTATGTCGAAATTTTAATACGTTTGCCATAAGAATCAATGATAAAATTATCGTGATTCATGTGTTCTTTTTTTATTATTGTCCCTTTCACTCTTAACACATGTTTTAATTCCTTTGCATTGTTCCATTAGTTTTGTCTAAATAACTATAATATGTATGTAAGGAAAACATATTTTCCTATACAAACTCTTTTTATAATTTATTTTTCTTCTTTGCCGTCTGATCGACGATGTTTAATTTGTCACTTGACATAATAGATGTATTTTATCAAACCTAAAATAGAGGCTTTAAATGTTGTTTTATAATGGTATCGATCGCTTATACGAGTACTGGGGATAAATAAGGCGCAACTGCGTTTCTCTGTGAATACAAAAGATTTATTTACTAAAGAAATATCTATTAATTTACATTTAATGAAAAATATATATTTACAAATTATTCACTCACCTGTGAATACAAAAGAAACAACATTTAAAGCCTCTATTTTAGGTTTTATAAAATAAAATAATGTAATGAAAAAAATTAAAACATCTTACATCTATTATGTCAAGTGACAAATTAAACATCGTCGATCAGACGGCAAAGAAGAAAAATAAATTATAAAAAGAGTTTGTATAGGAAAATATGTTTTCCTTACATGTATCATATAGTTTTACACTTCTTGCTCTCACTCAAAAAAGATACAGACTCTTTTCGAAATAAACATTTGTGAATAATTGTATTAATTTAATTGTTAATAAAATAAATCACAAATTTTAACAAACTCTTATTGACTCGAGTCCCCCCTCCCCCTAGTGGTTGTATTTTTAACTCTTGGTAAGTTTTAAATTATCGACAGTCGACTGTATTTTAAGCATCAAAAGTCAATGCAAAATTATAATTAAACGCGTTTTAATTCGTCCCTTGACCTTCCTATGGCAAAAGGTTTTTATTAATATGTTGCATTCTTTAAAACGTTGTCCATGTCTCGATTATGTTATAAAACCTCCTTAACCTTACCCCACTTACCTTGTTTGTTTTGTTGGATCCGTAAATGGTTCTGGCACTAAACATAGAAACTGTTCGATTTTATCCCATATCATTGGTTCTTTTTTAATCTGCAATTAAAAATAAAATTATGGAGGCAAAAAAACCTATGGGGACGCCCAGAAAGAGCAGTCATCGCAACCTATTGAAATCCAAAGCTAATTTTTAATAATCTGATTTTTTTTTGTTTTTCTTTTGTTTTTTTGTTGCGACAGTAGGCAAATTAACAACACCTGCAACGTCGGACTGACGAGTGTGTGACTTTTGACCTTTGTACGCTCTTTTCTTGAAACGAGATGGTGCGCGACCAACAGCTGTTGACATTACACGAGTGTTTATCCGATTCGGATGAGCAGTGCGTATCACAAGCTGAGACGTATATAAATAGATATATTGACGAATAGCTTTAATTAAAAATTAAATTAGGACTACCTTTTAATATCTCAGATTTATTTATGTATTCTTAATCATTTAAATAAACACGAAGGTCCATTTAAATTTTGTCAAAAAAGTTTTCAGTGCATGGGCCTAGCCGGTCTTAATTGGGCGCCGGAATTTCGAACACACGACCTGACCCGCGCCTATCCAATAGGCCAACACTACTCTATCATATTATATACAATTCACAAGAAATCAATTTACTCTAAATATCCCCAAAGTGTAATGAATTTAGCAATTCGTTTAGAAGCATCATTAGCGAGCAGTCTAGGGATTATTTGATATCGTATTTATATCAGAAAATGTATCTTGCCTCACTTTTAGATAAATTCCATTTATGCGTAGCCAGAATTCATTTACCACAATGCGTATAGTATTGGGCATATAGGCTATAAAATTTAATTTTTTGATAAATATGTTTCTTCAATTTCTAACAACATTGATAACCTTTGACACTCGAGATAATTTTAAACTCAATAAATCTTTGTTTCATAATGTTTAATCGGACATTTATTCCCATATTTCAAATTTTTGTGGTCTCTTGGAGTATTTGGGCATTTATTTAATTAAATTACACGAGACACAAACAATAATGATCAAATATGAATAATGTTTTCATTTAAGCGAACATAAGCGCGAATTTATCATATTGACTGCCACGTCAAATTGACAGTTTCGTATTTGATATTATAGCCCCAGGATTTATCAATCATTTTTTTTATCAAAAGCGATCGAAACGTCAAATGTAAGAAATTCCCGCGTAAATGCGATATGGAAATTAAATGCGTAGTCGCGTAAGGCAAAACCATATTGTGATTAAAGTAGTAGTGGAATAATTTAAATTACTGAAGTGGTTCTAGACTACATATTACAAAAAAAAACTATATTATAATCTTGAATGTGATCACGAAATCTCTTACAGTTAAATCCAGGATACAAATCATTATGCTTAATAAAACATGATGTTACCTATTTTTGCTACAGACATTATCTATAAAAAGTATTGTAATATTTGTGAAGGATTTGTGAATTATTACAAACACAATTTATAGTTTTTTGATGTTTAAACATACATTTTTATAGAGACAAATTATAACAAATTATTTTGTTATCTTCAAAAAGTAAAAAAAAGGATAAAGAAAAATATACCTAGTCACAGGTATAAATGAATTAAACATCAAAAAAAAAATTACAAATTAAAAAGTAATTTAAATTTAAGTAGAGCTTATAGTGCACCCAGGTACTGGGTTCTGTTTCTCATGAAACACAATTATTCATAGTTTACTAAGATCAATAAACAAATCTAGAAAATGAAATTTCATGTCTGCCATGGGACCAATCGACTAAGGCAAAATATACTTTGTGTTGTATGAATTTGAAACTAATTTTCCTATTAGCTACCCACTACATATTTATTAGAACTATATTAAGAGTGAAATCCGAAGAAATTAAATAAAATCATCTTTGTGATAAGGATATTTAATACTTACATCTGTATTTAATTCAACTTTATGCATTTTAGCCATCTGTTTAGCTACTAAAGCAGCAATTTTGACATCAGTCACACTATCAACAGTCAAGGTCATCCCAGGATAATATTCATAAGCAAGCCCATTTTTAAATACTCCATAAATCTCTGGTGCTAAGTTAAGTGAATGAAGTCTAGTAATGTTTCTGCAAATGATGAAACAAAAGATGATTTAAAAACGATATAAGAGTAATATTTATGATGAGTGCACTTACAAAAAAAGGATTAATATGTATTTAAATACTGTACCTTACTTCAGCAGTTCTATCAATTAATAAATCGGTTTTATTTCCATAAATGCGAACTAATACTATGTTGTCACTCTTGTCTGTTTTATCACGTATTTCACAGGCCACTAATTTATTAGTAATTCCGTCGGTAAAAAGCTGCAAATAATATATGATATTAACAATGCTATCAATAGATAGGACGGTTATATTATTATATTTGTACCTTAAAATTTATTTTATCCTGGGGCCACTCCGGCCTGATTTCATGTAGAATCTTAAGAACTCCAGGATATATATTATTTTCTTCTATTTCTATTGGAATAAATTTATGACCATCACGTCGAAACTGAGTTGTCATGGTTTTCGTATATTTAGAACAAAAATAAAATAAATTTCGACAAAATTTACACGCACATAAGGCAAATAAAATAATACATGGGAACTAAAGCGGTATAAAAATGTTTTTAACGCGAAACCAAAGCGTAGAATTAAAAGGACCAGAAGTACGCTCACTACTGCAACAAATTGATTACTAAACCACAGATCAAGAAATTCGTCAAATATAAATCTAAAACACAGATCACATGGCTTTAAAGGTTTAGTTGTAGTCCCATCTAAATTGAATGAATTTCTAATTCGTTCTTCGTTATTGACATTATGACACGTCTCGGATGTGCCAAGTTTAAGTAAAATTAAGAATAATGACAATTGACCATAGCACAAATTGTCAGTTGGTAGATCAATCGCACTTCATACAAAAGTGAAAAGTCGAAACCTCTAAAACCAGTCAATCCATTCTGAAATCTGAATTAAAATTACATAACCTCGTGAACTTTTGTGAAAAATCTATCTTATCCTTTCGAGCTCGTGAAAATGGGTAAACATTTTGGAGAACTTGCCAAAATACGAGGGTTGATAACTTATAAGCTATCTCCATACGAGCAAAGAGCTTATGCTGGAGCAATATCAAATGGCCTGCCCAATCTCTTCCGCAGATTCCGTGCAAATGTTTTCAGAGTAGCGCCCCGTAAGTAAATTGATCTTTAAATGTTTATTTTAAGTCTGTACTTGTACATTTTATTTCAAAATCAGACAGAGTGAAATTTTAACATAATTTAAAGATTTCGTCTTGTCTTTTAAATGTTTTTTACAAAGAATTCATATTCTTGCAATTACTTTAAATTAAGTCATAACAATTGTATTAATATACATGCCACCATGTTAAAATACATAAATAATAAATGGTTCTGTATTCAATAAATATTATGTTATAGTAATTTTTGCACCTATAATCTAAATATAGCAATTAATTATAACAACTACCTAAATTGTATTGTATAATGACATCATGTGATTAAGATTTTACATGTAGCATATCCTTTTATATACCTATCATACAAATTTGTATTGGATTAGTATATATGGAAAAAGTCCTTAATATCATAGACTTAATTTGGATGCCTTGTTTATGCATTATTCATATTCATAGGTAAACAATGTATTGATATTTTTTTACTTTCATTAAAATGGCTATAATTCCTTTTCAGCTTTCATTATTGGATACTTAGTTTATGATTGGGCAGAGAGGGAACACCACAGACTTTCCAGGAAGAACCCAGCTGATTTTGAAAATGATGTTTAAGTTTAATGTTCAAATGTCTTAGGAGTAGTATAAGTTAATAAATTATAAAAAAATATATATTGAGTATTAATTAAAATCATTTTTTAATTAAAGTATGTATGAATCCTATTAAGAAATTTAATTTGATTACTTTGTCCTGTAAATGGTTCTTGTGACTTATGTTAACCTTAACTGTATGTTGTAGCATAAGAAAAAATATTAAATGTTTTTGGCTGTTGAGAACCTAATACTTTTTTGACTTTGACATCTAGTACCTTCTAATAATGCAGAGATCTGGATGTCTACCTTAAAGATTTACTTCGTTATCTAAATGGTATTGACCATTAAAGGCCCATTTAGATGGAGAGAAATTCTCGTTTCGTAGGTACGAATAATCGTCTAAACTAGTCGAAAAATAGTCTAAACATTCACACCAATTGCTCTTCCACTTTGGCGACAGTTGCCTCGCAATGGGAAATTTATTGTGTCCGTGTAAACAGAATTCCAAAAGCAATAATCGTATTTCGAGGCTTTGTGCCAGTTGCTATCATTAGTGCATTATCATTTTCCATTGCGAGGTAATTGTCGCCAAAGTGGAAGAGCGAGAGGTGTGAATGTTTAGACGAAGAAACTTTTTTATATTCTTTCGATAATCGTACCTTCGAGACGAGAAACTCTCTCCATCTAAATGGGCCTTTAATCACAGAGGCAGACACGAGCAAATGATTTAGTATCGATTTTTTTTACAGATTTAAACCCCTGTTACCCACGCTTAAAAACGCAGGAACGTACGATCTTTCATTAAGAAATTTTGTCGCATAGACCCGAACTTTAATTCCTATATATTATATACTACGAAATACGACCAAATCATATATGCATCTTAATGCTCGCCAGCTCCCTAGCTATTATCTAGCTCATATTATGAATATCCATTTACAAATTATTCATACACAATATTCGATTGATTTTTATACAGTCTACGATCAGCAATTTCTTGTTATCTGTCGTAGTTAATCTGTGCTCTGTGGAGAATTCTTACTTATTGTGTACGTCAACAATTTCGTATCTAGAAATATAAATTCAAAAACACGAGTGTCGACTGTCGAGTACATTAAAAAATTAAGTTATTAAATATGACCAACTAAAAACAACAAATGTACGGCTCTTATAAATATTTAGAAATTACAGTTATTAATAAAATCTAAGTAGATTTATGATGTTAGATAAATAGACATGTGTAGAAATTTATAATTAGTTTAAAAATGATATATACTAATAAACTTGTTTTTTAATTTTATTTTCGTTGCTCTTAGTTATTATTCAAAACCTTCCATGAATTCTGCAAATGAAACCAAACTGCAGAATCAAGAACCAGAAGACATTGAATTGGAAGCGGAAAACATAACACAAGAAACACAACTTAATACGGAAGAAATGGATAGTGAAAGTAAAAAAGAAAAAATATATTCCCAAAATCAACAAGCAAAATTTGGTATGATTTAACATTCTTATAACCTTATCTTTGTATGTAGATATTATCATTTTATTTTTATGGCTTTTTTATGTTAAAGATTAGCAATTAATATGATAAGGTTATCTATTTCCTATTATATATCAATGTGTCTATAATAATGGCCATTTCAGGATACATTAAGTATGTTAGCCTAGGAATACTTACAGTACAAAATTCAGCATTAGGGTTGAGCATGAGATATGCACGAACTAGAAATGGAGTATTATTTTCAGCTGCGGCAGGTAAATATATTTTATATATAACTTTTACAGAAATAGTGTGAAAGAAGTTGTTTTAAGTTTCAGTCAGCTCCATCTTTCAAGTTCTATCCCAGTTGACAAGACTAATAGTTAGAAAAATACCTTATAGTATACAATTCAGAGTCAGGACTTTGTGCTAAGTCAGGTTCCTGTATGGCAAAAATCCATCATCACATTGGTATTAAATATTGGTTTTGTACTTGGCTCAAAATCACAACTCATTTTGAGTGTTCATTTTCACTGTTTGTGTTAAGGATTTAGATTAATACCAATTATTAACATTAAACATCTTTATATAAAAGTTTTGTATTTCCTTTGATACACATTGTATTGTTTCATGGCAAAACACATCTACACTACACTTCATCAATAGAATAGCTACTTATCTATTCAATGATTGATGAAGTCATGTTTTTTTCTTGTTAAATAAAAATTGGATTTTAACAAAATTTGGTGTATAACAAAAAAATAATTTTATTATTACCTATTTGTCATTGCCTATTAGAATTACTTTATACATTTGTTATACAATATATGGTAAATGACACTATTTTTTTACTAAATAAGCAATTAATCTGATACACTAATAAATAATTGATTATTTTGGTCCCCTTTTCAGCTGTTCTAATGACAGAAATTCTAAAACTAGCAATTTGCATAGTTTTGGTAATCAATGAATCTGGTGGTATTAGGAGAGGATCCCAAGTTTTGTACAGTACTGTGATATTGAACATTAAAGATACTTTACGAGTTGGTGTGCCATCATTTCTGTATGTTATTCAAAATAATTTATTGTATGTTTCCGCTTCTAATTTGGATGCTGCAACAAATCAGGTAAAATGCATCTTATTTGTAATGAGTTAACCCACGGGGTGCACCTATTTATAAATAATCATGTTAAATAATATGTATGGTCACGTACAACGGACCTAGTGAGCGTCTAAGTGCGGAAAACGAGTCCACAAACCAACCAACCAATATGTATGTTTTATTTAATAGGAAGCTAAATGACTGATTAGATTTGAATTAATTGTTTCATTTCAGGTTACCTATCAATTGAAACTACTAACAACTGCTTTCTTTGCTGTGTTAGTTTTAAAAAAGAGATTAAAACGGTGGCAATGGGGAGCATTAGGATTACTTGTTATTGGTGTTGCTTTGGTGCAGTTAACATCTACAGAGGCAAAGAACAAAGCTAGTGAATCTCAGTCTAAGGTGCTGGGTTTTTCAGCGGTTTTGGCAGCCTGTTTTATTTCTGGTTTTGCAGGAATATATTTTGAGAAAGTTTTAAAAGAATCTGATATATCTGTAAGTATATCAAGCAATCCATATACAATTTGCTGACACAAAGTTTGTAACAGTTTATGCCAAAAAAAAAAAAATATCAAAATTGAACTATAAGTAACCTTATACCAAATCTTGTCTTAATACAGGACCTTGTTTATATTCAAATCAACTGGTTTTTTAATGCAGTTACAGTTGAAACCCATGCCTAAGACTTTTCTGTAAATTTACATATTGTGTCATTTAGAACTTAGCCTAACACTTTAATTTGTTAGTATTATTTATTTATTCATTGCTGCACCAATAAGGCCACACATAAGAAAATACAAACAATAGGAAAGAAACAAGCTATAGAAATTATAACCACTGTGTGGCCTCAATAGTAGGTGTGGACTACATGCGTGATTTAAACAGTCTTTATTTATTGTGTTTTAATTTATATACTTGTTAATTCTGCTTATTACAATTCTTTTCAGGTCTGGATGAGAAATGTCCAATTAAGTTTATTGTCAGTACCTATCGGTATCATTACATATCTCATAGATAGTAAAGGGGCCATATTGGAGTTACTAAAGGGATTTGATGGTTTTGTGTGGTACCTAATAATACTGCAAGCAGCTGGAGGTTTGATTGTAGCTGTTGTAGTAAAATATGCAGATAATATATTAAAAGGATTTGCCACTTCAGTAGCTATTATTATTTCATGTATTGCTTCTATGTTTTTACTTAATTTCCATCTAACAATACAATTTGCTATAGGTGCTTTGATTGTCATAAGTTCTATATTTTTATATGGCTATGTTCCCAAAAAGAAAGAACCTCGGAACCCTCTAAGTGTATAGTCTTATAGATAATTGTCTTTGCCAGTATGTACTTATTATATTTTACAAATTTAGTATTAAGATAATTTTTTATCACAACTATTATAACATTATTGCTAGCTGATACATTATATTTTATACAATTTTTATCATAAATGACTAGTTTGTCACTAAGAACGAAATATACTCTTTATATATAAGAATGTTTTTATTTTCATTGAAACTCAACCTATTTTAAATGGCCTTCAAATAGGTTTTAGGAATCATAAAATAAAATACTGTTACTATTGTTATTATTATATATCTACTTTAGTTAGGTATTCTTATTTTATAATTTAAAATGAATTAGTTATCTTCCGCTTCCTCATTTGCTCCAACCATTTATCAAGTTGTTCCTGGGGCGTTAATGGATTTCTTTTGTAGTAATCAACAGGAGGTTTGCCTTCTTCTAGGCGTACAAAATAATGAGAATATTGATAACGAACTTCACCCAGTCTCCCTCTAGCATGTCTTCTTATACCTTTGATAACAACTCCCTTTCCAGAGAATGATTCCGCTAAAATATTTAAATAAATGTTTAGTTTTAAACAATTTATAAAAACTTATATTTTTAAACAATTCAAAATGAGCTATTAAATTTTCTTACCAATCCATAAATTACTACGAAATTCTACATTATGTTTTGTTACAGCTAGTTCCTGTGCTTCCAGTATGGCTTCTTTGACTAAACCTGCACCCTTTTTGTTAACAAAACTCAGTTGTTTAATAGCCTCATCTACTGTCATACCTCTGACAAAGCTTGCTATATACCATAGCTTGTCTGGACTGTATTTAAAATTAGTTTTTTGGTGACACACATACTGAAAACACAAACTGACTTAGAATCAACAAATTTCATATTACACACATACAGATTTTTGTTTATAAATATAAATATACACAAAAATGTGTGTGAATCGTGTCTGCCCACATCACGAAACTATATTATATTTACATTTATAAAAAATACTGTAGTTAAAGACAACTTTAATCGATACAAAATTACCATAATATACTAACTGCTGGTCTTGGTTCCTCTGAAGGATCCTGTGGGGGATATATTTTCTTATTGAATTTTAAAAATGATTTGGGCACGTCTGATTTACTCCATGCTGTTACAGGAATAGTAGTGTGCAGGTTTTGCGTCGTATTAATACGAAAAGTTGCTAAATATATATTTTTTAATAACTGGTTCATATTTAATTTTATCTAAAATAGCGCAAAGAAATAAAATTTTCATATATTTTTACTATAAATACATTCAGAATCACATTGCTTTTTGAGTATAGTCCTTTTCACGAAAGAAGTCCCCCAGACGCGGCGCTGCAATCGCATGACGTAATGTTGCCATTTATGAGTAAAAAATTTACCTATTTTATTTACATTTAGCAGATGTAATTTATCAAATAATACTATTTTCTGCGTACTTCGATGAAACAATATATCTGTTATGTAAAAAGTATATTTTTATTTACTTATATTGCGGTGTTCTACCTACTTACAGGGAAAAGATAAGAAAATAGGGTAAAGAAAAGCAATACAATAGTTTATTCAGAGATTTATTGCATAATTGTGATCAACGGCCATAGGGACATCACTGTCCGAAGAGTGTATTGAAACAGAATCAGATTCTGTTTCAGTATCACTAGCAGTTGATATAATTATTCGGTCCATCACTTCATCCATAAGGCCGTCATTTTTTAAATATTCCTCCTCTAAATGTTCGACATGCGAGCACTGAGCTGTCCAATCTTCAGCCGTAATAGACTCAAAGGCCTCTTTAGTTAATTTTAATATTTCTTTTGGATCTTGTGCCACGTTCTTATCCGCCACCTTTCTTTTTACAAGGCTCCAGATATTCTCAATCGGGTTGAGGTCACAATGGTAAGGCGGCAACCTTAATACTTCGTGTCCGTGAGCTGTTAATAATTCATCCACTGCAAATATCGGTGGACCTTTATTTTGTTTGATTAGCTCATACAGCACAACTTTTGTCCAGGTGTCTTCAAAATATATACCCTTTTGCCGGAGCCACTCTTGCATACTCCTTTTTATATTTGACATAGAAGGGGCTTTGTTTAATTGAGTGCAATGGTAAGGAGCGTTATCCATTACCACAAGCGACCTTTCAGGTAGATTAGGTATTAGTTTTTCCGTCACCCATTTTAAGAAATTTGCTGAGTTCATGTCATCGTGGTAATCTGAGGACTTTGATTGGGATTTGAACATTAATAATGCACCATTTATGAATCCATCTTTTGTTCCCGCATGAGCGATTATCCAGCGACTCCCTGATGACTCTGAGACGAACATTCCTGGCTCCTCCTCACTCTGCCAACAACGTTTTGTATGATAAGTATTGTGTATATAGGTCTCATCTAAGTATACAACTGGTCGTTTTTCCACAGTGCGATTTATTCGTATTTTATTCAAATATCTTGCACGCCATGCGGTAATGTCGTGGCGTTCCATAAGTAGTTTTCGTCTGGATTGACATCGCTTGTACTTGAAACCAATTATATTTAATATCCTGTGCAATGTTGTGATGCTTCCCTGATAATTGATGTCCTCTCGCAGAGCTGCCCGTAATTTAACCAATGTTGGTAATTCTTTATGTACGACGTAAAAACTGTAAATTTTTTGCCGGATAGCGCACAAATCGAACCCGTCTAAGTCGAACTTTTTCGGATGCGGGCGACTCTTCCCCGGGGTTACAATTTTTTTTGAAGTACACGCCGCTGTTACACCTTCGTTTGTAATTCTTGATACAGTTTTCTCTGACACACCTGCAATTAAATTATGAACAATTAAAAATAATAGTAACTTTAAGTTTATAATGCTTATCACGTTATGTATTTGTTCAATTTTGTCGTAAAAACGAATTTATATTATCATAAAACTCCCATCAATACAGCAAAAAATTATTAAATGGCAACTCTAAAAAGTACCTGTTATGGCGGCAACTCTCTTCCGAACATTGTTTAGTGGTATTAAAACACCTTGATTCTTATGTTCCGCTTCACAGAACTCTTTCACCTTTAATATCAATTCTCGAGCCGAACTTTTTACAACTTTTGGCATTGTAATCAATATTTAAAATGCACTAAGATAGTTAAAAATTCACAAAAATCTACCACAACAAACGAACTTGATAACATCGACGAATGACAACATTGCCGACCTGTCAAATTTAGTTCCAAAAATATCCGCGGGACTTCTTTCATGAAAAGCACTATACTCTCTATTCTCTAAAATCTAATTCTCTACAGTCAACTCTTAACAATTTCACAGACTAGGAAAATTATCTACACAGATGAATTTGTATTGTTGACTGGAATATAGATAAAAACTTCATAAGTATAAACATAGTAGTAGCAATATATCATGTAATCTGTGTAAATGTGTTTATACTTTATTCCAAATGCAGCATTTTCACTTGGCAAAAAGATGAATATATTATATTATTAAAAGAAAACAACAGAAATTGCATAATATGGTTTTATTAAATTTTTCTTGACGTTGCATATGAAAATGTAAAATATTGGGAAGACATAGTAAATGTCCTTGAATTACTTACAGGAATTCACTTGTAGTTTGTATCACATACTTTAATTTTAAGAAATAATTGTTATAATAAAAACATTTTCACACAAATTTTAAGACAAAACACAAAAATTTCAAAACAACCCTGTTCTGAATTATCTAATTAATTAAATATTAAACTATTTACAGAGCATGTTGTAAATATGTTTATATTATTACATACTTTGTGAACAGACAGCACCAGCAAGTACAATGTAGTTAATAAAACATTATGCTATTTAATATGGGTCTATTGCATTTTGCTTCAAAATCATGCAACAGCTCGTCAATATCATTGTCTAAATCATCACTTTGGGACATTTTAGTAACCATATCACTAATAAGAAAGGCACCTATTGTAGCTTCTTCATGATTATCTTGAATATCTATATTTACTATATGGACAGGCTGGTTACAAATAGATTTTCTGGAGACAAACCATTCAATGACTTGATCATAAACTCTTTCCTCGCATGTTATGATTACATCAAAAATTTCATTTGATGCTTGAAATCGCTCTGGGCTTGGTTTAATCCGACGATTTCGGTCAAGCATATGCAAAAGTCCATTTTGTGTGTAATATGATTTATCTTTCTCCATTAAATCTTTGTAGATATCATCATAAGGAACACCAAATTCGTAACAATTAGGTCGATCAGCCGAAGTACCAGGAAGTTTTACTTTCTCCCCAGTTCCAAATGATTTTACTTTAAATCCTTTCTTTACAAGAAAAGCATGGGCTTCCATGCTTCTGTTCATGTTTGAAGAACACACCACTGCGAAATATAAATCGCTCATTTTTATCTTTTTCTACAGGCAAATCTTCTATATCACTGAAAAGTTAACATTTAATTGCAATAATTGGGTCCGTGCATGTTTGAATTTCGTTAACAATATCCTGAAATGGAGAATTATTAAGAAGGCGAATTTAAAAAGTAGGACATAAAAAGTGTCGACGAACTCGGTTTGATTATTATAATGTTACAGAATACAAAGACATTAGAGATTGACATTAAATCCCATTTAGAATATTGTCTTATTTTTCAACTAATTTTGAATTTTGACACTCAGTGATCAATTTTTTATAATAACCAAACTTTGGTTGAACCATAGAGAATGGAAATTTATGGACAAGTGAAGATAAATTTGCGCGTCATAGGTTGCATACTAATACTAATGGTGTCCTGTATAATAAATAATATCCCAACCACAAAAAATTATCGAAGAAACTCTATTAACGTGCTTCATTGGAAATATTAATAAATAATAAACATCGTCATTTAATTCATATTCGAATATTGGAACAGATCCTGAATTCGAATGAGAATTCTCGTCAAGAACAGGTTTCTTGCATCGGCTTACTGTGGAGCATCAATGTTTCAATTGGTTTATTACGTTGTTCGTGCAATTTTGATGGTTTAATGGTTAAAATGTTATATTGTATAGTATGTCACTGGCCTAAGTATGTAATAAGTTAATTATTTAAATATGTTCGACGTCCTGGTGGACAGAAAAACTGTTTCCAGTTTGTGTTTCCACCACACAAACTTCTTTCTATTTAAAAAAAATCAATTATTGATTGAATAGATAGTGTTAGAGTTAATTATTACATTTTATGTAATAATTAATTTACTCAAATTGTGAATATTTTTATTTCAAATGTAACAATATCAAATAATACTTTACTTTTTATATATACAAAGGCAATATAGAGAATATAGCTAAATTTATATATAGCCAACAATTATCAATCTGAATGTGTGTTACATACACATATTTCTTTGCAACTAAACGATTTATTATTATTTGCGACACACAACCCAGTTACGCCAAACGAATCATTGCCAATGTATAGACACGTGACATAGCGTGAGCTAATTGCCAATCTCATACAAATACCTTTGGTGGATTACCGCTTGGGTCACACCGTGCTAAAGTGATTTTGTATCATGACCACGGAAGAGTCTTTTTCCACACAGATTTGCACCACATTTTATATAAAGCTTGTTGACAATGCTGTAAGAATAGGATAGTCTAATTTAATATAATCATGGATAGTCCATGATTATATTAAATGAGACTAGTCTCTTCCTAGTATATGCGTTTAGGCAGGCGGCTATCACAAATGATAGACTACTTCTACTAAGTCTGTGTTATAACTTATAGATCATATAGATTAACAGATTATAGACTATTGGCTACTACTACGGAGTACGGACGGCGATATTTTGTTTTTAGATTTAACAAGTGTCTTTTAGTGTATTTGTAAAATTAAAATTGTATTTACGTATATTAATTAGGTATATGCTAAGGAATTACTTCGTATTAGTATATTTTTTGTTATTAACGCATGTCCCTTTTTACAAAATATAACTAAAAGATGTTCAGATCCTTAAGAAATAAGTTTTTAATCAAAATTCCCCTTATTAATACACCAAAAAATACATTTCTAACCAATGAATACAAATGTGCGAATGCTTGGAACTCTCAAGTAAATTCTACCGTATTAGCGAAAGTTAATCTTGGCGATTTTTATACGAGTTTAGATCAGAATTATTCATCGAAAGGCACAATTAGCGCTATTGATGTTGACATTTTCGCTAATGCCGTAAGGGACGGCGTGTATCTCGAAGAGCTGAAAGATCTTTTGCATAAACTTAGATTATCAGGTGAAACAGGAAATACATTGGAATCTACACATCATGCTACAGTCAGAAATTTCATGGAATTTGGCAATATACAAGAACTAGTAGATATTTTGAAACATCCTCTAAATTATGGTATATTTCTTGATTATTATACTGCAAATCTTTTATTGGATAAATTGATCAAATCTCAAGACTACGAGATGGCTACCAATGTTGCAGCACTTATAATGCTGCAGGAAGACTATACCAATGAGATTACTAGTTCTTTATGTCAGTATGCTTGTTACAAATTTATTATTGAACACAAACCAGATAATCAAGAGCAGCCAAAAGAAGCAGAAAAAAATAAAAAGGTTGAAGAGGTTAAAATAAGGATTAAGTTCCTTCGCAATCCATATTTTGATGATCACTTTGACATTAAGGATATAAAGTTATTATCCGGAAAGACATTAGCTTGCATATCTAAATGTTTCTCTGATAATGTCAGTAACAATTTACAAATTCTAGGTTGGCTTTTCTATAAAAAATATGATCAACTGTCTACTCTTGTTGATAAATTAAGTCAAAATAATTCATTTAAAGTACATAAAGAAGTGATTGATTTATTGAAGTTGATGGCATCAGAAGAGTCAAAAGAATGTGTTGATAAATGCATAAACTTGCTAAGTAATGTCAAAGTGGCAGAGGGAAGCATTGAAGAATCAATTAAAAATTTAGTAGAAAATGCAATTAATAAATCTCAAAGTAAAGATATATCCATGCAAGAAAAGGTAAATAAAAAAATATAAAAACTTTAACATTTCGATCAATATAACATTTTGGTTTTTTTTAACAATTATAACAATAATATATTTTGAAATAATTTAGCAAACTACCATATATTCTATTTTTAACCTCTCTACATGTTTTTATTTCAGATGTTTAAAGATTGGGAAGCTATGCGAGAACAAAAACTGCAGGAGCAAATAGCACGTTTGGATAGAATAAAGCGTGTGCAGGCTATAGAAGAAAAACAAAATTTATTACAAAAGGAAGAGCAAAAATTGTGGTTCTTTGAAAATGAAGAAAAAATAGACCTACAAATAGAAGAAAAGGAACAAATGGAAGATAAAAGTCAAATAAAGAGTAAAACTCAAGACAAATCTGATGTAGATTATATTCCTCCTGAAATCTTACCTAGGAGAAGGTGAATGTATTTATTAATAAAAATGAAATAAAATATACAGTTAGAAAACATTGTTTTTTATATTTATTTATCCTTAAATGTCCATAGAGAATCAAGAACAAGCTGAGACTTTAAGGTGAGGCTTACTCTTATGGGCACACCACATAAATTAGGGTATGTAAACCAACCGATTCATTCAGAAACTGATGATGACTTTACGACACTCTCTTTTAGTAAGCAATTAATTTGTTTTTATAGTTTTAACGTATATTCCAAGCAGTTGTTGTTATGTCTTAAATGATAAATATATTATTAATTAGATTCTTTTTGTAAATTAGCTAAATCTAATTGAATTTTTTGAAGTATATTTTCAGTTCGCTTTGATTTTTCCGTTTTTATATTATCTTCTAAATCCACAATGTCCCTTGCAAGAGTTCCAGTTTCATTAACAAGTGATACAATCGTATTGCATTCCGAATGCAATAATGCTAGTAGTTTGTAGGCTTTCTTTGCTTGATCATCCTTTTTAGCATCCTAGAACATCACAACATATATTAGTATCCAACTACATAGTTTCTACCTTTTTACTTGTATAGCAAATTGGAATAATTACACAAAACTTGGTTAATACTTTGAACCCTTTTTGACTAAGTAAGGCAGTAATAAAATAAATAAAGTAATTTTTATTATTATTAATTTTCTCAGTCTGTCCAGGTCTTTGTAGTTGTCAGGCTTTTGTAATTTTGGGAATTCATATTGGTTTTCATTTTGAGAATGTCAGTGAAACACATATTATGTCTATTACATTTGGAAGTCACAGGAATTATCAGGGTGAAACATTTAAAGTAAATAGTTCACCTTAAAAAGAGTTTCATCTGCAATGGAGAAACACCTTCCCAGTTGGCCCTCAAGACTGTTTATTTCTTTTTGTAAGTGTCTTGTATCTTCTAATACCTTTTTTATTTCCATATTTTGTTTGTCCACATTACCAATTATTTCTAATATTCTTTTGGTGTATATATGTCTGTAATTTTGTTATTTAAATAATGAGAAATTAAACAATATAAAAGTAGCTATAGGTTTTTCCTTATGTGCAGATATTTTAACTAAACTTCAGATTAACTAGAATGCATTATGAAATAGAGAAAAATTATAAAAAAGTCACCTTTTATTTCCCCCTTTCATTTTTTCATATTTTGCCTTTAATTGGATTCTTAACTCTTCCTTTTTCTCACATTCATCTTTAACACCTTTAGCTTTTTCTTTTAAATCTATAAGATTTTTTTTACAATTATTTCTCTCCGACTGAAATATATTAAAATTCTTTGAATCTTATAAAAACAAATATTTTTATACATTAGTAATATATATTCTTATTGTCATTCATACATAGATTTCAATGAAATATGCTTTCAGCATTAAATATAGTTATTCTATTGCCTAAAATCTATGCAATGTGGGTTTTAGCCAGTAGTAGCAGTATAATTAAAGTAAATTACTCAAGTACGCATATTTAAGTAATTTAGTTTAATTATCTTAATATCTATCTTACCAGTTCTGAATAGTCTTTTTCAGCTTTTAACTTCTCTATATCAACTTTCAACGAGAGATTTTTGGATGTTAAGTCCTCCACCTTACAATGCATCCTATTTAAATTTTTATGAACAACTTCCAAAAGATTATCAACCGAAGTTTCCGAGTCAATGTCAGTAATACCAACACTCTTTAGCACAATCTCTATATTCCGCAAGTCAGAATCTACACGTTCACAGCTTTTCTGAGCCTAAAATGATTAGATTATTAATAAATATATTATTCATATAGGTCCCCTCCTGCTCTGTGTTCATCACAAATTGTGTATATAAAATAAGGGTCTAGGTGGCCCACATATGCACTTTTTATAGAGCAAATATTTTTTTTTATTGCCGTTGTTAATAAATAATAAACAGATACTGTTAATGTCTGTCTTTTGCTTTTGTGGGGGGTTTGTGGACAAGTAAGGAAATTTATCACAAAATTGTTACCTGAGAAAATTCAACCTCCATTACATTTCTTTCACTGGTAAGCATATCCAACTTTTGTTTCAATTGTATTGTTGTCTCCTTCAATTCTTTGAGGCTTTCTTTAATCATTTTCTTTTTTTGAATTTCATTATTCAAATTTGTATCCAGATTTGTTTGGTCAATAATAGGTGTGTTCTCAACTTTTATGTTTTGCAAGCGTTTTAATTTTTCAATAAGAATATTGTCATCTAGCTTTTCACCCATTACTTTTTCTATTTACATGAAAAGTAAAAACATATTCTATTATTTTAAAAGTTATAAATGTAAGGTTCTCCTTTATAAAAAATAAATAATCTTGTATTAAATAGGTGATTGTTTGTTTTGTTAAATATTTTTTGTGTTTTAAAAATTATTTTTAAAAATTATTCACAATTATTGTGATGTCTTATATTGTAAAATATTGCTGTTACCGGCTTATATATATTGTCTTTATAAGAGCATTATATTTAGATTATAAGCTACTCAATGACTAATTGTTATACCTTTTCGATAAATGTAGTCACCAAATGACATTTTTATAGGGTTTTTACAGCAAGGCGGAATCCATATAGTGTTAAGATCTTCAGCTATTTTTAAACTAATTTGTTGCAAGAGCTCTTGTTTCTTATTGGAAGGGACAACTTTCACATTAGGTCTTTTATCTTCACTGGGTAACTTTTCAATTAAGAACATAAATACTTGTCGGAGTTCAGTCTCATTGTAGTATAGGAATGTTTGATAGCCAACATCATTTTTGTAGCCCAATTCCTACAATATTTAAAGTATGGTAAGCATAACAGCGATGTAATGTGAACACTTGTAATTAAAACGTAGATATCCAACTAGCATAGCTCCCTTTTACCTTGCAAGAGGTTGCAATTTGTGTAGCCACTCCTATTCTCTGTGAAACACCAGTTGGTAATTTTATTGGCACTTTAAGGTTTGGATTTATGTTTGATATGCACTGCGCCGCAGCTTCAATTATAGTTTCCACTGGTATATCACATAAATTTTTTACATCCTCATTGATATTACTAAAATGATTATACAAATGCATTATATTAACACTGGTTTATAAAATCTTAAATTATAAGTAGACGGTGTATTGTTAAAATTTTACTTACACATTTAACTGACGTAGAAAGTGTATAATAATCGAATCCACTTCTTCCATTATTGTAAATTTAAAGTAATTTACACATTTACTTGTAACAGTTACAATAATTTGGCAATAAAACAAAACAATAATATCAAAATCTATTAATCCCGTATTTAAACCGGTATCTCAAGACTAGAGTCACAAAAATAATATTGAGTTTGACACTTCTAGTTTCTACGTTCTATAGTACGCCTCTTAAGTCTTAAGGCTCCCCACACAGGCGCGTTATTATAGGTCGATAAAATCGCATGCGGTATTGCGATGCGTCCTGATTCCTTGCACACAGCTGCGTTTTTATCGTCCGATATTTCTAACGAGAGAGTGCCAAGCCGCGACGGCACTATTATACTATCTCTCTCAGGTATGCAAAAAAAGTCAACACAGCGCACGCACATGCAAGGAAGACTCCAACAAGTCAGCGCGTATTTGTGTTATCTTTTGCTATATTGCGTATTTTAAAAATGAATATCGAATCATTCATAGCTTTAGTGAAGGAACGACCTGTTACCGACTACATGGCCATCCTAATACAAAATGTACTGAAAACAGATATCGCAATAACGCATGCGATATTATCGACCTATAATAACGCGCCTGTGTGGGGTAGCCTTTATTTCTCTTGTACTAGAACATAGAAAATATATATAATTATAGACCAAGAAACGGCAGACTAGTTTTGCAGTTTTTCTTATTAACTTATTTTGACGACAAAATGCATCAGAATGAGTAGGACAAATCATCTTTTATCTGTTTTTTTTACGTGGGGCAATGCGACCCGCCCGCGACTTATCTAGCGACTTGATCTCAACTCAACATCAACTGACACTTATCCTTACTTAGGCACACACAGCTAGATTTTTCAATGTGAATGTGTCTCTCTAACCAAAGTAGCCAGAGCCGTAAAGTGCTTAGAAAAAAAAGACAAACAACAAACACTGGAATGTCACAATGCACTGGAGGCAATAACCGTGACAAACAGGGTTATCCTACAGTGGATCTCTCGGCAATGATGCCGCCTATAAACTTGCGAGGAGAGGCTCCAGAATGATCTCGGCTGGTCTGTATCCGCTGCTTCCATTGATTGCCCTTATCCTGAACCTGAATTCACGAAAAAAGATCCACAGAACTCCAACTCCAGACAGTCTCTTGAGCAGAGGCTGTTTCAGCGCAGAGGAAAGAGTCACCCACGTAGTCCTGGAATGCGTTCCAACGTGCAGAAATCTTTGGAGCAGTGAGGTCGCTCCGTGAAGCCTGCGAAGTTCCCAGGAGATATGTGTTTCTGGAAGGAGGCAGGCTGGCTTAGTTAGCCAGGACTTTACGCACAACAGACCCAATGAGCGTCTAAGTGTGGAAACTGAGTCCACCAACCATATATCATATACCTGAAGCGTATGCGTGCATCAGCATTACAAAACATGTAAGGTGTCGGCAGAGTGACGATGCGGATGGACTGTGGGATTAAACTTCCTGGCCCTCTCTGCTTTTTCTTTTAGTCGCATGCAGAATCTCTAGAAGATTTCCTACATGCCGTTACTGTCCGCGCTTGTAACTGCTACTCTCACAATGTTATCTAGAGTAGCTAGCGTTCGGGCCCTACGCAATATGTCTGTTGTAATAAAAAAAAATTATGATTGTTCTATTTGTATTTGTAGGTTCTAACGATGTGTTCAATAGGTAATATGAAAATAAAATTACATTTTCTAGTTTGTCGGTAGAGAACGAGATGATGCAGACAGACGACTTGTATCAAGAACAATTCTTGATTAAAACTAAACATTCTTTCTGCATTAATATCAACAGAGCTAACAAGTTTAAAATAAATAATAAACAACAATTTTAAAATGCTCTAATCTATCTAAAGTTTACGATCATCAGCTAATGCTCCACACTGTCAGTGAAGTGATGCAACTTGGGTGTTCCCCCCAAATTTAGGGAGAACCAAGATGTCTAGGGGGGATTTTAGGAGGTAAATTTATTTAGGTGTACATTACAATTACAAGACACAAACAGTAAAAGAAATTTTTTCGTTCTTAAAAACGCACGATTTTATATAATTTATATTAAGTCTAGAACCCAACGAATTAAAAAGTGTGGCTTTAACTAAAATATCAAAAAAGTATAATATTGAAACATCAAGATCGAAATTTTATTTTGCTTGAAAGTTTGATGCTTATTTCAAATAACCTCTCAAACCGGGTATACAACAAAAACTTTAGGGGTTTTTAATCCATATTTAGGGGTAATTTGAAGTTGGTTGTAGGGGAAAGATTCTGTAGGAGCTTGCATCACTATTCACTGCGTGTGTTATTCCGTATTCGATTTGATATTGATTGTCAAATTGATTTAGGTTTTAATTTACAAAACTACAAATCAATAAAAATATACATAATACAATTTCACGAATAAGCGCGGGAAATACGATCGTAGACTGACGCGTTTTTCGATTTAATTAAATTTTATTTTATTTCTAGGGTTTGGATCAGTAGTCTAGTGTATTTAATGTATATATTTTTGTTATTTCTTAGTTTTATTTAATAGTGTATTAAAGAGAAGATTTATTGGTAAGTTATTTTAATATACTTTTGCTCCTTATGGAGCCGCCTGATGACCCTGGGGGCGGAGAAGTCCCTGGGGTGGGCTGTATAGTAACGATTTCAAATGATGAGTCTGGAATGGAAACAGATGGATCTATAAAATCTAGCAGTGGTGCTCGAAAACGGAGAGCCACTGTGCATAAACATTGCACCCACTGTAATAAAAAGAGACGTAGTCGGAAACATGAGGGCAAGGAAATCAAACCAAACGAATGTCATTGCATTCCTTTAACCAATACCCAAATTAGCACTGCTCCCTTGTTCAATGAGTCACAATCCAACCCGTCACAACTTAATTCCTCTAATGAATATAAAAAGCCAGAATCAGTAGCACGTTTAAGATACCAGCCAAGTGATGCAGCACCATATGTTGTTCACATACAAAGAGTACAGCAAACTCCAAATGATAGCGTTTCAGTCCACCCAATTGCTTTTGGTCGTTTCTTAAAAAGAAATTCTATACACAATATTGTTAACGGAAGCCTAAAACGAATTGGTCGTAATAGACTGTCTCTGTCTTTTAATAATTACCAGGACGCAAATTCTTTCCTAAATAACTCTGCTTTACAATCAGTCGAGTATAAGGTTTTTATCCCAACATTTACTGTTACCCGTATGGGTGTTGTAAGAGGCATACCTGCTGAGTGGTCAGATGAAGAAGTTACGGAAAATATTAATTTACCTGTTGGATGCGGTCCAATTTTAAAAATAAGAAGAATGAGACGGCGTATCATTACTAGTAATGGCAGTGAGTTTAAGCCTACTGAAACTGTGGTTCTTACATTTGATGGACAAATACTACCTAAGCGAATTTTTATTTGCTACACTTCCCTCCCAGTTGATCTTTACATTTTCCCCACAATACAGTGCTATAATTGTTGCAGATTTGGTCATGTTAAATCATTATGTAGATCAAAACCAAAGTGTTTCAAGTGTGGCCAAGACCATTCGGCTGATCAGTGCTCTATCCTAGAGGAAGATGCATACTGTTGTTTATGTCAAGGTTCCCATTTTGCCACAAGTAAAAGATGTTTAGAATTTGATCGCCAAAAAGCCATCAAAGAATCTATGGCCAAGAGCTGTATTTCGTACGCTGAAGCATCTAAAATTCATGCACCTATCTCAAAAATATCTTATGCTGATGCTTTACTTTCTTCTTCCAATGTAGGTGCTTCTACTATTTCTACTCCTCAAAATGAACAGTCTCATAAACAGTCTTTGAGTAACTCTTACAAAAAAGACTTTTTTTCTCAAACCTAAATCTATTCCTAAACTTTCCAAAGGTTATGACAGAAATACACAACAACAATTAATTAAAGATTATGATATGCCCTCACCCAGAAATGGTTGTGGATTAAACTTAAACAACAATAATGATTTGACATTACAATCAATTGCAGACCTAATAAAAATTCTCATTAACACTTTATCACAGTCAAATATTCTTTCACCGTCCAACGCTGCTCCTTTAATTGACACTATTGTTAGCTTACCAAATTATATTAATAATGGACAAGCAAGCCAAAGCTCTACAGTGGAACTGTAGAAGTGCTTCGTCTAAGAAAAGTGATATTATTTATCTTATAAATAAATATAAACCTTTTATCTTCGCTCTACAGGAAACCTGGTTAAAACCAGGTGCTCCTTGTAGGTACTCAGGCTATGCCTGTCTCCGTGAGGATCGTATTGACGGGTATGGCGGAGTTGCCTTACTAGTCAAACATCATCTTCCTTTTCTCACTTTCCTATTCCTTCTCATAGTAATGATTTTTCAATTATTGCTGCTATTGTTAATAATATCTGCTATGTTTCAATATATATTCCTCATCCTAGTTCTTCTATCTTTGTTGAAATTGACTCTATCATTTCTACTCTTCCTAAGCCTTTTATCTTATTAGGCGACTTTAACAGTCAACATAATTCTTGGGGCAGTTCAACAACCAATACATACGGAGTTTCATTGATGGAACTGTTAAACTCTCATAATCTTTGCTTTCTTAACGATGGTTCTGTGACCCGGCGGACCTCTCCCAATGAAGGCTCAAGTGTCCCTGATTTAAGCATTTGTACTCCTAGTTTAGCTTCCACTATTTCATGGTCTACACTTTCTTCTTCATATGGTAGTGACCACTTCCCTTTACTTCTTAGATTTCCTTTTCACATTAATTTTACATTTAGACATTCACCTAGATTAAAACATCGACTTAATAATGCTGATTGGGATACCTTTAAATCCCGTATAGAACAAAAGATGACTTCCCTTCCTAATATCTCACATGGTTCAGAATCAATTTGTGCTGATGCATTAACTAAATTATTTATAGAAGTAGCAGACAAAACCTTTCCGCTTAAAAACGGTGCTCTGGGCTTTATTCCATCTCCACCTTGGTGGGATCAAGAATGTTCAGATGCAATTAAAAAAAGAAAACAAGTTGAGCTCCAATATTGTGAGAATTGTACATCTGAAAATTTTGATCTGGTTACAGATGCTTTCAAGGCCACTAGTTTATTATTCAAAAGAAAAAAACAGATAGCTGGAAATCTTTTTGTCTCTCCATCTCCCCTAATGTCCGTCCTTCTGTGGTATGGCGTAATATTAGAAGATTCAGGTGTGCATTTACTGAAACTTCTGGTTCTCTCCCCGATTCATTAACAAATCAATTCCTCGACAGACTTGCTCCTACTACAGTTCCTGAAACAATAATTATACCTCTGATGCCATTGAACCCCTCTGGTCTCAATAGTCCATTTTCTATGTATGAAATTAAAGGAATACTATCTTCAGTTATAGACTCTGCTCCTGGTGACGATGGAATCCCATATTCCTTCATCTCTCATTTAGGTGACCAAACTCTTGAATATTTCCTGAAATTGATAAATACACTTATGTTAACCGGTTCTATCCCTCCACGCTGGAAAAACCAGATCATTATACCAATTCTAAAATCTAATAAAAAATCCCTCTAACGCAAATTCATATCGTCCTATTGCATTATCCTCGGTCTTGATAAAACTCTGTGAACATTTAGTGAAAACTCGTCTTGAATGGTTTGTAGAAAGCAATAAATTACTTTGTGACAGTCAATTTGGTTTCCGTCGAGGGAAGAGTACGATGGACAGTATTGCCATCTTTATAACTGACATTTTTTAGCATTTTCAAGGAACGATTCTGTTGTTGCCACATTTTTAGATGTACAATCCGCTTATGACAATGTAGTGTTGTCAGTTCTTCATAAAAAGCTACAGTATTTGAATGTACCTGTAATGTTATCAAATTTTATCATAAATACTTTATACGAAAGACACATCACTCTAATTTCACAAGACTCCACTGTTGTAACCAGAACCTTATGGAGAGGTCTTCCTCAAGGATCAGTCTTAAGTCCCATCTTATATAATATTTATACCCATGATTTGAAAGCTTCTTTGGGTAATCGGATTTGTATTCTCCAGTATGCTGATGACCTTTTAATTTATTCCATTCATCAATCACCGGCCATTGCTTGCTCATTACTGTCTCATTCTCTTAATTTATTAAAAACTTGGCTTGATACTAATGGCCTTGAAATATCCCCCCACTAAAAGTGTTGCCATGCTTTTTTCTAGAATGCGTCTCCCTCCTCCAATCAACGTGTATTTTGATAATAATATTATCCCTGTTAAAAACTCTGTGAAGTTCCTTGGTGTGTTTTTAGATTCTAAGCTCTCTGGTGTAAATCATTGTGACTACATTTTTAATAGGTGTGAGCGAAACCTGAACATTCTTAGATGTTTATCCGGTGTATGGTGGGGTGCCCATCCCTTTTGTATGAAACTCATGTACAATGCTTTAATCCGAAGTATTTTAGACTATGGTACCTTTTATTATCTCCTGGAAATGCAACCCGTTTAAAAAAATTAGATAATATACAGTCTAAGGCATTAAGATTAATCACAGGAGCTATGAAAACTAGTCCAATTAATGCTTTACAAGTAGAATGTGTTGAAGCCCCATTACATCTTAGACGACAATATTTATCTGATAAATTCATATTTCGCTCCCTTCAATATGCCAACCATCCTCTCCGTTCTAAGCTGCAAGAACTATCTCAATTGTTGACATCTTCCAAGTACTGGTCAAATAAATCTTCACCTTGTCTCATCGTCAGCTTCAATAAATTTATCAATATTCAAGCTCCAACTCATACCTTACCAACTTACCCTTTATTTGGAACAAACTTTGAATCTCTAATTATTTCTCCAGACATTAGATTCAATATTGGTATAAACAAGGGCGATTCCCACGCAAGGATTACTTTTAATTATTTCTGTGAACAACACTGCCATGAGTACAATTACATATTTACAGATGCCTCTAAACACGGTTCGTCTGGTAATGTAGGCATAGGAGTATTTCACTTACAAAGTAAAACTACAATAAAAATAATGTTTCCTCCAGAGTCCTCAATCTTCACAGGGGAATGTTACGGTATCTTTAAAGCTTTAAAATTAGTTTTGAGCAAGAAACTTAAGAAATCCATCATATTCACAGATTCACTTAGTGCTCTTCAAGCTCTCCAAAAATATCCATTAAAAAACAAATTAATTTTTCCTATCATTATTGAGATTAGGAGTTTGTTGTATGAATGTGAGCAATTGGGGTTGTCTGTGTCATTTGGTTGGATACCTGGACATTCTGGTATTTTTGGTAACGACATAGCAGACCAACTAGCAAATGAAGCTGTTAAGGATGGCGATTCTAACTCGTATAAAAATTATTATCATGATTTGGCCTCACTTCCTGCTTCTTTTCTTCGACAATCTTGGACTGACCTTTGGATTCAGAGCAGTTTAATTAAGGGTAAATATTTTTCATGTATACAGCCCACAATACCACTAAAGCCATGGTTTTTTAAAATGAAATTTAATAAAAAGGAAACATCGTCTCTCATTCGTATGAGATTGGGCCATGTGTGTACCCCAGCCCACCTTTCCAGATTTCATATTATTGATAGTGAAATGTGTGAGTGTGGGCTGAATATTGGTGATTTAAACCATATCATTCTGTCCTGTCCTCGGTATAACCACTCCATGTTATTCGATCATTCTCATCCTTCTTCTAGTATCCCGTTACCTACATCTGTTCCTGTTCTGCTTTCATCTTTAAATAATAATATATATAAAAAGTTATGTTTATTTCTTACTCTAAATAATATAAAATTATAAATATGTACATACATATGTATACAAATCGTATTTTGTATGATATATATTTTATTAATAACTGTTCCTTTCCATAATGTAGTACTTTGTATTAGAGATAGTTTTATATCCTGCTGATCCTATCCTTTATCGATGTAATGTTCATTCGGTGTAAAATTATTTTTCTTTACTATTCCGTTTTCCTTACCTTTGTCTGTGGCAATACGCTCTGCGTGAGGCTATTAAAAAAAAAAAAATAAAAATATACATAATACAATTTCACGAATAATAAATAAATTAATCAGAAAGTCAATATAGGAATTTAATTTTATATTATTGGTTACTTTCATCATTAATGGTTATACAAAAAAGGTCTATTTAAAACATCTGTGCCTGTATTATTAATAATTAGTATATAAATATTAGACTCAAGAAAAAGTATTCAATTAGAAATTAGAATCCATTTCTCAATATGATACTATTGTTAAGCATTTATTCTACTTTAATTTATCATGCGGTAAATATTTCTTGCATTTAACCTTTTTAAAATAACCTCTTATTTTGTAATTTTATGCAATCAAATTATTTTATAGACTTGTCTTGATTACGACGGATGGCTAAATATTAAAGTCGAACATTCATTGAATTGTAATGGAGATAAATATTGCAATCGGGGGACTATATCTTTAAAGAGTATCAGAGCTGGAACTGCAATAATAGATCAAACTGCATTTAATAACAAACATATAGAAGAGTTGAAGGTAAATATTATACTTTACAGAAAAACTACAAAAAATTGTAATATTGACTTGAAATAAGAACAATAACAGTTTCTGTATAAATTGATTCCAATACTATTTTCTAGGAGTTGGCCCAGTTTGATGGATTTTATACTATAAGAACTTTAGTTACCACAGCAGACACCAAAGAGACTGAATTTTTGTCATCAGTAAAAGCTAAAGCTTTCTTAGAGAATGGACTTTCTGATGTTATAAGTGCATGGGTTTTACCAAATGGTGAAGTAATAGCAGTTACATTTCAAGTCATGAATGCATCTCAACCTAATAAATTAAAACAAAATTCTGAATACCAAATTAATTCCAATTTCTATCTCCGTCATGTGGATCAGGCTCCCGTGTATGTATTTTTACTGTACTAATTTGAATTGTCACAAATTTTATTTGTTTCATGACAAATTTTTATTGTAGACCAGATACTGCCTCTTACATTCAAAAGTTGGAAAGAGAGAAAGAAGCAAGGGAAAAGGGTGATTTGAAAGATAATAGACCATTCTTGTCCAAATATGTAAGTATACTCTATTGTAACAAATGTTAAAGATCTATAAGGCATTATATAATATAAGCAGTTTTGTTTAAATTATTAATGTTTGATCTAAATCTTTTGAAATTACATTGAACTTTAGACAGTACTCTTTGGTCATATGACATCTATTAAATCTTAAAACACTAATTACATTTGCAAGTCATCAAATAGAGAAAACATATGTTGTGTATATTTTTTTTGTTTAAATAATTGTTAAAAATAAATTATTCTTTACAGTGGATGTACATAGTTCCAGTTGCAATATTTGTATTGATATCTGGTGTAGGAAATCCTGAAGGAGGTGCTCAACCATCACGCTGAAGCATATAATTTAATTTGGTTTCATTATATATTTTTATTTGAGTAATGTGGATTGTATTTATAATGGTTTGCAACTTGAATTCACTTGTTTGTGTTTTGGGTGATAAAAATTGTTTAAACATATTTAATACTTGCCTATTTATTTCATTAGTTTTGGTTTGACCAATAATATGTAATAATTAAAATATTTGGAAATATAGTGTATGAAAAACATATAACTTGTTTATAGAAACCTTTAATGCTTAGTAATATTACAAAAAAATACAGTACAATTAATTTATTGTGCCAAAGAGTTAATCACAATAAGTTATGCACCAATTTTTTCAATTTCTTCTGCATCTTCAATATCTAATAATTTAATCTTTTTACCAAAATGTGATTCAATATCTAAACAAATTTCCATGTCCTGCGGAGATTCAATCAAGTTAATAGCTATTCCAGCTTTTCCAAATCTCCCAGTGCGCCCAATTCTGTGTAAGTAAGTTTCACAATCAGCCTTTCTGTTCAGATCCATTGGCATATCAAAGTTGACAACAAGAGTAACCTGCTCTATATCAATTCCACGAGACAATACATTTGTAGTAATTAACACTTTTTCAAGTCCACCTCTGAATCTGTCCAATACTGCAATTCTTTGTTCAACAGTAAGCTCACCTGACAGCACAGCTACAGAATGTCCATCTCTTGACATTTTTTCTGAGAGCCAGCTTGCTGTTTTTCTTGTATGACAAAATATAATAGCTTGGCCAATAGTTATAACACCATAAATATTGCATATAGCCCTATATTTATCCTCTGGGCTCTTGCATTTAACAAAATATTGTTTAATATTGTCTAATGATTCTTCTTCTCTTAATAGTCTTATTATAATGGGGTTGGTAACTATAATTTCAGCAAATTCCATAACTGCGCTATTATAAGTAGCAGAGAAGAACATCATTTGACATGTTGAAGGAATACATTTATGGATGCGAACACATTGGTCTCTGTGACCTTGACGATCTATCATAACATCTGCTTCATCCAATACAAAGACTTTTATCTTAGTTAAGTCAAACATTGCAAATTTAAGAGCCCAATCCAACATTTTTCCTGGAGTTCCAATTAATATATGATCTATTATTTTTGTACCTTTAGGTAGTTCCTCACCTCGAACAGCATATTTAAGTTTAATTTCAGGGCAGAATTTGGCCATCCTTGCAGCAACTTCACCAGTTTGTATTGCTAATTCGTAGGTTGGACTTAGACAAAGTACTTGGGGATAGTTTTTGGTTGGATCAACTCTACTTAACATGGCCAATACAAAAGCAGCAGTTTTACCTGTTCCTGATTGAGACTGTGCTATCATATTTTGAGGAGGGTCTGCTAGTAATGTAGGCAAAGCAGTTTCTTGTATTTTAGATGGAGCGTTGAAGCCCATTGCATATACACCTTTTAATAAGTTTGGTTTTAAGTGTAATGCTTCAAATGTCTTTACTGAATAAAGAGGAGAATTTGGATCCTTTCTTTGAATTTCAATATCCTGTTTAGATTCAACAAGTCCTTGTCTTATGATTTTCATGAGTAGAGAAGCTTCTGCTGGATTTGCTGTATCTGGACTGTCATCCTCAGGTTTTTCAATTTTTTTATTGAGTCCTAGACCAGCAACTTTATTGGATATTTCTAGCTCTTCAGCTTTTTGACCCCATTGGTTCGCCATTTTCAAGGCTAAAATAATAAAAAAAAACAATACAAACGTTTCATTTAAATAAAACTGTGCACGAGTGGGTTGGGTATAACTTTTGAGGTCCAACTTAACAGGTTGACTAAAATCTTATAAGTTTTGCTTATTTATCCAGGATATTATTTATAACTCACTCAATGTTTTCGTGTATAGGTAATTATGATAGTTTAATATAACTTTAAATTGCAAGTTTAAACATGCTGTCAAAACTTTAGACGCGTTGGAATACTTTAATATTTTAAGATAAACCTACGCGTTTAATATTAATCTTACCTCTTCAAAATAATAAATAAGTTTTTGTTACGTACTTATTACTTAATATAATATATAATTAAGACCTCCAAAAAGCAAGCCTAAATTATAATTTCACTTTCGTTTTATGAAATTATCAAATTATCGTTTTCACTTTTCAGGTTTGCGTTATTCCAATCACAGATGTTGTCAGTTATCAATCTGTCAGTTTGTTGTCTTGCGCTAACGGTATGTCACTTGGCACTTGCAGATTCATGATTCAAGTTGATGTTTCCCATAGACATAGAAAGGAGTTCTCAAATTATTCACATTTCACATTCATGTAGTTGATGTTAACTGCATTGCACTCCATCTTTGAAAAAAAAGAGAAATAAAACTTTGCATGTTTTGGTTTAATATAATTATTCTGCAGTTTATATAAAATATCGATTGAAATTATAAGAGATTCGATCATAAATAATAGGTCTGACATAATTGAAAGCCACAAACTTATATAGGAAACTACATGAATCATAGGACAGTAATATTATCATAAATATGGATACTGAGACACAAACACCTATTGCTATTATTCAGAAAGCTTCTCTGTAGATGAATGATGAAACATTATGAAGCAATTTAACAGCTAAAACTAGAAAAATGCGAGGGTCCGGAATAAGATATAACAAAGTTATTAGGTTAAATTAATTTGGCTAACAGATATCTTATTTCTCCGTTGAAATACCTTCGCTCTTCAAGCTAGAGAAAGAAATCAGTATCATGCTCAAAAACCTCAGCCGATGGAACAAAAGGTACCTATGTACTTACAATTGACCACATTCACTCGATCGAAATACTGATCGAAAATCGTGATAAATATCAGAAACCACTGTAGGTAGGTACATATGTTATATAATATACTAGGAGACCGGCCAAGCGTTCCTGTGGCTAAGGTTTTTGTTATATTACATAGTAGCAAACTATTCAAGGGAAACGGTAGGAGAACACCAGTCATGGGGACCACCATGCTTTTTTGGTGGATATGCCATTAAATTGTAGCTTATGTGAAACGTTGGTACTTTTAACACAGCGCCATCTGTTAGAATTGTGACTATCAAATAATAAACAAATATTTTGCAATAAAATAATATAAAATATTGCGGGTATAAATTGAGATGTAAGCTATCCTATCTTTTAAGTTAGGTCAAACTGCACACGGTGTGCAAATTTAATTGATACTCGTATCGGTTCGGTAGTTTACAAACAACGTGACACGTAATTTATATATATTAAGATATATATTTTTTCCGGAATTTACTACATATTAAGTTTGTTATGGAAGAGCTGGGAACCGTGACACAGGTATTTTTTTACTTTAAGGGGTTCCCAATTCTTACACATATGAATTGTTGTCAAATGAATAAACACATTATTATTTCTAAATACTTGATATAAAATTTCGGACCACTAATGATACGGATGGTATTTTGTATTTTGCCTTGACGTCCGATAATGAAACTCAGCTGAAGGTATTAGACCGAACAACTCCTCTGAACACTCTCCAGGGTAATGCGGTAGAAGATGCAGAATATCTGCACAAATCGCATCACATCATGGCGAGGATCCAAGGGTAGAAAATAACGAGGTACACTTGATGGGAACTCGACATTAAAGTAATAGGAACCAATGATTTGTTAACAAATGCGAAGAATAGAGGGGAATGGAATCGAAGCCTGTCACGATGAGATATGTATATTATAGACTGACATTACATGACAAAAAGAATTAACTTGTACTTACAATATAAACCTTAAATTTGGACTTTATTCGTAAGAAATAATTCCTTAATAATAATTATATAGAACCATTGACATATTTGTTTATCGTGACACGAGAACAAATAATTGTAAATGTTTTAGGATAATATAATTGTAATTAGGATATATTGCGGGAAATTAAAAGGTATTTTCATTTTTATAATTTTTAATTAACATAAAGCCAATGGGTTTTAAAATACCTGTTGTATATGTTTAGATATAATAATTCTAAAGAGATTGGTATTTATTGTATTAAACTATGTTTTGACAACTTAATTAAACTGATAAAAAGGGAACAGTAAATAATGTAAAGAATAGATTTCATAGTGTGTTATTCTGTTGCTAGATGGCGCTATCACAAAGTCACTAAAATATGATAATTTTTCTAACCATACTGAAAATATAAATTTTATAGCATAAAAATATCTAGTCCATGATCTTTTTATATTTATTAATTATCGCCTTTTTTATTACAAAATTGATTAGAGTCGACTTCTTGGATGTTAACGTATTATTGAACATTAAAAACAATAGAAATTTCATGTGGTACAATTTTAGGCCGGGATATTGTCTTCTAAAGAAATAATTCTTTAGGAATTTAAGATAAAAGAGTTTTTACGGGCTCTCATATGAGCCGAAATTAAACATGAATACTTGCTTTTACCTCTGACGTGGAACATTCCGCTCCAATACATTCCCTTTGAACCTTGGAAAAAGTACGCGAGGGTAATCATTTTAGTTATGGACAAAATTGGAATTACAATTTTGAGACTTAAGCTGTCGGAACGTGGTAACTTCCGGAAAGACTTCATGTACCAAATTAAAACTTGTCAAATTCGACTGAGTAGATCAGTCAGCAGAGAAAACAACAACACTACTCGTGTTAGACTAGTGGCTACAGCGTGCGACTCCCATCCATGAGGTTGAGGGCTAGGTTCGATCCCCGGCTGTGCACCAATGGACTTTCTTTCTATGTGCGCATTTAACATTCGTTCGAACGGTGAAGGAAAACATCGTGAGGACACCGGCTTGCCTTAGACCCAAAAAGTCAACGTCGTGTGTCAGGACAGGAGACTGATCACCTACTTGCTTATTAGATTTAAAAATGACAAGACCAAAGAGGTTGACGCACATTTTGTAAAACAAAAAACTTTTTGGTAAAAAACAGTGGCGGAGAGTTAATTGCCTGTTCTTCTCGTCCGTTCTCGCCCTTGATTTGGAAACTGGCATTAAATGTAAAATTAGAAGCATTTAGTATGTTATTTCTTCATTGAAGATCATAAGTGTACATTGTGTTACCTAAATAAATAAATGAGTTTGAATTTGAATTAAATCTCGGTATTACGGCATTAATAATTAGTTAAAAACGTAAGTGCAAACAAATAAACATACATGCTGGTGCAATTACGATGGTAATATAGAGGTTAGGTTATCATAATTATTATCAGATATATAAAGTCGCGAATGTAATGTTTACTTTAGTCACGTTATAACTAAAGATCAATCAGTTTATCTCTGGTAAAATCGAATTTAATATTTCATAGGCCGAATCGGCTACGCGGACTTTTACGTGGGACTGGCCAGCTAAGAGTTATAGGGTAAGATTCAGAAAGGAGACTTAGCAAAGCCTGACTTCCGTACGTCATAAATGTTTTGTTATGAGACAGGAGTGACTTTGAATAAAGTGATAAACGCCGTTCATGGACACGTGCAACGCCGGGGTCTAGTGTTGTCGACCTTTCAAGGAATTGTTCGCTCGTTTCTTGAAGGCCCTTAAGTCGTATCTGGCAGCTGGTTCCAAAAAGAAATGGAAATCTATAGAAAGTCCCTTAAAAGGCGCTGTGTTGTGGAACGCAAGGCGTCGAGATGGAGAGGATGGAATCCTATTGGATTTTGATTAACGGGAGTCAAAGTTTGCTCTGCCTTTCTGAACCTCACCCATGGAGCATACGTAGACAATCTGCAACGTAACTATCATACTCCTGACGGATCTGTGGCGACCTGAGTATTGGGAAACCAAGTCCAGGGTCGCGTTATTTCCTTATAAAATGGGTTTCCATGGGCTCCGATGACGGCCCGTTTTAGGCCTCCCATAGTCTAGATTTTTTCCCTATTCTATAAAAAAAAACACGTTATTAAGTTTAAGATACAAATCAAGTCTTCGTTATCATATTCATATTCATCAAGTCCCTTAGTGCTAAGAAATAGATTCGACACCGGGAGTCATGCATAAATCCCATAATCCTGGATGATTTTTCATATACATATAATCCGTGATATAATTGTCCGGCAGCAGTGTTGGCCTAGTGGCTTCAGTGAGCGACTCTCGTCACTGAGGTCGTAGGTTAGATCCCCGGCTGTGCACCAATGGACTTTCTTTCTATGTGCGCATTTAACATTCGAACGGTGAAGGAAAACATCGTGAGGAAACCGTGTGTCAGGCACTGGAGGCTGATCACCTACTTGCCTATTATATTTAAAAATGATCATGAAACAGATTCCGAAATCTGAGGCCTAAAGAGGTTGTAGCGCCACTGATTTATTTTATTTTATAATGATCCGTACTTTGTCATGCTCGTGAATTGGACGTGTTTCAGAGTATAAACATGGCGACCAAGAAGTTTGCTGGGGAATCTCCTTATAAAGTGGCTAAGAAGACCCATCCTGGATCTGACTGGATTTTAACGGAGTAACTTTCTTTCCTTTCTTCTTTGAGCAGTTCTTTTGCGATTAAAAAGAGTGGCAGAGAGTTTATTGCCAGTTCTTCTCTTCCGTTCTACGCCCTTGAGAACTGGCAATAAATGTAAAATTAGAACCATTTGTATATTTCTTTTTTGACGTTCATAAGTGTATATTGTGCTACCTATAGTAATTCATGATTTGACTTTTGAGTGTTGGTCTAGTGGTTTCATCGTGACTCTACGCTGTGTTCATAGGTCGTAGGTCCGATCCCCGCCCCCCCATGGTGCACATTTAAAACTCGTTGTACAGTTAAGGAAAACATCGTGAGGAAACCGACTTGCCTAAGAAAAAGTCAACGGCGTGTGAGCACAGGAAGCTGACCTACTTGCCTATTAGAAATGATGTCAGATACAGAAATTTGAGATCAAGACCTAAAAAGTGGTCAAGACCTAAAAAGCTTTTTCTTTTCCCAATTAATAAATGGTTATATTTCTAAACGTTCTGTGGTTGGGGTAGTGGTGGATTTGTTTGAACTTATTTCCGAAATAACAAATAAAACAATAATTGTATTCCGAATTTATGACTTATGCACACTTGTGAACTGTTGGAATTAATCCTTTGAATTATAATTACGTATACGTACGACAATATCGTGAGGAAATAAATATGATTGTAACGTCTAATAAGAATAATATAAAGTATTATATCTATATACATTATCTAATATATAAAATTCTCTTGCCACAATGTTCGTTCCCATACTCCTCCGAAACGGCTCGACCGATTCTTATAATTTTTTTTATTCATATTCAGTAAGTCTGAGAATCGGCTACTATCTATCTTTCAACCCCCTCAGTGATAAGGGGTTGGACACCCCTGTTCACTTAGAAAAAAATTATTATTTTAATTAGGAAAACACTGAAAATTGTTTTTATTTTTTAGATTTTTTTTGTTTTTTACTCCTAATTTTCACCCCTCTACGTAGATAGTTATTTTTATTGAACTAAAAAAATGTTTCCTAGAAATAATATACATGGCGAAACAACGTTTGTCGGGTCAGCTAGTGACATTATATTTAATTTATAGTTTCGTGAACAAGGTAAATCTTGTGTCAGACAAACCAGGAGTGAAGCCTCCGGTGGTGGCAGCGATTTTTGGTATTGGACGGGCAGGATCCATTCATCTGTGTAGCATTATCCGAAATCCGCGTGTTGTACTAAAATATATTGTAGATGATCGAAAGGAAAGATTCGATAAGCTTAGAAGTTTCTGGAACCTGTGCGATGTGACTTTCCTAACATCAAAAGACAGCGATCGTGTGTTCAAGGACAAAGCGTAAGTTTTAATTTAATCTAAAATAATAATCTAAACTAGATTTAAATGCATTTGATTGACATTATTGTAAAATTTATTATGGACAAAGACGAAACTTTTAACTATGAAACCACGCGCGTTGGGACGGTTTTTATGTTATCTAATATGTGACATGAATACATTTAAATTTAGTAAAATTACTGTTTGTTATTTGTGAAAATATAAAGTATAAGTACCTACTTCCAAAATTTCAAGAGTTTCTCATCTTTAATAAGCGGTTGTGCACTATTATTAGTTTTAAGCATGAATTATTCTCAAGTAAATTTTTTTTAATTGAAATCCTGATTCGAGATTTTAATTATTAATTACAGTGTTACCACCGTTTTCATAGCATCTCCTACCTTCACCCATCACGGGATTGTTGTGAACTCAATAGCAAACAATAAAGATGTGTTCTGTGAGAAGCCAATTGCAGAAAGCATTGCCGAAACTAAAAAGTGCTACGATACAGCGAACGCCAAAGGCCGCGTCTTATTTGCGGCTTTTAACCGGCGCTTTGATCCATCATACAGAAACCTGAAGATGAAGGTCAGAGAGGGGCTAGTCGGTCATGTTCAGGTTTTGAAAGTGACTGCCAGGGACTCGCCTTTACCAACTATTGACTATCTGAGAACTTCAGGTAATTATTTAATGCACAGCTCGTATAAATTAGGTGGGTTGAATAGTTCGCAGGCTGTCACATAGATGGCGCTGCTAGTATTAAATTAATATGATTTTAAGATAGCCCTAACCTTCAAAAGAAACGTGTATAAATTTGATAATTGTGGTGCTATTAGTTTGTTAGATATAGTATTTTGAATAGAACAAGTTAGTTCCACGAATTTAGCCAGGAATTCCCTTAAGCACTATTTTTATTAATGTATTTGCACCAATATAGTGTAGATATAATAATATATGATTGGTATTCATTTGTATATTGTGCCGTGGCGTGAAAATTTGTTATTAAATAAAAAAATGTGCGTGCGTACAAACTAGGTACACATGTTAGAATAGAGAGGTAGCAACGTTTGGAAAACTTTAAGCACTTTAAGTCGCGTCTGGCACATAGTTACAATGTGAAAAATGTCTGGCAATAAAAATGTATGTCAGGTAGACGTATTTAAAAACGAAAAATTAAAAATTTACGCTTCTTAAAATGCTTCTAAATAAAATCCAGGATTATTACCTGACAGATAGGATGAGCACTAATGAACGCAACCGCTACCGCCAGCCGACGGCCCAGACTCTAACCGGAAGTCAAGAAGGAATACATATCACAAAATTAGCTGACCAAAATTTCTCGAAAACTTGCTACCTCCCGTACTAGAGGTTTTTATGGTCATTAAAATAGTTTGTTCAATTGTACAAAATATAAAACTTTCCAACTTAGGGGGGAAAAGGAAGATAATATGTTAGGGGTATATGGTCATTAAAATATTGAGTGTCGAAAATTAATACAAAATTATAAATTTAAATTTTAAATTTATTTCTTCGATAATAAAAACTCGTGGCAATTTAATTTACAATTCGTCATTTGAGATTTCAATAAATTATTCTGCATAAAATATAAAATACTAATACATATTTCATAAATTCTCTTTACGAAATTTTAATTTTAAAAATATAATTTCTGTAATATAATTCGCCCTTCTCACTCTCTCTTAATCGCTCTCTCCCTTTTCTTCGACAAAAACGCTGCACTTCGTGACGCTCCGTAAAAAATTTACCCTTATGCGCCTAAAGAACTTTCACTTCAATAATATTAGGGAAAAAAAAGGTATCTCAAAAGTTGTGGTTAAATTTTAAATCATTAAAAAACTCATTACCAAAATAAAATCTTCAAAGTGATCGATTTAATTCATGTCTAACACATAATGGGGAGGTTTTAAATGGTTATATATCTTTTCCGAAATGATGCTTGATGGAAAATGAAGATGCACGAGTAATTCACGCCTGGCTAGTAATTACCCTTTTGAATTTATTATTTATGAATTATTATTTATAATAGCACTTTATTGTGATAGTAAATGGTTGACTTCAATATCTCCTAAAGTACGTCTTGGATTTAGTCCCAAACCTAATTCGTACATATATTTTTTGACGGACTTTTATCTATAATATTACGCTGGCCTTCAAGCTTTACGCAAGAGATCGTATGTGTCTTCCTTGAGTGTTAAATAATTAATTATTAATCAAATTTTATAGGTTGTATGGCGACTGCTTTGTGTTATGACGTCCTTGTGCAAATTGAAAATAGAATAATTGCCAATTCTCACTGCCATTTTCCTTCACAATCTAGGTTTCAATATCAGATGGGATTTTAATTTTGCTCTCAAACATCACATACGTTACAAGGAGGACAATCAGATACTTATGAACATGTATTATAGAAAGGCTATACAGTATACATATGGGCAAATGACATGAGGACTTAAGGCGCCAGACCAGATCTATGGAACTTCCTCACAATCGAGTAGCCCGTAATATCGCAACACAACTCACGAGGGGAATCTTTGTATTGTCGAAGTCTCATGGGTCCACCAAGCATCCGCGAATATACACTGTATATACATAATTATGTAGGAATAAAGATAATAATAACATTTAATGATTCTTCAAATGAGTTCATTAGAGATTAGTATAAACATGTGTTTAGTGTTAACATAAACAAAATATTTATTAGCGACGGTTGATATGATAGATTACAGAAGGTCATAAGCCAAAGACATTGCTTGACAAGGGCATTATTGATGAAAATATTGATATATCTTCCAATTTACTGTAACTTTGTTTATCATGCTCTTAATGAGGTTTAAGTTTTTATTTAGTTTTAGTCTTTACTATTAATTTTTTAGTTATTGTCTTGTTGCTGCTTGTTTAATTTTCAAGTCAAAAGACAAAATCATTTATTCACAAATCGTTGATTTAGTAGAACGGAAGAGAAGAACTGGCAACAAACTCTCCGCCACTCTTTTTAATCGCCAAGTTTTTTTGTTGTACACAACGTTTGTAAGGAGCTGCAACCATTACACCATGTTCCACACGACATCTTAAGTAATAAATAATAATAAAATAAACTAAATACAAAGATTTGCCCTCTATCAGCAGGAGGCATGGTGAAATAGGACCAGGCACATGTGCCAATATAATTGATGTGTGTGTGTAAAATTTGTGATGTCATATTTTCTTGTATAATTTTATGCATACACGTTGCGTAGAACTTATAAATAAATAAATAATAAATTTGCTTTCGTACCTTTTCAATAATATATCTGGTATTCCAGGTGGAGTATTCCATGATTGTCTGGTCCATGACTTCGATATGGCCTGCTGGGTGTTAGGCGAGCTGCCAGTCAGGGTACAAGCGACGGCCACCGCTCTCATACCTGAAATCAAAGCTATTGATGACTTTGACAACATCGCTTTCCTCCTGACATTCCCATCAGGTGCCATCGCCATAGGTGATAACAGCCGATACAGTGCCTACGGATATGACCAACGCTTGGAAGTTTTTGGAAACAAAGGTAAATAGTAAGACTTAGATGTAGTATCTTACATATAACATACATATTATAAAACAAAACACTTGGACAATATACAAAGCCTTCACATGAAGAAACACGCAATGAGCGGGTACCAGTGTCTCTTTTTATAACAGGTGTTAACGGGCAGGAGGCTCATCTGATGTTAAATGTTACCGCCGCCCACGGGCACAGCAGAGGCTTGCTTTAATTATTTTTTTAATGTAAAATCTTCCTTTGTTTGTCGTGTTTTGAAACGATTTTTTATTATTACCTTCTAATTAGACTTGCCTGGATGATGCGCTTAATAGCATTAACGCCTTCCAATGTACAAATAACTGTTCATTTCTTTTTTATTATTTATTTAGGTAGCTGTTAGCCAAACAAAAAATACCACGAACGGCCCACTCTAGTAAAAAGTTCTTTTACTTTTTAAATACTTTTGCCAGTATTGAGCAAATAATAAATAACAAAATAAATTTATACTAATATTATAAAGACAAAGGTTTTATATTTTTGTGTCTGTAATAAACTCGAAAATGTTTAATTTTCGTCATTTTATACTTGAATTCAATTATTTCAGGCATGATAAAGGTGGAAAATGAAAAGCCCTCAGCATCCACAGACTACGTGATAGAACAAGATGGCTGCAAGACTCACCCAATATACTATTCATTTCCGTCTCGATACAAGGAGGCATATGAACGGGAGGTCGAACACTTTTTGGATGTTGTACAATGTAAGAGATAATATTATTTAAAGTTTTCAAAGTCAATCTTAAACATTACCAAATTGTTATTAGATTATGTAAGGGTCATAACAGTAGCTATATTCATCAGTCCATCATAATAATTAAAAATTGATAAATAGAAAATTTAAACAAATTTAAAAAGTTTGATCCCTGTGGCAGTGTTCTTTTATACCCGGACCATTTCCTCGCTGTATTGCGATACTTATTAGTTAAGCGAGGAAAGCACCAGCTCTGGGGTAACCAGTACTATCCACCAGGCGCCAACTTAAATCTTTAATTAGCGCCTGTGCATTTGAACACTTTAGTCTTGAACAAGTGGAGCGTGTGACATCCCTGAGGTCGTAGGTTCGAACCCCTGCTGAGCGGCATTGGACTTTCTAAATGAACATTTAACTCGTTCGGTGAAGGAAAACATCGCAAGGAAAGCGATTTAGACCTTAGACCCAAAAACGATAGTGTCTGTCAGGTACAGATCTGATCACCTACTTGCCTATTAGTATTACAAATGATCAGGGAGCATATACTGACATTTGCCCAAAATCTGGACAAAATCTAGTTCCAGATCACAGTAGAATTAATGTTAAGAAAATAAAATTTTGATATATGGGGCCGTTCAAGTATTACGTAAACACTATAGGGGTGAGGGGAGGATTACGTCAACAGTAAATATTTACTTTTTTACACATGTTACCCACATTTGGTGATTACGGGGGTTGGTAAATTGCAGTAAATCTGCTAATACGTAATACTTGAACGGACTACTATACTGTTACAGACGGAGTACCCCAAGATGTAACCAGTTGGCAGACATTGGCAATTTCGAAGATCGCAACTGCCGCTGAAGAGAGTGCTCGAACCAATAAAACAATTGAGATCGACTGGAGCAAGGACAATATTCCTGATATATATTCTTAATTTTTTATAATACACTTATAAAAAGCCTATGGCAATGTTTGCAATTTGGCTGATTCATATGTTTTTTTTGTGTAGAATCTGAGAACGTAATTTTTTTATACTCCTGAGTAAAAAGGGTCAAATTTTTTGGCAGTTTTTTTTGTACTTCAAAATGCAACACATTTTTACTTACAGAAGTCATCCTTAACCCGAATGTTACCCAATTAAAACAATGCTTTACTTTTTTGCAGGTAGCAATATATTCCCCGACAATTATAGTGTTTGCAAACCATTCCTTTGTAAAAATTGTATAATCTCGGTCAATTTATCAGTGAATAGGCTATCTGTAAGCTGCACTCAGTGCATACTGCACTGTTGGGTAATTGAACATGTGCAACGCTAATGAAATTTTCCCTTCACGCGAGATTCTGATGTCCTGCCAATATCAGATAAATTACGTTCGTGTAAAGTGAAATTTGGTAGCACTATCACAATTTTCACTCTAAAAACGTTCACAAGTTTCACAAACGTTTAATGTAAGCATTTCTTCTAAATAACAACACGTACTTAATAGATATTACAGACCACAACATACGAGCCAAAGAAATAGAAAAACTTCCACTTAAAGTCACTCATTTGGGTATTCCACTATATCATTCATCATACCGATAGGCGCAACCGGCATAGTAGCTAAAAGTATTACTAAATACATTCAACAATTAAATGCCCTTATAGAAAAACCATTCTGCCATTCACACCTCAACCATAACCAATAAAGTGCTACAGTATTCCTATAGCGAACCTCTTTTTTATATAAAAGGTGGCAAACGGGCAGGAGGCTCACCTGATGTTAAGTGATACCGCCGCCCATGGACACACATTGCCAGAAAGCTTGCAAATGCGTGCCGTTTTAAAAATTAGTACTCTCTTTTCTTGAAGGACCCTAAGTCGAATTGGCTCGGAAATACTTCAGTGGGCAGCTGGTTCCACATAATGGTGGTGCGCGGCAAAAACTGCCTTAAGAAACGCTCAGCTGTGGAACGATGGACGTCGAGATACGGATGGTATTTTGTACTCTGCCTTGACGTGAGAGTACTTGCTTATTAAAACCGATCATAAAACAAAGTCTGAGACCTTTATCTAGGAGTTGTAGCGCCACTGTTATTTCTTGAATTTATTGTGTTTAAAAAAGTTACGCTTAAATCACTGTTCTAAAACTGTTAACAAGATACTTCCTGTTCATGAAATAACACGAGTAATTCGATAAAGATGTCACCGTAGTTCGCGGTTCCAGTCAGTCCCCGATTGCAGACATTGTGTCGTCACAATAAAAGCTCCGTGTGTGCCGCGAAGCCTTCATTTGTACCTCATTTGTACTCTTTGACACCTTGATCAAGATTCAAGATT